CGCGCACACACACACACACACACACACATATACCAACAAAAAAAAACACATACATGTATAATTGTATACACACTAAAGCAAACCTCTATGCTGGCATTGTTTAAAATGTTTAGTATATTCTCACTACAAGATGATAGAGAATAGGACAAAGCATTATTATTATTATTATTATTATTATTATTATTATTATTATTATTATTATTATTACTATCAGTACCAATAGCATTAATGTTAAGTTCCAATTGACCAAAGTTATTATTACTATTGACATTACAATTGTAATTATTATTATTATTATTGTTGTTCATGCTAATGCTGTAGTCATTAATAACAAAGTTGTTATTGTTGTTATTATTATTTATGTTTGCCACCAGTTTGGATGCCTTTTTATTAACTGCAGCAGAAGATGCAGTTGCTGTAGCTGAGGTTGTTGTTCTCACAATGTTGTTATTGTTGTTGTTGTTATTGATGTTGTTGTTAGTATTTGATTCAGTGATTAAAAACTGTGCTGATGACAGGGATGATAATGAAGATGATGAACTAGGAGGCCCAGAGAAAGATGAGTGACTCATTAATGAAAATGATGACGACGACGACGTATTTTTATTGGATAGTTGTGATTGTTGCTGATAAACAGGTGAGAGATTAGTGTTGTTGTTGCTGCTGTGTAATCTTTTTTGTTGCAGATGCATTTGTTGCTGTTGATTGTATACAGGCTGTTGCTGATACAGTAATTGTTGTTGCTGATGCTGAATTGGTAATCGTTGGTGACGTTGTTGATGCTGTTTTGTGACTGTGGCATGTTGATGTTGTTGTTGTAAATACTGTTTTTGATCTACAAATGATTTCTGTTGAACAAACTGCTGCTGCTGTTGTTGTTGTTGTTGGAGCATCAATCTCTGCTGTGAAGACATCGCTGAATGTTGTTGCTGTTGAAATTTTATTGTAAGTTGTTGTTGCTGCTGTGGTAAGTTAACAGTTTTATCTCTGACAATGCTACCATAATTTGCAGGCATGTTGTTGTTGTTGTTGCTAATGTTGTTGTTAATGTTGTTGTTGTATCTGATAGAACCAGCTGACCTGTTGTCAATGTTGTTGAAAGGTACACTGAAGCTATTGATAGCACCACAATTATTGTTATTACTGCTACTGCTGCCACAACTGCTACTGATACTACTGACATTACTACTGCTAATATTAATACTGCTAGGGATGTCATTAATGACGTTGTTGTTGCTGTTGCTGTAACCAATGACATTAACATTTAAAAAATCTTTCTTCATAAGCACATTATTTTCACTGTTGTAAAAGGCCAATGATGATGTTGATGATGATGGAAACAATGATGATGAAGAAAACAACAGTGTTGATGATGATGAGGAGGAAGGAAAAGATGATGATGTTGCTGATGACGTGAGTAAGAGTTCATCAGGTAGGTTCAAATTGATGCTTTCCAGGCTAGTTAAATCTGGTCAATGTGGATTGAGTGAATGAAAAAGTGAATAAATGAAGAAATAAGTGAGTGAATGAATGAATGATTGACTCAATGGTTGAATGAATGAGAACCTGGATGATTAAGTGAAGGAGAAACATTGAATGACTGTTAATACATTAGGAAATAAAATATATTAATTACCATTATGGGAATATAAATACATATATTTTATTATTACAATAACAATAAATAATTAAAGGTTTTAACAAAGGCTAATAATTATAATGATGATGATTTAATATGCCTTGCTGGCAGCAATCAGCAAATAGTTAGTCAGAATTCATTGAATGACTAATTGTCTAAGAATCATTCTACTAAATTGTGCCAACATATATACATACAATATATATTAAATTTGGGTTCATATATATGTATATATATATATGTATATATATATGTATATATATATATGTATATATATATATATGTATATATATATATACATAGCTATACATATATATATAAGCTATACATATGAACAGTTAATTACATTGAGTTGAGGTTATTATATCACACTATTAACATAAATATTATTATAACAAAATATAACATTAATGTTATTATTGCATTATTGCTGTCATCATAAATGTTATAATTATTTAATTAATTATTAAATTAATTAATTTTTTTCATATAATGTGGTGATATTAAAAAGTAATCACTCAACATGAAAAAATGAATTAAACAAATTGATTTAACAAACTTAAGATACCATGGAAAAAAATTTTATGAAAAAATTAAAAAATTCATAAAAAAAAACTAAACTGACCACTGATGATGCTGTTATCAGATGGACCAGCTCCAAGTTTCAGTCTTTTTGGTAAAGGCTCATCACATAGAGAAGGCTCAACCATATTATTATCATACAAATATTTATTTAAATAATTAAAAAAAAATTCAAATCATCATTTTGACTGTGCAATGATACATTGATATTGTCATATAAATATATATAAGTGTATAATATTAATATAACATATATTTTACAGAAGCTGTCTATATTCATTAAATAAGTTAGTTTTTAATAAACTGTGCAGTTTTAGTTTAAACAAAGTTTAATACACTGACACATATATAAAAAGTTAAATATGCAGTATGTATGTGCAAACAATGAGCAAATAAATCTCCCAAACAGTCAGTGATCAAAACAAATAAGGAAACTGTCTTTTGAAAAAATAAATTGTTATTTTATTTAAAATCTTTTTTGTCATATCTTTTTTCTAGTTTTTCTTTTTGCTATTAAAATATCTGAAAAATAAATAAAATTCAATTTTATTTAATAGTATTCCTACATGATGATTCTAAAGTTAACTCTTAAAAATAAATAGTGATTCAATCAAATCAATTGCAATAATAACTATTTTAAAATTTTTTTAAACTAATTTAAATTTAAATTATTAAATTAAAAATTACATGAAAAACAAAAAAATAATCTAAAATTTTAAAATAAACATTTTGTAATCGGAAGCTATAAAAATCATAAACCTTCAAAGCATAAAATCGTCACCAAATTATATATCACTCAAAAAAAAAAAACTTAAAACCCCCATTAACCTAAAAACATTATTTAATGAACCAATTACAATTTTTTCATTAAAAAAAACAAATAAAAAAGAACGATGTTTTACGAAACTACGACTAAACGGAACAATTAAAATCTTAACTAAAAACTAATACAAAATCTATAAAAAAAATTGTTTACTAAAAATATGTTTACACTTACTGTCGCGGGCTGGGGACGGCACAATTAGTGACATTTAATAACTATTTTTATTAAAATGGCGATATTGTATCAAATAATTTTCCGGTCACATTTCCAGAATACCGAACTTTCATTGGCTGGCTGTGTTTTTGTAAATGTAATAATAAATTGATTAAAAATGAATCTCGGTATAAAAGTTTTAATCGATGCGTAACACGCGATACAGGTATATCCGAATATGTAAAATATCATGTCATACCTAGAAATGCAGGAGCGGTTCTAGACAACTTTAACGGAAGTGAGCTTAGTAATACATAATAATAATAACTATTCTTTCTATATAAAAATTGTCGGAATTTCCATTACCCAATTATGCATTTTCATGCTCATGAAATCGAGTATTACATGAATCTGATAACAAACGACCAGCTTAATCCTCTATATCAGTGCCACGTTAAAAACATCGAACTATAGTGCGTGTTCACTTATACATAATGGTAACTACTCGGTCGATACATGCTCAGAGGACAGAGTACTGCATGATTCTTTAAAAAAAAAAAACTACCAGTTTAATGCTCCATATATAAGCGTCACACATTCGAAAAAAATTGAATTTTAGTAGCTACATAATGATAACTAAGTAGCTTATGTTGATTTTACGATGTTCAATTGTTCATGCCGTGTCCGTTCATGTAGTCGTAATGGACGTTCTTCATTATCATTAATATATTACAGATTTAACTGACTCTGCTTCAAACTGTTAATTTCATTTTGCAATGAAACCACATAGTCCAACTGCAAAAATATTGAATAAATATATCCTTGAATATTTAACGTACATGTCTTTTACATTATTTATGTATTAAAATAAATGAAATGTGTATATATATATATATATATATATATATATATATATATATATATATATATATATATATATATAGAAACCTTGGTGCTGGAATTCTCGTAGATATTCAACTCAATTAGTTTTGCATGGCTTATAACATATTTCCACGATGAAATGCCATCAGAGCCCATCCTTCCGTACTGATTCATTGGAATGATGGCTCGCACTCTTGATATTTTAATAACTTTTTTATTAATTAATCGTTTCTTTAATTAAATGATTAACTAAACAAATAAGTTTTATTATCTTATTAATATAATATCCACTTTTCTAACATTAAAAGAAAGATTTCCTTCCTGAATTCCTCGGAGTGCCAGTTCTGGAATGCATGTCCCACATGTTCAACATCACCAACCCGTTCACTTTCCATGTTTTAGCTAGCCCTAACCCTCACCTGCTGTTATTGCTGGTATTTTGTATTTATGACGGATGATTTACACCCTAGGTATTATTAGAGGTCCTATTGTGTTTTTTAAGATGCAAGCACATTAAATAACATCGAAAATATTTTGAAATAATTCAACTATTACAAACTTCAAGTTTGCAATACGCCTATATATGTATATGTGTTAGTGTGTATATGCATTATACTTATCGTATGTTTACGAGTAGTGTGCAATTTAAACTTCTTTATTCTGCCCAACACACTTGATCGAAATTTTTATTGAATTTATAATCGGCATTTTTCGCAATAGAAGACGCGTGTACAACTTTTTGAAATATTAAATGGGATAACATGGGAAGCAGGTTATAATGAATTGAAAACTTAATAAGTAATACAAATACAGGGCCGAATTGACCAAAAGACAAATGAAATTTTCTTAATCTGTTTAAAATGTACTGCAATTATGAGTCAACACAGATTTGTAAGCCAGATACGAATATGAATGAGAAGACTATGCTTCATGTTCATACTCATTAACGTCGTTATTATTATTATTATTATTTTTATACTCGTCAACGTCATCATTGTTATGAATGACGTCATCGTCGCCATCTTGGACTAGTGGTGCGATGGCCGATTTGCTAAAGCCGTTGATGTTCGTCTTCAAGTTAGACAGACTTTTAGCCAATCTCATCATTGAGACGCTTCGTCCTAAAATTGTTTGAGTCCTCTCCTGGCCGTCATGATGTTCGGCTGAACTTTTAACCGAGGTATCAAATGATTTTGAGGCGGAGTTGTTCTGCTGGCTGGATAGTATGTGCTTTCTCGCTTTCAATTTGTTGTTACTGTCGGTACTGCTATTGATGTTTTTATCAACGTCTTTGCTGTTAATCTTCTTTTCATTGTATTTTATTTCGTTTGGTAAACTTGAGGTTAGCAAATTATCTTTAAAATAGAGCGATGATGTCGTTGGATTAATGACATATGCAGTTGTTTTACTGTTGTGGTTGGTGGCGAGGAAAGTGCTATTAAATGGCGCTACTGCTACTTTATTTAGATTTTTCAAATGTTCCAAATTCATCCCAGGCCTCTTTAGTAACATCGGCATTCTCATGTCTTTCCTATTTCGTTTGTCTTGGAATGACGATTGGGATGAAGAGGATGAAAATAAATTAAAATCAGGGTAATGTACATCTTTGCAGTCGCTGATGTCGTTGATGTTGCTGCTGGTTGTGTCCTCTTCAGCGGGGAACCGATGTGATAGGACGTTGAGAATGATCCTACGCAAGCACTTGATGGCGTCGTTCGCCGTCTTGAATGAATCCTGGTTTATTTTTGTGTCGTTGTTGTTGTTTTCGTTGTTTTTGTTGTTGTTGATGATGTTGTTGTTGCTGCTGAGGTTAATGTCCGCATTATCGATGTCTTGTTTGTTTTTGAAAGTGCACCGATCATACAAATCACACCACTCCGTTTGCTGCCTCTAGTGTTTAAAGACATATTTATGTTATCATTACTATTGTAATTATTATATTTTTATTATAATTGTTATTATTATTTATACCTTGAATTCTTTGAAGACCGTGAAAGATTCGGAGATCGTTAAATTTAGGCAGAGCGATTCTAAATCATTCATTATCATTTGTCGTCTTAACAAACTGCTGTTGATGTTGTTGCTGCTGTTGTTGTTGTTGCTGCTGTTGTTGCTGCTGCTGTTGTTGTTGTTGTTGCTGCTGCTGCAAGAGCTGTTGCTGTAATTATTGTCGTTACGAATAATGCCGTGGTTGCAGGTGTTGTCTTTTATTGTTAGAGTTGACGGTGATATTGAAGTTGATATTGTTGAAGAAGATGATGACGACGATGATGGTGTTGTTGTTGTTGTTGTTGATGATGATGATGAACGAAGTAAGAATGAAGATGATGGTGACGACGACGACGATGATGTTGAGAGCCAGCTGTAATCGGCTAATGCCTGACTACGCCTAAACTCTTTCATTTCTTTATTTCTCCTTCCTTCAATTGTTTTGATCTTTTTTATGAGTGAATGAATAATCGAGTGAATGAATGAATGAACAAAAAAATAATTGAATGAAGATAAGATCGACTGATTTATAATAGTCAAACAGTTAATTAACAGATTTCATTTATAAACTGACGACCAACCGTGCTTCGCAGCTCGTTCATAATTGCCTCAACCATGACGTAATTGCTCTCCATTTCTGACCTTTGGTGCCTTCGCTGGCGTCCAACAATACTCTTATACCGATTTATAATCTTTTTTCGGCATTTATTTCTCCATTCGGCTGCCATTTTCAACTCCTCTTTTGTTATTAGATGAAAAATTTACTAAATTAAATTTTATTTTAAAATATCCCCTAAAAATTATTCAATGAACTATTTGTCAAATTTAATGTTATCCAGGCAAAGCAGCTTGAAAATAATCAGTAAGAGGATAGATGATCATGATATACATAGATATAGATACTCTCACAATATATACGTACATAAGCATGCAAATATGCATGCATATTTGCATACATACTGTATATATGCATCATTGTATGCAGTTCTGCACTAGGTTGAAAAAAAACTTGAAAAAAGAATAAATTAAAAACGAATAAAATGAATAAAAGAACGAAACGAACGAACGAATGAAAGAACTTATACCTGTAAGAAAACTGATCATTGAAATTGCTAGCATCACATGAGGCACATCAACTTCTTCGGGTGTTATTTATCGCTTGTTCATGCGATTTAATGTCAACCACAACATGAAAACATTTTATCATCGTCATCATCATCATCATTGTCATCATCATCATGATATCATCATGATCGTCGTCATCATTACTATCATCGTCATCACCGTCACCGTCCTAATGATCGTCTTGGTTACCATTCGTTCTAGTACAGGTGAGATAAACTCGGAGCCGTCGGATTAGATAGCATCTTTCTATATGCACATGTACTGTACACAGGTACACACCACACACACACACACACACACACACACACATACACACACACACACACACACACAGTACACATATGTATATCATAAACAAGTTCATGGATCAATAATTTCGTAATTTCGTCTCAGCTGCCATACCAATGAATTCACTTTTTTTTTTGTTAAGTTTTATTATTTTGATTCTAATTCAATTCAATTCATTATATTTATTTGATCCAAACAAAGCAGAAAATTTGTGATCGGGAGACTCGGAAGAAGAAAATAAATTCTTGTCCAGGGTGGTCCAGTGATTTTCAAGATTGTCATGATCATAGGGATAACGTAAAATCAAAATGAATAAATTATCCAGGATATACTAACATTAAATAAAATAAAGGTTTTATTACTTAAAAATGAATGGTAACTTAATTAAATTGTTTTACATGTGTGTATTAATAAACGTAATTGTCAATTAAAGTTATAATGATGTATAATAATGCAAATGCTTTCCTATGCAACTTCACTTGGTCAACATCTTTAAATTTTGTTTTCTTTATGTTTCCAATTCTAAAGATGTCGGTAGAGGCAGATAAATCTTAAAAGATTTCGACAAATTCAGCTACTCGTTCAGATGATCGTTTGACTAGAGGTAAAAGTTGGTAGATTTTGACGATTATCCTCTAAAAATGTCACTATTTTTCATTAAAAATTTTCTCTGATGAAGCTTTCTTCCAGAAAAAATTGTTTGAGGTCAGATCAGAAGTTCTCGCAGTTACAAACCTTCAAAGTTCCTAAATTTTAAATTATATTTTTAGCTGTTTTTAATACTCTTTTTACCAGATTTTAATAATTTTCTGGTTGCCATGTCTGCTGTAATGTACATACGTACCCGCCTACTTATAATTTAATGGTTTGCAAATTTCTAAATGATCCCTATGTCTTCCAAACTAACATTTTGATTTTGAAAGAGTCCCTAACTGTTTGTTTTGACTGTGAAAATATTAGGAGAAAAAAATAAACAGGATAAATTAGGTATAAAATTTAAAATTTCACGGTGCTGCTGTGAAAAAGTTGGACGCGAGAATATGCAACAGTAGATTTAAGATTTACTTTTTAATTTAGCTGGGAAAAAGTTGGACGCGAGAATATGCAACAATAGATTTAAGATTTACTTTTTAATTTATAATTTTATTTGAATGATTTTTTTCACTCTCTCCCTCTCTCTCATATATATACATATATATATATATATATATATATATATATACATATAAATTAAATTATATTTACATTGACAGTTCGCCCAAACTGCATATTGCCACAAGACACAAGTAACATTCTGAAATCCTAGAAAAACGTTTCCAAAAATTTTGAACTTTGGGCTGTCCTTTTATGTTGAGTCTTCTACCTACCTACATTCGATAAAAGTTACAAATTGAACTGATCGTTGATAAATTGAACAGCAGTGCATTATACATCGCAACGTTTTTATATGATGGGCAAAAAATTTTATTATTTTGCATTTGGCAGTAACCTTTTGAGACAAAGAATGGAACTGAACAAATATTCTTACTTGAAATTCAGCACGATCGCCAAGTTGAACGACTTCAAGTTAGATTTTGGATGGAACTCGAAGACGTGGAATGGAGCAGTAGCTACAATTATTCCCTGTTGCGGTAGCCACGTCTGGGGTGTCGTCTGGACGATGGACGTTGATGATATCAACATTTTAAACGAACAGGAGGGTGTCTCGAGTGGCGTCTATGAGCCATTTTCAGTTGACGTTGCAACGCCAAACGACGAGATTATTCAATGTAGGAGCTACAGGCTTTTGAAGGAGAAATTGGAAAGTGATAAACCCTCAAAATCCTACCTCGATGTTATCATAAAAGGAGCCTTGCAGCACAATCTACCTCGGGATTACGTTCAGTGGTTGAAACATCGAGAAAGTAATGGTCTTCAGGCCTCCAAATCTGCAATGGAGAAATTTGCCTGTTTATTTGAAAATTGAGAAACATGTTTTATTAAGTCTATTACTAAGTCTTCCGTTAAATCTAGTTATTACTTCTGCTATGTTTGTTGAAATATTTAAAAGGATTGTACTTTTTGCTTATATTTAATCATTTATTACTTATTTAAGAATATTTTTCAACAATTTATTACCTCTGTGATGTTCATTGAAACATTTGAAGGGGTTTAACTTTATGACGTAGGTATATTTAATAAATTATCACTTTTTTAAGATATTTTTCAATAATTTTCATGCAAAGTCATCAACTTCGTTCAATAAATTCACAAATTGTCATGTTATTTCATTAACATCGAAAATAAAGATGCCATAAAATCAGTTTATTGAGCATCATAGCATGCCAAAAATATTGAACAAAATGTTTTTTGAAAGACAATTGGTCGTTTGAAACGAAAGAAACGTATTTTTATCACTGGAGATTGTAAAAACGGCGTGAATATATTAAAATTGTCATTTGAACAACTATCTTCGTTATATTTAATGAATATTTTACGTTCTAGTGCTTATAGAAATTGGTTACTGAAATCATAGGTTGGCTTACTGCAGTGGCTTACCAGGTCTTATACAACCAACCCATCCATCCAAACAGTTTCAGTAAAATCAGTAGGATAAAATGATTTCTATAGAGTACTTTGTTTACAACACTCCATATTCTTTAGGTTGTCTTTTTTTTACTTTCAACCAAATTCTTCCAATAGTTGTTTTTTAATACTAAATAGAACGTTTTTCTTATTAAGCGCAGCCATTCAAACACCTTTACTCAACAAAGTTTTGTCATTTCTATATAATCTCTCCAACTTACAACAAAGTCTTTTAGATTTCCTACATTCATTGTCAAAACATGGCGCCTATGGAACATGTCTAGATTTTACAGAGTGAAGTGGAGCTACACTCATTGATAGATGTCATTTCATCAGTAAACATTTTAAGCGCCAAGTCAGCATCATCATAATGTGTGAATGTTTCATTTAATTATAATGTTTTAAACATATTAAGGGAAACAAATATTTAGTATTAGTTTGTTAAAACCCATTCAATTTCGCATGTAAGCCAATTAGCCAAAGAAGTCATGTTTAAAAACACGCCTTATAATTTTTTAAATCATCACGTGACTAAAATACATTTTTGCATGCGCATGCCTAATAATAGGCTAATTAAAATATTCAAGATGGATGACTAGCTTAGATTTTTGTTGACGAAGAAGATAATCTTATTAAAATTTGTTTGTCGTTCATTTCATGCAGATCAAGTGAGAATTCATTTTTTTATTAATGGCGTTTGCAAAATCAGGTGCCGTCACGATGTTTTTGTTATATGGAATGCATTTTGTAGTTAGTGTCTGTCATCCTAATTTTGTCCTTTATTAATTTTTGTATTTCCCGAATTTTGTTGAAAAGTTGCCTGTTAGTTAATTAATAAATTAATTTGTCGTAGGCTCCTGTTTTGTTTGGCCGGTCATTAGGCTCATGTTTTAGCTTTGGTAATGGTTGAATATGTAGACATATTTTGTAGAAAATAATAATTTTTATATTTCTCCATATATAAACAATACTATACAAATACTAAACTAAACTAATGCATACCCATTTTTTAATTTAATAGTTGGAAACGGTTCTGTTCATTGTTCTGAAATTAAACTTTGGTAATGTTAGTTAATGTTTGAATCATTTATTATCTATGTTCATTTTGCAGATTTCGTAAAGTTGGAAAGACAAATAGATAGCTGTATTGGTATTCAATTATCAATGTCTACCACTTGATGATATTAACAGAAGGTTATTAAGTTTGTATAGAGTCAGTAGAAGCTCAAAACGTTTTAAAATTGCAGTATTAAGTTTAGTGAAACGCAACCGGCCTGTAAGAGATGTGGTCGGCTGGCGTTGATATTAATAAACAGAATGTTGACAATTCCAAATGGGGGACAGGTCTTTCATCATCAACTGCTACTGACACTGATTTGTGGCGTCCTAACAATTCCATGACATCCGGTTCTGGTTGGGGTTCCGTCAATCAAAGTCCTGTCCCAAATGCAGGGACAGAAGGATGGAGTAGTTCCTTGCACAGCCAAACTAGCAACAACCTGTCAGTTCTACCTCAAAATGACAACCGATTAAATTTTGGAGGCTTTCAATCAAATAATTTAGCAAGCACTCAACCATCACCACCAGCAGCAGCTCAACAGCAGCAAGCAGTAGCAGCAGCTGGATCATGGAGTAGCACAGCTATGGGACCAGCTGGTGCTTGGAGCAGAGGCAATCCCATGTCCAATCAGGTTGCTTCATCATCGTCGTCATCATCTACTAGTAATCAAACACTTGCATTAGGTGGTGGTGGTGGTGGTGGACCCAGCTCATGGGCTGAAGCTGTGGCCAGCAAACAGTCGAGCAATAATTCCAACAATGGTGGTTCTACCGCTGCTGCCAATGTTGTCAACATATCAAGTTCATCTGCTTCTAATCAATCAACAGTATCATCATCTTCAGCTCAAGCAACATCTAATAACAACATTGATTCAATTGCACAAATGAAAAAGACCCAAGAAGAAATGATTGCCAGGGCCATTAATAGCAACGAGGGTTGGGGCAAGACTGTTATTCGACAGGACACTGCATGGATCATAGATGACCCGGCCCCGGCTATTTCCAACGAATCCTCATTTAAAGACTCTCACTCAGAATCTGAACATCAGACCACAACTGCCCTCACAGCCAAGCAGATCATCACAGGCACAGCTATATGGGAAAATCTCAAAACTAATCAGAAACCTGCAGAAATCCCAACTATTGCCACAACGACGACAACGACAACGTTATCCTCATCAACATCATCTACCGCCACGAGCTGGGATCCAAACAACAAAATGAGCAGCTCCAACATTCCTACAGCATTAAACAGTAGCCAGGATGTATTACCTCAGCCATCGACTTTCAGACCAGTGAACCTTGACATTAAATCTAATGTATGGCCTTCTCAACCGACGACAACAGCCAACGTCAACCTGTCAACATCTAATCTAAACAACTGGGGCTCCAACATTCTGCCAGATGCACCATGGACTGATGGTTCTGCAACTGCTCCACCTCAAGTCAAAAAAGATGAAGAAAGATCTCCCTGGGGCCTAGCAGGATCGAGTGAAATTGGCTCAAAATCAACATCAGATTTAGGTATTAGTTGCTGGGAAAGACCAAACATCCCATTACATCGTAGCTCATCAACTGGCAGTTGGATGGAGGAGACATCCAATCCGAGTTTAGACATCACAGGCACGAAGGCCTGGGGTGAGGACAAATCAGGATCTCAATCAATATTGAATGAAATTGACGATGGCACATCTCTCTGGGGAGATAAGTTGCAACATCCTGTCGATGGTTGGAGGCAGGGTTCAGCTATTATGCCTGCCAATAAAAATATGAATGCACCCAGCATGAGGAAGTCAGACAGCGATGTCTTCACTACTTCTAATCCACCTAATAATCCACTTGCACTCAAGTTAGGCGGATATTCTGTGGGACCATTGGATGACCTTTCTCGACCATGGAACCAAAATGTGCCTCTTGTTAGTATCATACTTTTTAATTTAGTGTAGTTGCTGTTGGTAATTTATGTATTTATTCATTCATTCATTATTTGTTTATTTGTTCATCAACTCAACTTTCAGTTTTATTTAACCAATATTTTCTATTCAAACATTCAACAAATCACAAATAAAATAATGAACCGACCAACCAACCAATCAATCATTCAAGTAACTAACCCAACAACAACTGAACCAACTACAACCAACCAACCAAACAAACAAAACAGTGCAGAACATCAGAAAGCAGTAGCAGTAGTGGCAGCAACTCAACAACGGCCTGGGGCTCACTTGAAAACAACAACAACTGGATGAGTTTGCTGGCTGCTCAAAACAACAACAACAACACTAACAATAACAACGCCAATAATAACAATAATATTGGGGTGCCTAGGCTAAAAACGCCATCTCTATCTAACTGGACTGAAAATGCTGATTGGTCCAATAGAATGGCTAGTTTGTTGTTACATTTGCTGTTGCTGCTGATGCTACTTTTTCTAGATTTTTATAAATGATTGATTTGAATTGAATTGAGTGATTGACTGCTGCTGAGATGCCCTGGTTTGTTATTGTACTGGCTTAGTTCATAGTTTTGAACATTGCTATTTAATATGCTAGCTGTTTATGCAATTGTTGTTGTTGTTGTTGTTTAGTTGTAGTTATGTGAGTCAGTAGTTGTTATATTTCTGTTGCATTGTTTGTGTTTGGTTCTCTCTGTCTTATGCCATTCTGAATGTGAGCTTACTTTATCTTTATTCAAGCATATACACACTGTAATAAGTAAGTAGAAAAATAAGATTTAAGTAGGTAAATAAGATATAAATAAGGATGGATAGATAGGTGAATAATTATATAAATGAATAAACAATGTGGCCAATGATCAAAAATAACACTGACAATGAGTTTGATAGGGATGGTTAATAAGACAAATCAGGGAATGTTGTTTTAAAGTTTTAATACTGTGATAATGTTAGAAGTTCTTTAGAAGGAGTAGGCTAGTTTTAATGATTATCCTACTTAATAGGGTAGCAATGGTAATGACATTTGTGATGTGTGTTATACTCTTACAATATACTTTACATATGGGTGCATTAATTATAAGTCTGTTTGTGTGTGCGTGTGTGCGTGTGTGTGTAATTTACTAAATTAGAAAGTATAGATTACTTATTTAATTATGGTTGATGATTGATTAATTAGAAGTATATATAAAAATAAAAATTGTAGTTATAACTTAACAATGAACAGTCTTGTGTCTATATTAATGAGTGCTATATCTGTCGGCCTATCTATCTATCTATCTCTGTATGTACGTATATATGAATGAATGTATATGTATATACGATTGTATGTATGTATTTATGTATGTATATATTATTTATTTATATGTATGATGAATCGTTATATAGAATCAGCCAGCTCAAAGACATGCATCTATTCAAAGATTAATACAGATGGGTTATAAGGTGAGTTTTGTGTTTGTGTGTGTGCGCGTGTGTGTGTCTGTGTGTGTGTTAGTGTTAGTTATGTTTGCTAGGGGTAGCATTTTATTTTGTTACCCATTATTTTATGTGTTCATGTATTTTACTTGTTTATAGTAGAAATGACATTTGTAGGATTTCAGTAGTCCTATAATAATACCAGTAGCAATTTGTAATAAATATCTTCTGGAAACATTTGTTGAATCATGTTATAAATTAGTTTATTTGTAACAGTTTTAAAGATTTGCTGGTTTGTAAAAGTATTTGGTTCAAGATAACATTGACGACAAATTTAATCAAATTTACAAAGAATAAAATATTATTGATTTATAACTTTGTAATATTCTATTCTATGATATTTATGAATCTATAATTATTCATAATTCTGAAAGAAGGATGAAGCTATGCTAGCCCTGATGACAAACAATATGAACTTTGATGAAGCCATTGGTCAGCATTTGTCAATTTATGTTAATTTATTCTGATATTGATTGGTTATCATTGTTTTATGTTAACTTATATTGACTTTTAAAATTTGAGATGGGTTATTATTGATAATGTGACTTGGTTGTTTGTATAGTATTGGCTGTAGTTAAAAATCATTTTCCTCATCATCATCGCCATCGTCGTCGTCGTCTTCATATCTTCATCATCATCATCTGTTAACTCTAGCTTGTTATTTTTTCATTTTTGAGCTTGTAATGCTCTAAAACAATACATCATCAGCAAGAACTAGAAAAGCATTAAGACTATCTCCATCTCGCATTTTTAACATATACTCATCATACATTTATGGTTGTACTACAGATGCACATGTGTACATGTACATATAGATACATGCATACATACATACATTGTGGTGTTATGTATGCATATGTACGTATATGTATGTAGATATATATATATATATATAGATCAGATATCAATGTATATAGGCAATTCTTTCCATTCAAAGAATACTCTAACGTAGTGGCTATTTTGATGCTGCTAACTAACTAACTAATTAATGCATTACATTTTTTCTCTAGCGTTATCATCTTTTTTAATATCATGATCTCATTAAGTTGGTTTGGATGTTTAGGAAAGTTTTCAAAAACACAGAAGTGTCAGGTTGCATTGTAAATTATTTCTTTACACCACACGTACACATGCACAAACACACACATACATACACACACCACAGCAAGCCTAATGAAGGCCAACATGCGAACTCCATCTTTACACGACCTCGCCTCCTCTTCTGTTTCCTCCTCCTCTTCCTCTTCATCAACATCTCGTTTCAATCCTCATCACCCTCTTCCCCATCCTCTGCACGGTGGCCATCACCCAACTGCCGGGGCTGGGGCAATTAGACCGACCATCGACAACGACGGCATCATCAACAATATCGACAATCCCTTGGACCTGTTCAATCTGCCTAATCTACAGTCACTCAATCTGGGCGCTTCTATAAATAACTCTGCTAATAATATCAACAACAATAACAACAACACTAATCTGAATAGTGTTAATAATGGCAGTAATAATAGTAATAATAATAATAACAGCAGTAATAATATTAGTAACAACATGAATGCAGTCGCATCTAATCTCATTGGCCATCTGAGAGGAGCTGTTAATGCTGGTGCCAACAGCATTAATAATAATAATAATAACAATAATGCCAACGTCAATGGTGGTAATAATGTTAATAATAATAATAATGCTAATGCTGTTTTGAACCCATTTGTTTCTAGTCTTGAGATGAATTCCTTGCAGGTATGTTGTTTGTGATTGATTGTGCGTGCTATTCCACTGCTGTAACTGCTGCTGGTTGCTGTTGATATTTTTATTATAACTCTAACAATATTGATGATAACTAACAACGATGGTGTTTTTGGAAATTAAATTCTTTCACAAACAACAAACACATGAACAGGCGAGCAATCCAATGATGGCGCAACTGCAGCAGTGCAACAAACCACCTCCTCCCATTGGCTCTCAACTGAACAACAGCAGCAGCAGCAGCATGCCTTTAACATCACTACTTCCACCACAGCAGCAACAATTCATGCATCATCTTCTGCAGAGCGTCCAGAGCGCCGTGCAGTTGAATCTGATTCCTGCCCAGATTGTCAACCAGCACACCATCACCAACTCGACATTCATCACCATGGTGCAGGGTCTGCTGAAGCTACACGAAGCCTACCAGAAGCTAGTGCTCCAGTCAATGCAGCAAGTTCCTCCGCCGACTCACTCAACACACGGTGGCATGTTACAACAGCAGCGACAGATTGAGAGTACCATGAATGTCCTGCAGCAGAGGATCGAGACACTGAAGCAGCAGATACTGCAAATGGCTGCCACGGCTAACATTTCATCTATCTCATCTCCATCTACGCCTAATTTAGCATCTGTTCTCGGGGGACCACCTCAGCAAGCGCTGCTACCATCTACAGCTGGGTCCAGACTTATTAATCAGTGGAAAGTATCAGAAAATAATAGTAGTAGTAATAATAGTAGTAGCATTAGTAGTGCAACTAACGATGCTAGAAAGCATTCCTCAGCCATGCCATCAGATGCTAGTGATATGAGTTCGCTAGCATCTTCATCGGGGGCTAATTTTTCATCATCATCATTGGCAACTTGGATGCCAACTTCGTCATCAACAACTTCATGGCTTGAATCAACATCAGGGGATCAAAAATCGACAATCACACCAACAACTGTTGCCAACTTGACATCTGCAACAGTCTCCAGCAGCACAACGTCTTCATCGTCCTCATCTTCCACTAATCAGTCATCTAACGTGAATGAACTCTCTGCAGCAGCAATTCCCATGCTGGATATTGAAGAGTTTGTACCAGGGAAGCCGTGGCAAGGTCCAGGAACGAAAAACATTGAAGACGATCCTTACATCACGCCAGGCAGCATCATTAATTCATTGTCCACTCTTAAAGATACATCATCTCATAAGATATCATCATCTTCATCCTCTTCGTCGTCGTCGTCGTTGGCGGCATCGACTGCTAACTTCACAAACAGCATTAACAACAACAACATCAATAAGAATGCAACTAGTCTCTCAACAGTCCTGAGTTTAACCACGGCATCAAACCTATCGTCATCGATGTCGTCGTCTTTATTTTTTACACCGCCATCTTTCGGCCAGCCTGTGGCTCAGCCTTCGTTTCCTACTTCCAAGTTAGGAAATCAGTGGAACGTTTCGGACATGAGGATTCCTCCGCCACTCTCATCCAATGATCTCTGGCCTTCCTCTTCTTCTTCCTCTGCATCTGCGTCCTCATTTTCGATCAACAGCAACAACAACAAGCAGACTGCACTGAACAACAACAACAGCACTCATAATTGGAACAACATCAACAGAAGCATCTCATGGGCCTCTGGAGACAGGGTGGATGTTGGCACCTCCTCCTCCATGGCTCCTCTACCTGCTGGACACCGTCAGTGCTAATTCGCTTTTTTTTCTTTCATTTGGTTGTTAAATTTGTACCCTCAATTGCTTAACATGTTTGCTGCTCTGTTTTACAATGAGGAATTTTATTATCTTATGTACTTTTAACCCTTGAATAACAAATGACACTTGCACAGTGCCGAACAACTGGCCAATGTCAAATGGTCCGTCCAGCTGGCTACTTATCAAGGGCATTCCACAGGTGATGTTTCTTTCTTTCTCCCTTGAATTCGACGTACCCATCGTGATTTTAATTTTAATTTCAATTACATAATCTACATTTCACTTTACTTTTAACAGCTCGAACCGACGACTCTGCAGAACTTATGCCTTCAGAATGGAGCCAGCAGCACTCTTCCTAACTTTTTCCCCGGGCAGTTGCTCGCCTGTTTTCCAAGGATTGAGGACTCTATTAAAGTTCTGAGGCAGCTGAATGGCATTAGGATCGGAGCGAACTGCGTGAAAGCTGACTACATCACCGACTCTGACGTCACACTGCTTCTCTCCAGGATGCACCAGCTGACAAACACCAACGGATTAGGAGGACTGGGGGGAGCTGTATCGGCTGCTCTGATTGGCGGAGGGGCAGGTCTGTTGGGAGGAGTCATGCCACCCAGCAACAACAGCAGCAACGGCAGCAGCAGCAACCACAACATGCCTCCATTTTTAAATAAAATGCCCATGCCTGGAAGCGATGGTTTTTCATTTTTGGGAATGGGAATGCGTGGAGGGGGCGTGGTTCATCCGCCTACTCACCCGCCTCCTTCTCTTCATCATCACCATCATCAGTGGAACCAGCAGCAGCCACAGGCAGGTGCAGGGTTGGTAGGAAACATGAGTGCTGGGATGATAGCTGCAGGTGTTTCAGGCTCGACGTCATCTTGGAGCAGCAGCATCAGCGCTAGCACTAATCAGATCGGCGGTCCATCCTCTTCCTCTTCGTCGTCATCTTTCTGGGGACCAACTACTGTTGTTGACGATCACGATCATAATATCTTTCTGCCCGGAGATTTGCTGGGTGGTCAGTGACGGCGACTGTGGTCATTGGTGGCGACTGTGGTCAGTGGTGGTGATGATGCGGTCGTTAGGTAGATATTTTACGCGAGCATTTACCTTAAATTCGATATGAATATCACTTGTACCCTGTGTTGAAATTAACGTGAAATTATAAATGGCAGAATATATTTTTGTTCCTATCATTATCAATTTTGTTCCTATTTGCTACGTGCGCATGCATGTCTGTGTGTTTTTACATAACTTTCAATTTTATTCTCGTATGAGCATACAGCCTAATTATTTGTTAATTATCCAATTAATTATAATGATACTAATGATTGTGCGTTCCAATTCGGCAATGATTCATCTTCACCGAACTCATTTCATCGCCGGGTGCATATATTTCATTATGTTGTAATCGTTTGAAATCCTCTCTCCCTATCTACGTAAGGATTATCTCTCCATTTTTATATATTATCTTTTAATTACTACTACTACTACTACTGCTACTACATTATCATCATCATCTTCATCCCTTGCTTTGTTTTCTTGTTTTGGTAAGCGTTTCAAATCGTTAGATATTTTTATTATAAACATTATGTATGAACACGCGCACGCACACACATATTTATATATCTGATAATTTAAATTGATTTCAAGATCCTGATGTCATTTTTTCATTGTTGTTTATTTTGTTGTCAATGATTTTTAATAATATTTTTCGTTAATTTGTTTAATTTTGTATCTTTGTTGCATCGAAGATGAATCGAATGTGAATTTTTATGGACGTAGTTGTTATTTATATTTTTAATAAAACTGTTACAGATTTGATTGTAATAATGTTCTCAAATTTACTGTCACAATTTGTATGAATTCGTAATAAAATTCTTGTTGGTGATAATTTTCAGTATATGTATCTCTCTCTATCTCTCTCTCTCTCTATCTCTCTCTCTCTCCGTTTCCATGTTACTATCTTATGAATCAAGGCGTTACGAAGTGTAAAGCTCGTGTGTGTTTTGTGTGTGTGAGTGTTAATGTAAAAATTAGGAATGAATGAATGAATGAATGAATGAATAATTCATATAAGCAAGTCCATGATTCCGTATATCATTTTGAATGTGGAGAAATATGGTGATTGATTGATGGTGGTGATTAGGTCGCCATTTTATTATCGCCAGCTGACAATGTTAACTTGGGGGGTTAATGTATCTGATTAAAAGAAAGAAATGCTGAAAGTAGAACAAAGTATTTATATGTATGTATGTTTGTGTTTGTCTGCACAACCTTTCTATAATTATATCAATACCCTTTTAAATCTTCATCTATCTCACTTCCTTTCTTTCTCTTTCTCTCTTTTTTTCTCTCTCTCTCTCTACATTTGTTTTTTTCTCGATTGAATTGATAAGATGTGAAGGTTGGTGATGCGTGAACATACTTATACGAATACATATACGATACATGTACATAATTAATGTGTCTACTTTACATGTATGAACGTTTATACGTGTCGACAGCGTTTGTATAACTTAGTTGGACACACAAGCGTGTACACGTCGTTTTGTTTGCATACACACGCATACATACATACACACATTTACATACATTCATTCATTCATACATACATGCATACAATTATACATACACACATACAAATGTCATTTTAATTTTATTTCATTTGTTTCTTCTCTAAATAAAACGGTTTTTTTTATTTATTATAACAGAAATAATTATCAATATTATTGTTAATATTATTACTATTCTTATTTATTGAAATGAAATAATATTCAAAATTCTACTTGTACAATTAAATAGTTAATTAGAATGAAAAAATTTGAATGAAATTGTCATTATATTTCCCTCTGTATGTAGGAAAATAATGGTGACGTTCTTAGCTGTTGTGGCGATGAAATGATGACGACCTGAGTCTTTTCTTCTTACGGCCAGTTTGCTATCAAGCGAGTTCAGTGGCGTCTGTAACGGTATATAACGCTGTTGTAGGCTTACATATTTCTACCATGATTATTTGTGGCACGTCAAACTAAAAAAATTATTTTGTCAATGTATATATATATATATATTTGTAGATGTGTATATATATACGTATTATATATATATATATATATGTAGATTAAAAAATAAAAATTTCAAAACCTTGTTATTTGATGACTTAACTTTAAATCAATCCATGATTTTCAAACAAGCTTTTCTAAAGTTGACAAATGTTTTTGTGGAAATATATATATATATATATATATATCTATTATGATTATTTTTATATATAATATATATATATATATGTATGTGTGTGTGTAATAAATTTAAGAACAGTAAAGAAATGCCATTAAAAGTTTTGTTGAATCACTCATGAGTAGCTTAGATAGTTGTACAACCACGTGCGACAAAGATTCTGTCAGAACTTTTTTAAAAATTTGAAATTGCTGTCATAAAAGCCAGTAAATAAGGTTAAATAAACTGAAATTGATCGCGAGCAAGTAAGAAAGATATTCACAATAACGGTAAGATGATTGAATGGTAATGTAATCCATAATTGTTTAACAGAAATTAATAAATGATTGATGTCACTTTAAAAAAGTGATCCTGATGATGTATTGTTTTTGAAATTATACAGGATAAACTCAGTGAAAATGATGCAGGAAATATTGTACCATTCTGAAATTAACGCGTTTGAAACTGAAAGACCTGAGTTGACAATATGAAAGAATCAGTTGCATGATGATTAAGGTAGAAAGGTTAAAAAGTTTCGTTTCTCCTATCATTCTCACAATCTACGCTTTTTTATTATCAGTTGTTTCTTCTTCATCGCGCCATCTATGTTATCATTTTGCTTTTCAATCATCCCTCTCCTCTTCAACATCACCTTCAGCATCAGACGATAGTGTTATCTAGAGCCATCTTCATGAACTGCGAACAAAAAATTTCTTTTTATATTAATACTGTCAAATTAACAAATTACATGCTACTTATCGATCTTATTATAAAAAATATGACAAAAGATTCAACTATTATAATCATGAGAATCACCGCAGAACACATGCGTACGCAAACGAGATTCATATCCATCTTCACTAACTTCTTCGTAATAGACTCTGATAACTCCAGTCTTCTGCACGTCTTTCTGCATGAACTTAGCCGACAGAACCTTCAACATGACACAGCACTGTATGAAATCATCAAATTTTATACTTGAATGGCCCTTCCTATCGAATACTCGAATGCACAACTGGCAGAAATTTTGTGATCTGTTCAGTGATTGGTTGAGAATGTGAAAAGTTAACCGTGTAAAGTGTTATCTCATTGGATAGTTATTATATTTATTCATGATGAATTAATTCATTATCATAATTAGTAACGAATCAATGACTTACAGGTTGTAGCCAAAAGTTTTGAAAGCATTGTTGAGTTCATGCACGTCGATGGTGCCTGACCTGTCCGTGTCGAAACTGCAAATAGCATGAAAATGATGGCAAAGTGTCGAGTAAGCAATGAATGAAGTTATTGTTACTATCTATCAACATATTCTAAAAGTAGAAACCTATCAAAACAAGCCCTCCACTCCTGTATGTATTTCCACAGCGATGAGAACTCATAAATATCTATTGTGCCATTTCTGTCCAGCAATTTTATTCAAGTATGTTTAAAAATTACTTTAAAGGGCATATTAACTCTTCAGATTAAATTTATCATAAATTTAGCAATTACTAATCTCAATTCACTAATTAATGCTAAACTATTAATCTCTAATGCCCAGAAGCAAATCCTGCAATCTGCCCAACAAGACAGCTGAATGAGCAAGAAACAAACGAACCTGTCCACGTCGAACATTCCCACCATCAACCTGCACGTCTCTGAATTGAATGGCGTGCAGTTGTTATTCATCAGGGAGGTCTGAAGTTCCTGTGCTGTAATTTTCCCATTGCAATCTTCATCAACTGCCTGTTTAACAATTTATTAAACATTGAACTAACATGTATGTAAATGTTGTGCAGATTGTAAACTTACAAAGTGAATAAAAACAAACACATCCCACTGTCCATCATTCACATAGTAACATACAGAGAACAAGCAATTAAGACAAGTGAAATGCAAACTACAAACATGTCTATTGTTTAACTTTAACATATGAATGATATACTAAAGATTATGAAATAAAATTAATTAATCTAGTATGGAAAGGAAATTTTGCCATAATAATACCAAAAAATATAAATGAAACCTTAAACCAGTCCCAGACGATAGGATCAATGCCTGGAGGTGCGTTATGAAAGCAATTAGTAGGCATAAATGGCCGATCGTTCTTTTTGCCGAAATTTTGAAGATAATATGGATCTCCTTGAGTGGGCAGAGAATGATGTTGAGCTGCTGGTGGTGGTGGCCCAGGAGGTTGATAGAATGGATGAGCGTGATGTTGTTGGGGGGGTAAACTCTGATTATTATGGTACTGAAAGTTGGAATACGGAGGTGGAGGCGGACCCTGTTGAGGATTTGGAGAATAAGGAGGTGGCAGTCCGGATGGATTCATTTTTCGTTGGGACTTGTCAGCGAAATTTAATTTTGAAATTTGAATTTGAATAAGTTTGGTTAGAAAGTTTTAATTATAAATCGCAAATTGGATTACGTAAGACTGATATTAGCTGAATGAAATTGTTCGTATGACGAATAACAATCCAGTCGATGGAATTTACAAGTTTTTTAAAAATAGCTCCAAGTGTTGGTCGGACTTCCTCGAATAGTTCGTTGTTGGCTTGCTTATGAAGATACATGGGCTTTAACGAACAAGCTATATCAACTACTTACTTATAATGTTTAAAACATTGTAATTAAATCGAATTATGTATCTTAAAATTATTTTGGTTTGTTGGAATATAAAAATTCCTTTTTGTCGTTAAAATATAGTAGTTTACTGAAGGTATTATAAGTATATGGTATATGCTGATGCCATAGTTTGGCTTACTGGGATTGAGCTATAGTAACACTGTTTTTACTAACTCGATCCTGTTAAGCTTTTATTGTTTCTTATGCGTAAATTGATCAAAATTGTTATTTTAACAACTATCTTCATTATGTTCAATAAATATTTTACATTCTGCTGGTGCTCATAAGAAGTGGATTGTTGAAATCATACTCCGACTTACTGCAGTGGCTTTTACCGGGTCTCATAGAACTCCTTTAACACATACACAAAACTAACAGTAAACTAACACATACTATCAGACATCAGTTTTTTTCAATGTTAATACCATATTTTCTAACTATAATTTTCACCAATGTTTCATCGCAGGTAAATGCTAATTAAGAAAATTGTGTTATATTAGCAGCGTCCGATCATTATTTCTGATCTGATAAATTCATAATCTGTGGAATAGGATAGTTTTCACTAGAAAGACTGACACGAACTAACACCACTTTAGTTAGTTAGAGCCCTTCTCGCTGACTAATTGATAGTTGAACGTTTTTCCCGAGCTTGGTTGGTGCTTCACTCACTTAACTAGTCATAACTTCATGCTTCTAAAATAGGACGCTAAGAAAAGAAAATTTCAAACGATCGTAGAATTAGAAGAGGATTGAAAAGATTAACTGGACTGAGAATCGCACAAATAAGGAAATTCTGGAGTTGATAAAAGCAGCATATATATTCGAGATATATGATAAGCACCATAAGAAAGACAGAATTGCCAAGTAGGATTGGACTGGGCGAACGGGCGAATCCCTATCCAAAGATTATAATTATTTTAGAATAGAATTGTTAACTAAATGATCTAAAAGATGGAACGGATAAAAAAATCATCTTTTTATCAATTATAAAAGACACAATTTTACTGGCCAGATGAGAAAAGCAGGAGGAGCTAACGATGGAAGAAGCAGATGCGATTGGATAATGAAAGAAACATTAGAATGCTTGTTGCTTCATGATTGGTTGAGTGAATGAGACGTCATTATTGAACAATCATTGATTTGAGTGACTTATTTAAAGTGCGATCATCGTAGAATTTGTTCGTGATTTCTAACATTTCATACTAGGTGGCCGATTTGTTTGCATGCAGCATAACTAATTTGTTGCTAAGAAGACAATATCCTTAAAAAGAAGAACGATTAAAATCCAAATCAAAATTCACACAATTATTTTTATATAAAAACAATAATTGGAATAATTAAAAAGTATTGCAAAAGATCATGTCAATTCAAAGTTACAAAAACGTCGGTGGAGATGTAGCAACGTTAAATGAGGCAGAAAATAGCAGCGAAAACACGAGCATGGAGCCACCAGGAATGTCCCCATCCTCGCCCACATCTTCCTCCTCGTCATCATCTCCATCACTGCCCTCGCCATCATCGCGGTCATCTTCGTCGTCATCATTTTCATCATCGTCAATGTTTGTCGCGCAGAACAGAATAGTTCTTCATAGACCGTTTGAGGATCGTATCAATAGTGACGCCCAGGTGCTCCATGCTGCTAAACCAACTTTTGACAGCAGCAGCATTAATGATAAAAAATTGAATAACACTCACAACGAACAATCTTTTCTGTTTCAACAAATCGTTTGTCAACAACAACAACATCCTCAACAACTGCAACAATTGCAACAACATTCTCAACAACTGCAAACCCCAACTGCTTTCAACTTTTTGCCCTCCATTTTCCTCCAACAGCACCCCCAATTTGCGCATCGCTTACTACAAATGACACTGAACAATTCAACGGCAGAACAGCAGCCTCTACAAAATCATCAACAACAACAACATCATCATCCTTATTATCAACAACAAAACAATCAACAAAAATATTTCAACATTATTCAACAGACACCTACAATCAATCAGAGTTTGTTTGATGGAATTCGCAACAGAAATTTTTATTTCGCTAACGTATGCCATGAAAACAAAACTTACTGTCAAGAGGAAAGAGACCTAAAAGGAGCAGCTACAACAACTTCACTATCGCCGCCTTCAAAATCGACCACAGTCACAACGACCACTCCATTGAAGAACGAAATTTTTCTTGAAAATGTTGACCGTAGAGAATTATTTGGCGGCAGAACCATGAAAGTTGACCAGCAAGACATCCACCAAGAACATTTGAGCAGTAGTAACAGATGTAAACGCACCGCAATCAACAGCAACAACAATCTTGCCAGCCGTAACAACGTTTTCCCAGCTAATCAAGTTGGCAACAAGCAAACACGCAACATATCCACATCAACAGCTGCACCAGCAACTCAATTTGCAACATTTGCATTGCCACCAGCACCAACGACAAAACCCACAACGGTATCATCGTCGTTTTCATCAATAAAAACTTTGAAACACGTTTCTGAAAAAAGCACGTACATTCCTTCATCATCTACGTCATCTTCCTCTCCCTCAGTTTCCTCACAAGCAATCAAACAACAAGCAACAGTTGAGCGATCCGACGACGAAGATGTTCTGAGCGACGCGCCAGACGAGCTCCTACTCAAGAGCGCCAAAGAATCTTCCCGAACCGGTCAAGAAACGAAAGCCAAAAACAGCAAAGGTAATAATTTTTGTTAAGTAAGTTCAAACATAAGCTTTTTTTAGGCTAAAAATGGCGTGATCTATTATTATAATGCCTTGATGAACAACGTAAATATAATTTAAACTAAACAGTACACGCGCACGCAAAAATGCAAGAACACATAAACATGCAATCACAAAAACAAGATATACACGACGCATACACACTTACATATATTTAGAAATAGAACTAAATATATTTCTCTCTCTCTCTCTCTCTTTCTGTCTGTCTCTCTCTCTCTTTACATATATATATATATATATATATATATATATATATATTTATTTATTTATATAAAAGTAGACGTATATATACGTGTACTTATCGGCTATCAATCTATTCATTCAATTGCTTGCTCGTTCACTTGTTCATCTGTTCATTTCTTTTTCATCCATCCGCCCATCCTTCTCTCCATCGATTAATGTTTGGTCAATTGGATTGTTTTGATTATTTCTTGGTCACGTGATACTTGGTGACATCATCAGATAAGTGACCAATCCAAAGAACAAATTGCTTTCGAATCTCCGAAATCATCTTTATTATCGCTGTTTCATTTTCTCTTAGTCTTCTTTGTTATTTAGGCAAAACAATATAAACAACAACAACATTTTGAACAGCAGCAACAGGAAGAATAAGAAGAGGAAGAGGAAGAGCATCTGTGATGGAGATGTCACGTGATGACCTAGCAACGACCTTCAGCGAGTTGCTTTGTTAAGCGATCTTCATTGGCCGCATCATCGAGAGAGGAGAGAGAGGAGAGAGAGAAAGAGAGAGAGAGAGAGAGAGAGAGAGAGAGAGAGAGGGATAGAGAAAGATGTTTGTGTGAGTGTGTGAACGCACGCAGTAACCAATTTGACTAGCACATGTGATCTCATGAAATATGCAAAAAACAAGATTGACAAATAATCAACTTGAGAATTAATGCATATGTAGACGTACGCCAATACGCTCATTCATTCATTCATGCATGCCTGAACGAACAAACGAACGAGTGAATGGATGGATGATGAATTAATTAGTTAATTAATCAAAAAATAAATATTTTTAAAGATATTTTAATTTTCACGATTTTGAATTCATACATTAATTGAAATATTTTCATACAAACATTTCACATTAAACTTGAAAATATTCTTAACGATAATGTCAATAATAATAATAATGCTCAGAGTGATAAGAATTACTTAATGATGACGGTAATGATAGTGTTGATGATGTTGGTGTGATGCCGACACATTTTAGACGAAGGTGATAATGGTGGAATTGAGTAGTAGCAGTGAGTGGAGAGCGTTTGAATTGCAAACTGTTTTCCATTAAACCTGGTGTCAGCATCATGAAGCTCACTTGACAATTAACTTCTTTAACACCTCACAACTGACTAACTTTGCCTGCCTGTTTCAACCGACACACACTCAAAGACATCCAAATAGACATACGCAAATTCAAATACGGGAATAATTTACGCATACAATCACACAAATTTTATTTGCGCACCAATAGTTTTAACACGTCGAACAAACAATGGGAGCAGCTTTTCACATATGCATTTGTTAAATAGGAGGATCCGATGAAAGTCAATTGAGACGTTACAGAACAGCCTTCTCCAGGCAGCAACTGGCAAAGTTGGAAAGGGAATTCTTGAAAGAGAATTACGTTTCAAGACCCAGAAGATGCGAACTGGCTGCTTCACTTAATCTACCGGAGTCGACGATAAAGGTAACATAACATTTTTCTACAAGCGCATACACAACTTTTAAAGATACAAAATAATTTTTTTCATTTTAGATCTGGTTTCAGAATCGTCGAATGAAGGACAAGAGACAACGCATTTCTATGACTTGGCCATACTTGGGTGGTCTCGCAGACCCGGCGATATACGCATACATTCTAAACGCTGCCGTTTCGTTGGCTCAACCAGCTTACCCTCACGCCGAAGTAACATCACCTCTGTCGCAACATCTTCACCTCAACAAGCATCATTTGCTTCCGTACAATTTTGAACACGGAAGAGTTTGGGAAAACAGAATAAACCATAGCTACCCGAAGACGGCTAGGGATGACGAAGACATGGATGAAAGTACAAGACATGCACGCCACCTCTTCCAACCATTCGAATGATTAATACAACAGTACGAGCGTCATACATAAGCTGCTTTTATTCATACAAACGTTAAATTTACATTTATAAAATCATTGGTAACTCTTGGTTGATCTCGAATCGATATAACTTCTAACAAATCAAAATTTAAATAATTTATCATAAACCCGTCTCGGCATACATAATAACACAATTCTCAATCTACAACCAATATACTAATGCAATTGTCAAGCTACAACAAACTCTCACCGATTGAACTGAGGTTTCGGAGGTACAGCATAACTGAACGACGAAATAGACGACTGTCGGATTAGCGAGATAAATTGCTTCAATCGACCAACCCAGCATCCTTATTCGCAATTACAATCTTCACGTTGCAAAAACTTCCAACACGTTCAACGAATAAAATTTAAACATTTAAACAAGTTATTTAATAAATCTTGTTTTTCCTCAAACAAAAATTCTAAACGAGAATAAAGATTTCTATTTTATTATAAATTGTCGTTCAAATTGAAGGGACTTAGTGCACTGGCCGTTGAACAACTGGGCGAGTTGAGCGGAAGATGATTTTCGTTAGCATCATCGTCACTTTCCCGGAAACCGGTAAAAAATGTGACATTATTACCGCCATTGTCATTACTAAGACTATCGTCACCCAATAGAAAGATGTTAGGGTTGGTTTTGTCCCCAGAATGTAGACCACGCCTGCTGCTTGTTGCATCATCAGTGATATAACTTTGAAGAACATGACCAGTGGCGTTACTAACACGTGATGATTGCCTGCAGAAATTATCTGACACCGAAAAGGTTCTCATCTTCTTCCTCTTTTTCTTCTCCTTGTTTTCCAGATCTAACTTATGAGTGAACGGCCGCCACAAGTTGTTATAAAAATCCCTTTCCAAACCGACATCCCCATCTACCTGGTGATCAATTGAATTGCCAGATTCGTAAGTCCAACTGGAACAATCAAATGTTTCAGATGAAGCAGATAGCGTGCTGTGACGGTGGTCTTCCACGTAATCAATACTTGAACATTTCTCAAAACTAGCACCGTACTCGTTGAACTTCTCAGGATTATCACGTTGGTCATCATTGCCTGCATTTTTTTTCTTTCGAACTGATCCCAAAGATTTGATTCCTGAGTGATAGAAACCATTTGGAATGCGTTGTTTCTTCTCATAAATTTCAAAGGCCAGATGTCGCAGCATGTAGGCTTCATCACTTGTATCTTCTTCAGAAAGTTGCCCTTCACAACCATCAATTCTAATCTCACCAACTTCATCCCCATCATATTCATAAGCCTCAGTCTGTTGTTTACCATCATTGCCAGACTCCAGATCATGATGGTTCGTTGTTGCAAGTGGCTGATGCGATGATTCCATGATAAAGTTTTTCATACTATGGCTTTCTCCTTTTGAATGGTTTTCTTCATTTAAAACTCTCCACCTGTTATGTTAAAGATTCTCATGAAATAGAACGCAAACTAACGGTGAAACAAACAACCGAGTAACTATTATTGTTCAACCGACACATAAATAAACCAACAAACAAATTGGAGAATTAAAAAAATTAAAAAAACCCCTGAATGAATGAATGAATGAATGAATGAGATAGTCCATGACACTTACTTCGGTACGTCAATTTCTTTATAAGTGAGAAGTTGCAGTCGACATGAAGACATGTTTGGTGGTATGTAAACATCATTTATATCATAGGAATTTGTGCTGTGTCTCTTCTGTGGAAGTTGCTGCTGCTGCTCCTGCTGCTGGTAGCTGCACGACTTGCGACGAGAATTATCGGATAATTTGAAATTATTATTACATCTATATTTATTATAATTATTACTACTGCTTAATTTATAATTGTTATTATTCAAAGAATGATTGGCTTTTGTTGGATGGACTTGTAAACTAAATAGCGAAGTTTGGTGGTTTAAGTTCTGCTTGGATTTCTTTCTTCTTTTGACATCGCTTGCAAATGTTGCCGACGACGACGACGAGGAACCTGCTGTTGAAAGATCAAACTTAAAAGCTACATCATCTTCATCGCCACCATCATCACAACTACTCACTCCTACCTTGGTAATATTCACTACCATGATCACCGTCCTCATCATAATTCTCGTCAATAAATGGAGAATCAACGGATGACAAAATGTCACTTTCAACTAAACCAGGCAAACTGGATTTTTTAATTCCTAACCAAAAATATTCATTTACAATATATATATATATATATATATATATATATATATATATATATATATATATATATATATACATATGCATGCAAAGCAACGATTATTATTTAAGGAGAATGTGCATTAAGTGAATGTAATATGAGCATACTTATTATCAATGAAGGATGGTGTGTGGATTCTTTTGAAGGGCAAGCACTGAACTTGCTACAAACATTACAACTTTTCTCCAAATTATCTTCTTCTTCTTCATCCTCCTCCTCCTCATTTTCATCATCCCATTTATCTAATTCACCTCCGACATCAGACAGTTTGTGATCCTCATGAAAGGCTAACCAATGCACTAGATCATCTTGAGAAATTGTTGACATCCAGCTAAATGATAAACAAATGAACAAACAAACCATTGAATGTGCGTAAGAATGAATATGTAAAAGTAAGAAATTTTTCAATAAATTGACAGTCATAGATTAATTTGCATTAGGAAGCTAAGCATAGTGTAATCATAGCAGCAATGTTAATTAAGAAAAGCATAATAAGGACAGCAGTTTAAATGAGGAGCCACCTTGTTCTGTGAGGATCCGGATCCAGGCAGGTATTTCTATCCAGTGAGCCTGTTAAATAGTTACAAAATTACCTCTACTTAGGTTATTATATTTGGATAAATTACGAAATTATCATCATTTCACCATCACTCATCATCTGCAGAAGCATGGCAACACTATAAAATCACCTTGGGATGGAATATCTAACTGACTAGCAGGCACATGGTCATGAAGGTAAGGTGCAGGTGACTGCAAGCAAAATGTTGCTCTAGTGATTTTTGCTGTTTTTGGGAGCAACAGATTCATTGGCTGACACCTGGCACATGTCAATTCTGATTGGTCTAAATATTTTTCTAACTGCTTCCTTTTTATTTTATGCATTTTCCCCGTCTGTTTAATTTCCCTGATCACCTTGCTGATGGTTGTGATTTTCTGCTGAATTAAATGCAAATCATTCAAAGTTCTATTCCATTCATTTTTTGCTGATGACATGAAACAAGCACTGCACGGGTTCCTGACACCTTCTTCATTCACTCCATCTTTCTTCATTCGCTCTTCATTCATTCTTTCTTTCTTTCTTTGTTCTTCATTTGTTCGCTCTTCTACAATCCATTGTCTAAAATAATTTTCAGTTGTAATTTTAGTTATGTAAATGAGAAAATAAAAAGATGATAAATTTTTTAAACACGCTCATGAGAAGCCACAACAATAACCTGCCACTAGGACCAGTACCACCACCACCACCACCACCACCACCACCACCATCATCATCTTCATCACAACAACTCTCTTCAGTTTCTTCTTCCTCTTCCACATCATCACCATCACCACCATCATCATTCTTTGCCGCCACATATTTTAAAGCTCTGCATTTTATAATTTCAATTTGATTATTGATTAATTTTAAAACTTCATCATCGTTGTCATCATCTGCTTCATTGTAAAGTTTCTGATGATTATCTCCTGAAGTTGTGTATGTGTTTTTGTAAACATTGTTGTTGTTTTTATGTAGCTGCTGTTGATGGATGAATGTTGTTGGACAGCCATCGCCGTTGTCTCGTTGGGATGCTAGAGAGTGTTTAAAACTACATTTGCTGTTTACCAGCATCTGATGGGAAATAAAGAAAAAATTAATTAATTTGAAATTGTTGTCAACTAAAGAAATGAAATATACAAAACTACTGGCACAAAACAAGTTATATAAACAAAATCATGCTTCAATCAACTGAACAAAGGGTACAAAAAATTGACTAACATTATTTTTAGAGAGCAATTGTTGCAGTTGTTTATAATAGTGGTCAACATTTGTCTTCACTTGTTTCTTGTGCAGATGATTCAATCTCCTGGTCATCATCATTATCCGATTCAACAATTTCATCTTATCAACTCTCAAAGAATCAACATTATCTGCAACATTTGCGATTCTCACAGATGTATCTTCCTCATTATTTCTGACATTGACATTTGAATGAGAAGAAATTTTGCATCCGACATTTCTGAAAAACTGTAGTTTAACATCTCCCTCTCCTTCTCTAGGAATATTATTATCAATGGATGATATTAAACTGCTTTCATTAAGAGAATTAATGTTGTCATAATTAGAAACTTCCTTTGAGTGAATAAAATTTTTCACTTCAAATTTTCTAGCCAAATTGATTTTTATGTCATCGCTTGAGCCCTCAATAGAGGCACCTCCTCTACTGAAAATGGGCAAGCAACTTCCAAATCCACTCACTTGAGTATCTTCAGGACCAATTCTTGCACTTGTATTTAAATTACTATCATCATTGTTAAAGTTATTAACAATTTTAGCGTTCTCATCAGTAATAGTGGTACTCATGCAAGAGGTTGAGGTATCATTAGCAATGTTAGCTGCATCAATTTGATTTTTATGATTTAAAATAGAGATATCTTGGTGAAAAGGAGGTGATGTGTTGGGGTCTCCAGCTCCACCACCACCACTTCTGCTGAGACGAATCATGTTGATCGGAACTGTCGTACACCTCGTTGCTGACTTCTCCAATGTCACTGCTGGTCCCATTAAAATTTTTAACACTCCAACTGGACATCACTGACTCATCTCAAACTGGGAATGGCTTGTTAAAGAGTTAAAAAACTAATACTAATTACACATATATAACTTGTTATAACTGAGCAGCGTTTTGTTTGTTTAATTATAAACCGATTGATCACACAATTTTATTCAATTCAATTATTTCAATGTTTTACAATTAAAACCCAAATAAATTGACTTGCAAGTGTCCTTCAGTGGCTGGGTCTGTGTTGTGTGGGGTTACTTTTTTTTAAATGCCTGACCTCAAAAATTGTGAACGTTATTAATGGCTGATATGAAATCGAAGAACTTGACAAATTTAAAAAGATAATTTTTCTTACAAAATCAGACGCATCAGACAAAAAAAATTCGCATTTAAAAATTAAAAACGCAAATATCGTCACACGGAGCACGTATCATGGCCGATAATCACGTGATGTTTATAATTCGACATTTTTCAAGCGATTTGCTGTCTTTGGTCAGCCAGACAGGTAATCAGGATAGTGAATCGAAAGTTGGTCGTGCACGGATCAACGGGTTGGGGACAGCGAATGATGAAAAAATCATAAAAATATAAAAATCAAAGGTGAATCAAAGTTTGTAAAATCATTGGACATCGTAAAAAGCGATGAAGTAATTGAAAAATCGAAGGTATTAGATCAGATCAACCACCAACAGCTAAGCCAACATGAGTTAGTTTTAAAACATCTCAAACAAACATCTAAATTGTATCACTAAACTGAAATATTGAACAAAATTCATCGATCAAATGAATCAAAGCGTATCAAAATATTTAATTAGACTACAATACAAAAGATTAATTAAACCAAAAGCAATCGATAATAATGAAGTGGCCAGCCATACACTCCAACATTTAAACACACGCCGGTAATACTTTAAAAAATCTCTCTGTACAAGTATGAAGAATGATGCATGAATGCATTTGAATGAATGGCTATTGAATGTATAAAACAAATGAATAATGCACATGGATGATATATTGAAATGTCATAAGGTCTAGTCAACAACGGACGTAATCACAAAGTAACATTTCAAATGAAAAGTAAATAAATACGCAAACGCATGATAGCACACAACTCATCCATATTCAAATATTCATTCATATTCATATTCATCATTCATATTGAACTCATATTCATATACATATGTATATATATATATATATATATATATATATATATATATATATATATATGTATATATATATTACACAAAATAAGGCACAGAGCAATTAAATTTAAAAAAAACGAGTGCAACATCAAAACTGTATCAAGATGATGGTATCAAAGACACCATAGAGCTGAATAATTTAGATAACTTATTAGTTCTTTGAATAAGTCTCCGATTATTAGCAATTACAGAAGAGCCTCTGCTATTACTTTTGCTCTTGTGATCTTTGATAACCTTTTGATTTTTCAGCCGTGCAATGAGTCGAACGTCTGACGATGATTTGATAGCGTAGTAAACATTGCCCCGGTCAGGTAGGTAGATTTCTATGCAAATAATTTAAACACCTGTTGTTCTTATATTAATTAATTAATTAATCAACTAATTAATTAATTAACTAGGAACGAGGTTTCCATTAATGCAAACGTCGTTGAAAATTGCAGCCCACCTGGACTTAAATAGTTTTTTAGTATATTTTCTTATATTATTCAGCAGCTGATGGTTCTGCAGTCTGACAGAAAATCGAACAACCCAGGCAAGTATTAAAATAACTTCCATTTATATTAAAACAACGCAAGAAAAAGTTTAAATATTGAAATAAATAAGGAAGAGAATGACATTAGAACGCATACCACTGTTGTTCTCAAGCTTTTGTGAAAGTGCAAATTCGTCTGGGCTGACGTCTTCGATGTGGAATTTTGACAGAATCTTCCTCATCACTGTCGATACATGATCAACATTTGAGACCTACCATGAATAAATATATAAACAATATATGTCATCATTAATATTAACAATATTATAAATTTCATCAATGCATCTGGGCAAAATTAATGAATGATGCACCAATGATGTTTTAATAGTGCAACAAAAACTGCATTAACCAACCAGAATTGTTTTGTAAAAATTGCTGCTGTGTGATTGATTGTAAATGAGTTCAACTTTGACGGGAATGCAATTTGATTGGTCGTGAAAGGTTTTGGAAGGTGGTGAATGAAGAGAAGAAGGTTTCTGATTGGCCAGGAGATTATTCATTGAGGTACACTTCGATATCATGCTCAGTGTATCAAACTGTTGGGTAAGAGCTTTTGAGAGAACACTCATCTCTTTCAAACTCTGAATACTCTTCCTATCCTCATCGAGCACGCCACACCCAGCAGCAGCAGCAGCAGCAGCAGTAGTAGCAGCAGCAGCAGTAGCGGCAGCAGCAGATGTTGTGCAGCAAGCAGAAGAAGCATTTTTCAGGTGGTTGCCATCATCCATGGAGCCTCTGCGTCTGATGGTGAAGTAACCGAGGCTAACGTTTCTTTTGTGGTTCTTCAGTGCTTTCTCCTTAGTTCCACTGTTGTTACTTGGTTCTATCTCCAATGAAAGTTCATAACTGCATGAAAATATTTTTTTCATCATCATAATCATCATCACCACCAACATCTATCATCATCATCTTCGCTAACCTCTCATTATCATCATATGTTCTTATAGAATAAAACCAATCAAGAAAGCATGGATCGGGCTGAATGAATGATGAAGAACCAAACGATGATGGCGGTTGCGACGACGACGACGATGATGACTGCAGCATCTGAATTTGTGCCAACACCTGTTTGTTTCATTTGGTTTAAAACATTTCACAAATGGCCAACCACCATTGAAGTCATAACCGGCAGAAACAATGAACGACGAGCAACTTATTGATAGGAAGTAGCAAATGAGATGACAAAGGAGCAATAACTTGAACCAATTTTACCTCATACTCCTTCCTCTTCTTGTCCATGTTGAACATCTTTGTCTCGTGGTCGACATCAACGAAGGCAGCATCCAGCATCATCAGATCCGTCAGCAGCGTGCCCAAGTATGGAATGGTGCTGTGCAAGGAAGGCTGCCACCAGGCCTCCCTCAATGCATCTGCATCCAATTCTCTAGTCGAATCTTCCTGTATTGACGACAATTTATATCTTAATACATCGGCTATGGCGATTTGTGTGTGGAAACATGTATCAAGAATTTATGCGCAAGAACTTGACAGGATAGGTTTGAACTCCTACAGAGGAGCTACTCTAAACAACGTTCACTGAACGAGAACTGGAAGTATCAATAGAATGATTTTTAAAAATTAACGCAGCCAACCAGCTTTTGCAAAGTTGTGTTAGATTTCTTATCGGCATTCATTCTGGTCATCATCATCATCATCTTCTGTCTCCAACGTCTTCCTCTGCTGCCTCCGACCCAGTTAGCATTACCAGTGATATTGAAATCGTGGTCGCCAGTGAGTGGCTGATGTTCCGAGTCAGTTGTGCACCTGACGGCACCTTCCTAACAAATTAAATGATCAAATTTATTAGAATAACTTGGCACAAGGTTCGTCTTTCATGTTACTGAGATAAGTTTAAATCCAGCGATGTTCTCAATGAGTTGAATGCTGCCTGGACAATAACTATCACACAAGCGTTGAATTCCAGATATCAAAATATCATTTTCCCTCTCAACATCACCATCAACATCTCCTTCGACTCTCACTTTATTCAATATCTCCCTCAGCAGTGCCTGATTGTTTTCTTCGTTGAAGATAGATGCAAGCTCGTTGTACGTATCCATCCTCTCTCTGGCAGGTCAAATACGTTTCAACCATTAAACTAAATTTCAATCATTAAAATGACTCAGCAATAAATTTAAGTGGCAGACCTAATAAATAAACATTTGAATAACTAAATACAAAATGAATAAACTACTTGAAATGAAAACAAATTTAAAAGGATTGGCTAAAACATCAGTTCAATGAAAAACATCTATTTAATGAAAAATTTACTAAAGACCAATAAAATTTTGTAGCTTATCTCTTAGACCTATATTCATACAGTGAACATCATCACCATCGTCCTCTCGTCAACTCCATCAACATACTTGGACAGAGCCAGCCAAACTTTCTTCAATCTGAAGACAGAATTTGATTGGAGGGCAGCAATGATGGCCTTCAAAGACGAAAAGTTCTTCAGCTTCTTGCATTCCTACAGCACATTTCAATTGAAATCTTTTCAATTATTAACGATACTACACAACTCAAACATTAATTTAGTAATATATCTATTCGAAACAGAGACATCAGTTAGTACTAATGAAGCGATGTTAAGCTCATTGGCTGCTGCCATGCAACGACGTATACACATAGCAGCAGCAGTAGCAGTAGGAATAATAATATTGATATTATTCATGAATATTGATTTTATTAGAAATTTTAAAATGGTTGATAATAATTAAATAAATAGATCCAACCACCAGCAATGAAACCAATTAAAAATTTAAATGAAAAATTCATTGAAAAGTAAGAAAAGGTGAGCAGGATGAATATTAAAGCCCCAAGCGGATAACCACAACCATTAGGTTACCGCACCGCAACCGTGGATAACAAACTCTCAAAACTCCGCGGTTTTTGTCTGTGCAGGTTGCCGCAAATGCGGATTCAAGTGCGTTATTTAAAATCCGCCAGCAAAATTTTCAAAAATTTCCAGAATAAATGTTGTTTTTTCGTTTGTTTGCATATATGTACGTGTGTGAGTATGTATGTGTATTTAAGGACCACAGCTGGGTCCACGGTGATAAAGCCAAGCAAGCAGCTTCTACAAATTACTTCAGTGGATTTGAATAAAGAAAGTTATTTCAATCTTATACACGTCCATACATGCACACATAATGTAAATGTGTGTGCAAATGTGTGTTATACAAAACGTATGTGTGAAGTGTATCTATCTTTGATGCTTTGATGCACCACCATACATACACATATACGATACATACATACGTATATACAAATTAACATACTGTACATACATACATATATAAACATTTATATATATATATTGGTACAACCAACGTAAAACATAACATCTTCATAAATATCAAATAAATATATAGCTTGTTTGAGTTCCTCATCGTCGTTCATCTTGTGCTCGTTGTTCAGGCCGATGTTATTTCAATCATTAAATTAGAAATTTATTGAATTCATTATATTGTAAATAGATTTCCTTCTAGTGTTGCTTCTAATTTTAAACATAGATTAAGACTGCCGATTTAGGTTGCCCGTTCGCGAGTGCGGTGCGGATAATGAGCGGACGGTCGCGGACGTGAACTCAGCAGATGCGGGCGGTTTTGAAAAATCTTCTCTGCTTGGAGCTCCAATGAATACGTACATGAGCTACGACAATCCACTTTTCAAGGATGACGGTTCGATTCGTGACTGTTGCATATGGCCACTTCAAAATAGTAGAAATGACTCGGTACGAGACGGCATTGAAGTGTTCGACTGTTGCAAGTACAGAGTAGGGACGGGATGAAGTCGACAGTTTTTTATCATTCCTCTGTGACCAGATGGAGCCCAAGCAGTGATGTGCTTGCACATTCCCAAATAACTTCTGTTAAGTATTATAAGAACAGTAAACTAACCAAAGGATCAATCAAAAAACGGTCACCGACAAACACCAAATGAATACTAACGGAGTCGATGAATGTTAGTTGTTGTGCTAAGTAAGAAGGAGGAATGGAGAAGATATCAAACGGAGGACTGAAGACGGGGAGGTGTGTCTTCCAAACCCACTCAACCACATCCAGCATCGAACCATACATCAAATCATCTTCAACTGTCGTCAACAACATTCTCATTCAAATATAGTTGAATCAACTCATCATCACCATCATCATCATCGTCATCACCATCATTCAATAAAGTTACCTGATTCTGACATTAAGCAAATGTGCATTCTTTCTTTTGTTTCTCTAGCAAGCTGAGAGTCAGAAAAATGTGACTGAACAAATGAATTCAACTGGCTGAGTGAGTTGAATGTCGGTGGTTCAAAAAAATCATCAAAATATCTGTCCAGCCATAATAGTAAGATTTTTTCTAAACTTCTGTCGAGGGATAAATTAAAAAATAATCATTCACTCATTTTTTCCATCACTCAATTTTTAAAATTTATTTGTCATTCATTCAATCATTCCTCTTGTCAAATTGGTTATGTCTTGATGAATTGCAGGTTGGTTAAGTAACCTATCTAATTTTTCTCCATAAAGTTTGTTGCCTGTTATTTCACTGGTAACTTTCAGGTACCTTTCAAATCAAATATATTTTGAAAGTAGTTTTAAATGTAACATTTGAAACAAATCATTTCAAAAATATGATAAAAAACTCGATCAAGATTAAATTACCAATCAATAATTGTTTGGAGGAGTGTTGTAACGTTAGTAAATGATCTAAACGTGGCTAGGAGGATGTCGACAAACAAAATATTGATTTCCCCGGATGCTTGGCACATGCATTCAACAATTTTAGGCAGGGTGCCCCATTTTAAAATTCTTTGCTCCTCTAATCTCCATTGTAACCTGGCCTTCTTCTCATCTTCATTATTCTAAACATGATAAAAAACACATTTTAAGATTTATTTCATTACTTTTGATTTTGAAAAAAATAAAAAAAACCCTAAACTTTAAAAGAAACTAGTAAACTCAGTAACTAAGAAGCACTAACCACACTCAAACTTTTTTAAGCACTTTCTCTAATTAATATTAATAATAAATGTTTTCATCTCTTCACACATTATTCATAAGGGAAAGAAAAAATTAACTTAACCACCAACCAGATCTGTGCTGTTGTCACTAAAATGAACTTTTTTCAGATTCACACAAAAGATTGCATCCTCTGTCACTTCTTCTTTTAAAAATTGCAAATTCAGCTCCTAAAGTTGCAAAACAATATATATTATATATTTATATTTTATAGCAGAGAATAAATTGCATAAATATTTGATAATATAATATAATGCATTTGAAGAATATTATTTAATAATTTTGTGACAAATAATGAAAAAATATCTTAAACAATAAAAAATAATTAAATTAATTTTTTAGGCAAGACATTTTTGATTTTTTTTATGATTTATCAGTTTATCTGTTTATCATTGTTAATATTAATTATTGACAATTGTGAAGATTTATTTGAAGAATGAGAAGAGAAGATGGAGAAGAATAGATTTGAATTTGATTTGGGAAGAACAAACAGACAGACAGACAGGCAGAATCATAGAATAGAATATAGCTGATAACACTATTATAACAGATAATAGGATAGATATAGACTCCTATCTGATAGAGAGATAAACATAGAATAGCAATAGAGATAGATAGATAGAGTAGAAGACTCATAGATAACCTCATCATCATAAGAATCCATTAGAAGACAACAAAAAACAACATGATCGGTCAACGATAACTAAAATTGGAGTTTAATTTTTTAAAACTATCATTTAATTAGTAAATTCGTAAAAGAAATTGAAAATTAATCTACATTTTACACGATCTACAATGTTGAACTTTTAAATTAGACAAATGTTACAGATTCAGTTTTATATGGAAAGTTAAAACAATTTTATAAAAATATGGAATGCGATCGTCTTCGATAGCAACCACATTCAACCCATCCCCGTTCAACCTCCAGACAAAATTTAAAAAAAAAAATTTTCTTTCTTAAGTAAGAAATTGGACAGCAGCTCAAATGTAAATTAATCCACGCTGGCAATCTTACGGCGATTTTCAAACGGAAACGCCAGATTGGCAGGCAGGGTGAGAGGGTTATTATTGTTGGAAATTAATTAAATACAATTATTATTCTTTAAAGTTAGATCAATAATTGAGAGTTGCACAATAGTTTGAATGTGATGTAACATCTGTATGTGAGTGCGCGTGTATACGTGCGGGTCTACAGGCTGATGATGCATGGAAGTTGATGACACACACCAGCCAAAGGATAACTGAGTATTGATAATGAATAAATAATTGAATGAATGAACGAATAGGAGAATGAATGAATGATAGAAAACAAATAAATATAAGGCATGCATGATGACGTTGGTGGTGGTGGTCATGAATAAAACCAAATGAATAAGTGGCAATAATGGAATGAACTTTCAAAAAAATTTAAAATTAATTAATCAATTGCTCATTGAAAACCGTGTACACAAAAAGAAGCGTTATTAACGTACATAATGTCAAAAACTCCGAATATCCGTGCATGATGCCATCACATCGAAACATCAGCGCTCATGAAGGAATGAAAGTTTAGATAGATGTGACAAAAGATTGCAGTTTCAAAATGAACAGCCTGCCAAGAAGCAAACGAACGAACGAACGAACGAACGAACAAACATTTCAACAGTCTCCACTGCATGCAGGCTCTTGAAGTGATCAGGTCGGTGAACCATCTCAACATTATCATTGTGTAAAATGTTGAAACAATCTCTACTGGTAACAAAAACCACAAAATTAAATAACGAACGAATGAATGAGAGAATGTACGAACGAACGAATGAATGGAATAGATGAAATTAATAATTTACAAATGAATAAAATGTAAAAATTGCTAACGAAAAATGAAGTGGTACGATATATTAGAATATAATTAATAATAACAATGAATGCACATAGAAGCGAAGTAGGCACGCATACAAAATATAACAAATTCAAATAACAATAGAATGCATATCACTAAATCATAATTGAATAACAAAATTAATAAAAAATTGCTAAATAATGTGCAAGCAACCAATGCAAGTAAATGTATATGACAGCCGTAAAACTTGAGGCATTGCATAAATATATATATATATTAATTTAAAAGTTTCATTTCAAATTGAAATGTAAGCTCCGTTTGAGCAAAAGGCCGAAAAGAACATCACAATAACGAAAAATGAGACATGACATGAGAGCACGTAATAAAATGACTTGCGATTGTGGCATGCGTAACATAGGTGCAATTGAATTCATCATTCACCATCCCACACTGCAGACTTTCATGTAACTTATCGCTAAGAATACTATTGTTAGTCTAACCCCTAAACATAACCATGATGAAAATGTCTTCTAAGTATTTGCTCCTGTATCTGCTTTTAACGCGATGCAAGCTAAGGTTGACAGATTGAAATAATTCAGGTTGGGTAATTTTCAACTAAAAAAATAATTCGCCTAATGAAGATGATAACTCACTTTGACAGTACGCACTTGACAAATATCTAGTACGAAAGTCACCGAAAATATTCACGAACTAATTAATTCACCTAAAAACAATTACTCTTAAAACATAATTCACTTATCGCACATAATTCACGTTAACTGAAGGAAAAATGACTACTAGCAAATGGAGATGTAAAATTGGTAAGTAAGCAACGAGCGGATCAACAAATTAAAAAAAAAACTCTACACTACAACAAACACAACGAAACGAAACGAAATGAAATAAAGAGGAAAAAGAACAAAGAAAGATGAATGGCACAGGCAGGCAACCACACAACAGATCAAACCAACCAACCAGACAAAAAGACAAAAACAACATAAAAATAGAATAACAATATATTGAATACAAAATTTTTTAAAATGTTAAACGAGGGTATACATAACTGATAATAACAGTTAATAAATGTCATAGATTTATAAGTTTAATAAATTGAATAAAATACAGAAAAATTAATACAAATAAAATGAATTGAAATAATGACTATATACATATGTATATATGTATATATACATATATATATATGTATGTATGTATATGCATAAAGCATAGCACGCTCAATGAAGCATACATGCATGGTGTAAATGAGTTGTGAAAGGTTGTTCGGAAATCAGTTATCAGAAATGTAAACTAGCCTAGCATGTAGCACGTTCACGGGTTCATGATAATAAATAATTGAGGTGCAGTGATACAAAACATCCATCAGTCAGCCAGTCAGCCAGTCAGCCAGCCAGCCAGTCAGTCAGTCAGTCAGTCAGTCAGTCAGCCAGCCCGCCAGTCAGCCAGCCATTCAGTCAGTCAGTCAGTCAGTCAGTCAATCAGTCAGTCAGTCAGTCAGTCAGTCAGTCAGTCAGTCAGTCAGTCAGTCAGTCAGTCAGTCAGTCAGTCAGTCAGTCAGTCAGTCAGTCAGTCAGTCAGTCAGTCAGCCTGGCTTCAATGCAATGAGCTGACGAGATCAAATTGGCCTCACATGCACATGCATATATATAATGTATATATATATAATGTATATATAATGTATATATATATATATATACATACATATTGCAAAGCAGTATGTATGTATAAAACAATGAGAGTTTGGTGTTTGACGGCGCAAATAAATGTCTAAGCAGATTGAGTAGTTTATATTGCTGATATAACATTTGACGCATGCGTTAAAAGGAAAAATGTACAAAACGAATGACAAAAATTTGTTGTAAAAAGTGAATGAGTGAATGATGCGTGGAAGAAATTAATTTAAAAAAGAGCGATAAATTGCAAAAAATGATATTTTTCGTAAAGTAATATAAAAACTGTGAAGCTTAATTTAATGTGGAATGGACAGTCATTTAAAATGCAGTAAAAAAAAACAATGCAAATAAATAATTTTGATCTTATGTTGTGATGAGGCAACAATTTAAATGAAACGTGAACAAAACCAGAGATACGTTAAACTGATGAGAATGTGAGTGCCTAAATGCCTTGCTGTTTGTCCCATAGATAGATAGATAGATAGATAGATAGATAGATAGATAGATAGATAGATAGATAGATAGATAGATAGATAGATAGATAGATAGATAGATAGATAGATAGATAGATAGATAGATAGATAGATAGATAGATAGATAGATGGATAGATAGATAGATCAATGAACAGCCCTTACAAGAACAAGAACACAGCAGCATCAGCACACCGACAAAATCAAATCGCTCTCAAAGTATTTATGCAATCAAACAAACACAAGTTGTGAAAAGAAGAAAATAATAACAACAAAAAAAATGTTATTTCCATTATTATTATAATTATTATAAGTAATAGAATAACGTGATATGAGAAGCATTGTATTCAGTGGCTGTGATGATATGTTGCTGACTGGAACAAAAACTATGAAGAAGAATTGAAAGTAGCAATGGGCGGAAATCCCGAATAAACCGTTAAAAGTACCTTGCATAATTCATTGATGTGATTGGAAAAAAAACAAATGTGAGAAGATCAGTTGAGACGTGGAATCTGGCGGATTGCACTTAGTTAGAATTAGCTGATTAAAGATCAATGAAGTTTTTGCTGGTTGTTGTCGCTGAGGCCCTCTGCTTCCTCTTCACCAGGTTCAAGATGGTCATTATATCTCTCTTCATCTTCCGCTCCAACATGCTCAAATGGCTAAAATTTAAAACCATCATCATTATTTTTGCCATAGTATAAATTCACAGATACACACACACACAACACACAAGCGCGCAGTCAGACAGGCTAACTGACTCATTGATAGTATCGAGCCTCCTTTCAAGTTCATCCTGACTTGAATCAGCTTCATCGCCATCCTCATCATCATCATGACGTCTTCTACCATCATCATAGTCATCATCGTCATCATGTTTTCTATGATATTTCTTGAAAGCGGAACCATCGTCACCAACATCTTCTTCATCTTCATGTTCGATGCACGGCAGAGCCGAACTTTTCAGCGAATGAATAGTTGATGAATGTTGGGCCTGCAGTTGAGTTGTTGTTGTTGTTGTCACTATTACAACCAACAACATCAACAAAACGACAACATCGCCACCAAGTGATTATTCATATTCAAAGAGTAAGAAAGTACTGAGTACTTGTTGCCATTTTTTAGAAGCATCATTTTCAGAGAGAGATCGTGTGGTGGTGAGAGTTGTGGCAGATGCTGACGACGAACTTAAATCTTCTCTTCCTTCTCCTCTCTCTTCGTCCTCATCATCTTCCTTCCTATCTTTATTAGCTGACTTTGTTGTCTTATCTAACAAAGCAACAACAATTTAAATTCAGCGCTAGAAAAAATTTTCATCTAATGAACAACACCATCAGCAACATCCTTTCCTCAGATTAAAATCCAACCTGGGCCGACCCCATGAACGATGGATGACTTGGTTAGCCTGGAGGAGAGAAAGGTCAAAGGTCGAATTTCATTACTCTCACATTCCTTCATTCTCATGTTGCTCAACTCTTTCTGTTTGCATTCAAGTGTTTTCAGTTATTCATTGAGATGGTAACATTATATGCATGGATCATCATCATCATCATCATCCTCATCATCACCACAACGTACATCTCTCAGGTCGTAGGTGATTTGGAGGTTGGAGACGAACTGCCTGGCAAACTCGGGGTACATTTGAAGAACGTCCAGGAGGTCTTCACGCATGACCTTGTGAAGGTCGCTGTATGTCAGCGCCCTCACGTTGCAACTCGACTTGCCCATGCACTCGTGCTCGCAAACGTTCTCGCCAAACACATCATCCTTACCTGGAATGGCAGATGTAGAAGAAGAACGAGAAGAACAGAGGTAGAAATGCAACGCGACGAACGAGCAAACAAGCCAGCAGAGAAAGAAACAGACAGACAGACGAAAGAAAAATAAAAGAAACAAGCAGACAGACAAACCACTAACTGAGAATAGCAATGATGGAATCGTTCTTTGAAATTTCGATAGAACCACGACTGATAAAGTAGATGGCGTCCAGCATGTCGCCCCTATGAACTAGGGTGTCACCCGGTGGGACGTGGGTCGTCTTGAACTTCAGTGAAAGAGCTCGCAGGCAGCCTGGACTGGCTCCTGCTCAGTTCAGTTCATTGTTCGTTTCATTTAAAGATAAGATGGATGGTAGAATGAGTGTGAGCTGTGTTCATAATGATTAAAAAACCTTTGAAGGCAGGACAATTTTCAAGAAGATTTTGATTGAGATGGATGCAGATGTCCGCCTGTAGGCATTCCGGGAACCCTTTGAGAACCTTTTAAAATGCAATCATCAGCCCCATCTTAACCATTATCACATCACAGTTATCGTAGTTATCAGTGGAGAAACAAACACGGGGAAAAACGTGAATAAAAACTGACCACATTCATATCGATTCCGTTGGTGTAGGACCAGGCGTGCTGGAAATATTCCTCCAGTCTCTGCCGCAGTGGGTTTGGAATCTGGTGGAACCTGCAATGAGACCAGCAAGTTTCATCGCGTCATTCACCTTTCTCCCAGATTTAAAGAGCACACGACGTCTAACACACGAGGCCTATGATGGTCTCCACCTTCAAACAAACAACATACAAACGAAGCCAAGCGCCACAACGACGCAAATCATAGCAACAGAACTACCGCCTGTGCTTGCATGTGTGTTTGTGTGTGCGTGTGTGTATGTGCATGGTCCACAATAGAAATATTTCTAATCATTGCTAATTAACCACTTTCTTCAAAATTGAAAAAATCGTTACAATCACTCCGGTAAAAAGCGAAGAGGGACCTGATGAACTCCTTGACCTTCTGGAGTTGCGTGTGGTACCTGGCCGTGCCACTGTACAGCCGTTGGATGATGGCGCTCACGTTTCCAAATATGCTGGCGTACATCAGAGCTGCTCAGTTGTGGCGGTTGCGGAGGTGGTGGCGTTGATGAGGGTGATGACGAAGAAGGAGGAGGGAGAGGAGGAAAGATGGCGACAGGCAGGAGGAAGATGATGACGAAGAAGAGGATGAAAATAAAAGAAAAGGTAGTAAGATGATGATGATGAAGAATAATACCAAGAAAAGAATGTTTCACAGGGTTAATAATGAAAATAAAGCAATGAAAGCAGCACATAACAAACCAATAAACAAACAGACACACAAACAAACAAACAGACACACAAACAAGCAGACAGACACGGACGTACAGCCAATCAGCATGACGCAAATTGAGAAAATCTTCTCCGAGTTGGTGTTGGGTGAAACATTTCCGAATCCAACACTGGTGAGGCTGCTGAAGGTGAAGTAGAGGGCAGTTATGTACTTGGAACGAATCGATGGACCTCCATAACTCCCGTTGAAATATGGCTGCCTGATTTCATTCAACAGCTTCATACTACAACATCTTTTTTATTTATAAAATCGAAATAAAGATGCACACATTTTAAAATTAAATTTCACAACTTAACTTTAAATAGATTAAAATTCAAACAGACATATCAAGCAGATAAATATAAAACAAATAAAGAAAGACTGTCGGACAGACAGACAGACAGACGGACGGACCAACCTCGTCTGTTCGGCCAACTCATCAAGCCATCCAATTCGTGGCATGCCAGTTTCAATGACAGGCCTCTCTGCGTTGCCGATGGCGTACCAGACGCAAGCCAACCAGTGAGCGATAAGAGCGAACGTTGCCATGAGCAAGAGAAGAACAGCGGCTCCATATTCGCTGTATCTGTCTAGTTTCCGGGCCACTCTGACCAATCGCAGAAGTCGAGCAGTCTTCAAAAGACCAATTAGAGTTGTCGCCTGCAAGAAATTTGAACTTCTAATTAGAGACATGAGATATCTCTAAAATATGGCTTTAATTAGTACCAAACGATTATTTAATGATGAACCCAAAAAGGTTTACAATCAGAAAAGAATTTTCTCAAAATACAAAATTCACTTTTTCAATGAATGAATGAAAATCATGAGGGAGAGAGGAAGAGTTTTTGAAATCTGCTTAAGAAACATTGCACTAAATGAAAAAAATTGCTTTGGTAACAATATAGTTGAATGAAAAAATCGCGCAAATATTTGAAACAGCAGATTTGCGAGGAAGCAGAGAAAGAAGAAAATGACGACGACGATGACCTCATCCGTGTTGGTTCCGTAGAGGAGAAGGTCGAATGGGATGGCAGCCACCATGTCGACCAGGAACCATCCTTTGAAGTAGTGCAGGGCCATTGCTCCAGTACGACTTACTACCTCACCTGCTTGTGTGTATGTGTGCGTGTTGTGCGTGTGTGTGGAGTAGTCTGCTGGTTGGCTGGCTAATTAGCACTAGCAGCAGCATGACTACGTCATCGTACGAACACGATCACATCATGTCATGACCATCACACTTGGCCCACCTTGGTCGTCAACGAATGTAGTTCTGAAGTTGATGAGGATGTCAATGATGAACATCACATCAACGGCTGCATCGGCAACGGCCAACCAATCGTTGCTGTTTATATTATTACCATCACTGCTCAGGCTACTGTGCTGCTGCTGTTGTTGCTGGTGGTGATTGTTGTTGTTGTTGTTATTTTCATTATTATTTTCCTCACTGTGATGACGATGACTATCACTGCTATCGCCATCGACAGCCTGCTTCTTGTCCAGCAGGAAGGCGGCGACGTACGGCGTGCAGACTGCGGTGTAGAGGACGAGAACGAGGATCAGCCAGTCCCAGGCAGCCTTGAAGGGCGAGTAGTGCAGAACCGTCAACCTGCTCATCTTCGCAACCTTCTGCAACTTCCTGTCTGGCGGTTGCACCTCGTCTCCCAAAGACAACACCTGCATCACGTCGCATCATGTTCACACGTTACTATGCATCCCCCAATGCATTAGTAATTAATTAATTAATTAATTAATTAATTAGTGCATCGTGATTGTTGTCGTGATCATTCCTTATTGTATTTCAATAGGGTGATTAGTTTGGTGAGTTCTTACATGATATGGTGATCATCTAAATCATATCACACCTATGTAATTGAGCTGACATAATAAAAATGAATAATTATAATTTTTAAATTTGGGAAAGCAGTCAACATAATGAAATCATTTCATTGTGGAGAAGAAAGCGACCTGTGCCATCTTCTGGGTGACATTATGCCTGACCGACTGAACGGGAAACAATCCGGCATACGATTTTTCACCAAGCCCTCCATCAAGTCCTCTTTCTCCGGTCAACTTTCTTATCTCATCTTCCAACTGTGAAGGGCATAATGAAGGTCGCGACCTTGATCCACCTAAGTTTAAGGTCGATCTATCGAGATCTCGTATTACATCCGATTCTTCTGATTGGTTGATTTCATAAGAAGACGACTGGATGAGTAAGGGTGAGGAGGGTGGAGTCAACTTCGAACCTGAATGAATGGTTGGTTGATTGGTTGTCCAATAAATAAATGGTGAGAACAGTTTGTAATCTCCATTTGAAATTGAAGCAGCTCAAATGAATGAGTACAAACACCACCTGAATCCTCTACATACAACCTGCCGATTTATTGATGCATAAACAACAACAGGAGCACAAATAAAAAGTGTGTTCGCTAAGATTTGTACAGTTCCTTTGCATGTACGAGCACACAAACACACACGCGGCGTATGAACAGTTCACTTGTATACACACGCACACACACACACATAGACACGCGCAAACACACAGCATATGCAGTACACAAAAAAACTGTACAATGTCTCCCTAAAGCATTGATTGGTTGAAAGGCTGACTAAGATGAATTGCGCATACATATTCCAGAGGCATACTTCATATATTTACTTGAGTTTGTATGTACACACGGCCTTAAATATATGATTTTTTTGTATAAAAATAAATTATATATACATACATATATAATTGGAAGGAGACCATATTTTATACAGTAATGTATGAATTCTACCGAATTGTTGGCATTGAACCGAATGAACTTGGATAATAATTTTATTTTCAATAAATTGAACAATTCCCAGAAAATTCTAGTAAGGAAAATTGAAAAGAGAAACTTTAAATTGATTGATTAATCGGTAGAATTCATACAACGTTGTATATATATATTATATATACATATGTTCCATATATATTATATATATATATATATGTTCCATATATATATATATATATATATATATATATATATATATATATGTGTATGTGTGTGTGTTTCGATGAATGAATTCAATGAACACAAGAGGAGGACCGGCGAATAATAATTTGTTGTTTTAAATGGAGAGTTGGCACCGTTGGTTCTCAATGTAGGACGAACAAGCGAGCGACTCATCATGTACTTACCATGTATGAGCGTGTGTATGTACGAGCGTGACATATACGTACGTACGTAGATATGTACAACGTGGCATACGTTTTATTGTATGCAGAATTTCTCCTATACTTACAATACGCCAGCCTGCATTTGCATTGTTCTGTTTGAAACAATTGCGTGTTCACGTCACTCTGCTGTGTGCTGCGTATCTTTAAGCTTAACAAATATGTACATGTTGTGATCAGTTGAAAAATTATCAAGTCAACTGGATTTTTGTCATCATCATCATCATCGTGGTCGTCGTCATCGCATCATCATTACAAAAATTTCCAATTTTTTCAAGTTAAATTAAGAAAAAAATTAAAAAACAGAAAAAACAGAACGGAATGAAAAAATAGAAACGATTGAACTTGAAGGCACCAGCACGCACGCACACATGCACATGTGTGTGTATGTATAAATAATATAAATACAAGACAGGCAATATATAATGTATTGATGTATCCTTGCTCAACAAGGCACAATTGACAAGACATACAAACACAAGATGTATTGATGCATTCTTGCTTCAGTGCACACTCTGGGCACGCACAAATAAATACCCATGCACCATTCAACATATCCTATATTCACGCGTACACACACACACACACACACACACACACACACACACACACACACACACACACACACACACACACACACATTTATTCACATGCATACAATCACATATATCAAGTACTCAATGAAATCTCAAATATATATGAATCATCATCATAAGCAGGTGTAACATGAGAAAATAGAAGTATGATCAAAACGATATTTTAAAAAATTTGAACTAAGCAAATGAAAGCACAATAGAATGATTAAAGAATGGCCAGCCATCAGCATCAGTATAGACGGTGGCTACCTGGTGCACATATGGAGAGCCTTCTCTGATTGCAAATGTTGCCGACCGGAAGTTGAAGGAATGCTGACTGGTGATGGAGGTGCTGAGTTTCAGGCAGGGAATTGGGAGAGAGATTTTCACCGCTGGTGTTTATGATGACGTTGTTGTTGCTGCTGTTGATGATGTTGTTGTTTCGTTGACCAGACTGAATACTGAGTACAGGAATGATAGGAGAAGGAGGTGACTGGAGGTCGCCAGCCATTCTGAATGGAACATTGTGGTTGGGCAGTTGATGCTGCTGGTGGGATTTGAAGAAAAATTTGTTGAATGTCAAGGTCGATGATGAATCTGGAGTTGTTGACTGGCTGAGTCGATGAGGTGGGTGGGACTTGTTATGATGAGGGACAGCTGATGATGACAAGCGGAAGTTCCTCAACTTGTGCTCTATAATAATTTAATAATTACAGTTATCATTACAAAGTTGCCTCTTCAAATTCATTCTCAAATTATTGAAAGAGATGATGAGAATCTTCCTATCAATGAAAAGGTAGCCGAGAGAGAGAGAAAGAGAGAGAGAGAGAGAGAGAGAGAGAGAGGAGGAGGGAAGAGAGAAAAGTAGGAAGACTAACTGTAAGGAATGAGTTGTTGTTTTGGAGGTTCGTGTTTGATGGGGGCGTCGGTGATGTTCTCAAAGTTGACGATCAACAGCAGGATGGAGTTCATCTCGTTTCTAACTGGCGCCACGAGGACACTGCACAGAAAGTTCGTACCTGGTGATCATGATGATGATGATGATTCAGCGGTGATGATGATGAATCAGTGGTGTTATAATTATAACTATTACTGAATAAAATATATTAATTTACCATTAGTATTGCTGTTATTGCCCTTTGCCAAAAGGAGCAATCCTTAATACTACTTCTACTTCTACTGCTATTAATAACACAACTACTGCTTTTATTACAATTCAAAATGTACTTCTGGAGCAAAATGAAGAAAAAAACATCATTATTTAAAAATAATGCTATCTGTTTTATTTTTTAACATGCATAGATTTCATGAACATGCATGCATTTTAAAAAGACAAATTAATAAAAATGGAATGGCGCTGATGATAACAATGATCAAAAAGTGCTGATGGTGCTGATGATGATGACAATGAAGGAACTGAAACTAATGATATTCATTCAGGCTTTTCTATACTATTCATTCATTCATTCATTCATTCTATCATTCATACATTCGTTAATTCTTTTATATTTCTTTGTTTATTACACCTGCCCATCCATTCATTATTTCATGCACTTGTTCGTTCATTCATTTTATAGATATATATATACACATGTACAGAAAAAATATGACAAAGTTCAGATAGAAATACATGCAGCCATCCAGGCAAAAATTTATTCATCCAGTTTAAGGATGCGCCCACGAGACATGGGATATAATTCTTGCAGACCCCAATCACCTCATCAACATTATTTTATGACATTTTATGATACAATCTTCAACTTTTATAACTTTTAATCGCAATTATTTTTTTTACAAATAATTACTCAAATGAAGCTATAAAGTTGATGGCATGACTCACTGAACACAAAAATTCTAAAGGTAAATTATTTAAAGAAACCAACCATTCTTTCGATAATAAGTGATTTGAATTTGTTGCTCGTCGGTTCCTTCGATGGCATCTTGAAGAAACTTGATGGCATGTGGAGATGTGAGGGGCCCATGGAGGAAAGAACAGGAAGCTGGTTGTTGCATTGTTTCTGCTCGACCATACCCCGTCAACTCGCAGAAGCCATCGTTACAAAATATTATCGGAATGTCAGGCATTTGGGCATTGGCAATAATGAAATTTCTATCTGTAATTTTTTAAATAAGAAATCAACTTTAAAAAAAATTTAGTAACTCTCTATCTAGCCCAAACTCTGCCTACATGTTTATCCATACTAATTGTTTGTATGCATGAACTTATATAATTATGATATTGAAATTATTATATAGATATGGATATAATTATAATATAAAGATTATAATTAAATTAAGATTAATAAAGGAGCAAAAAATCCTACTTTGCTCATCAAACTTTCTGATGATGGTGTCGATGAACGTGTTTTGTGGGGCAACATGACCCCTCCTTATAGGCATGTTTGAAGTTTCCTACATTTACCTTCTTTGTTTTTTATATGATCTACTTACCTGCTCTAAAAGTTCAAATCATACTATGCGATCTTACTTACCTGCTAAACCAGACATTCAACCCAACATTATTGCCTTAATTATAAATTAATTAAATATTAAATAACTTTATGATTTATAATTTAATTAATACTGTTGATGTTGAAGATAATAAATACTGCCAGTCTGTCAATCAAATCAACATCAATCACATTTCATAGCAGATCATCTCACCAGCAATCAATAATATAATGATTTCATTCATTATATTATATTAATATATTATATTATTTTATATTATATTATAAATAATCAGTGGTTTTTATTCCTTATTAAATTATTAATTAATTGAAATTAAATATCAGCTTTCAATTACGAATTTTTTTAAATTAATTTAGAGTTCGTAACTTAAAATTAAATTATATTTCGGATTAAATTAAAGACAAGAACCTCTCCACTGGATGCGCTTTAAAAAAAAATAGGTACCATCCGTCCGATAACGATCAGGCAATTTGCATTTTATTACTAAATCTCCTTTTTACTCATAGAACAAGGATGTCTCCGTTCTTTTTTCAAATTTATACGCCGCTATATAGAATGCATGTATATGACGGCTTCATTACATTTGTAGGCAGCCCAGTGGAAACCGTGCTATACCCGGACATTTCTGTTAACAAGCAAATTTTTTCATAATCGTGTAGTCCATGACCCAAGTAGTCCATAGCAAAAATTTTACGAGTTTCCTACTTGAAGAACCCGAACGCTTTAGTGCATCTTTTTCAAAACGTATCAGCATCTTAACTATTGATACAAACTGTTAGTTGTAATCAGTTAATCACTAATCCATGCTTTACAGACTGCAACGGCAGCATTGCCAGATGAACTAAACGTCACACCCATATAGGTCGAATCAAGATATGTGGTCATACCATCTCAAGAAAATAGTTGCTCTTCCTATTCAGTTTTACAAATTACATAACTTTTTCTAACTTCTGTCACACAGAAACCTAATAGTATTGAACAAATTTATCAAAAATGTACACATTTTTACTTTAAAAACAAAGCATGTTCAATAGTGCTCATGATAGAATTTAAAAACATGCAGTTCAAGTAGAACTGTTCAGCAATGAGAATTGCTCTGAACCTCGCATTGGGAACGAAATTAAAAGGCAGTTGAAATCAGTTGAAAGCAACGTTGATGAATGAAATTTCATTCGAAGTGGAAATTAACATTCAAGCGACAACCATCGACATAAACACCGATGCAGCTTTGATGAATAGTTTCAAACATAAAATAAAATTTTTGATCCAAAAAGAATGTCACTATTTAAACAAAATTTTGAATGAAGTTTTTAAATATTATCAATTTGTCAATTTTTAAATAAATCTTTAAAAAATAATCAAATGGAATAAATAATTTGTCAAGCAGACAAGAATTTAATTTAATGAAAATGTTGATTGAATCGGAAAGGTAGGGAAGTTGGTTGAACGATCGAAGAAGAATCTGGAGGTGCAAACATGCGCTGAGCTGTCGCTGGCTGTTCGACGGGTGGCAGGGTTGCGTTGAGATTTTCATCATCATTCTCATCACTATGAACATCTGCTGCTCTTTGATATTTGAACAGATCTGGGCTTTCATAAATGTGGTCTAATGTCGTGTCGATGCTATAACCTGTGCCTTCCGCAGATATCATCTCACGTGGCTGCTGCTGTGAAAGCTGCGGTAAGAAATGTTGATGAAGCAGTTGTTGCGGATGTTGTAGATATTGTGGATGCTGCTGTTGCATCTTCATCCTGGCGTACTGGTTGCCTCTATCATCGTCGTCGTACACACCAGCCAGCCGCTTGTCAACGGGATCAACAGGGGACCTGTCCACCTCCACCGGGGCACCAGCCGTCTGCCCTCTCCTCCTCGCCTCCAAACGAGACTTGAAACTTCTGCATCATGCGTGAGATAAAGAGAGAGATTAGAAAAAAGAACAGGAGGGAGAGAGAGAGAGAGAGAGAAAGGGAAAGCGAGAGAGGAGTGAGAGAGAGAGGGAGGAGAGAGAATAATCTTATTAAACATCAAATGAAAGTTATGATTAACGTAAGTGAACTTTGTTCTTTCTGACCTTTTAATGCACATGACTCCCGTGATGAGAACTGCTACACAAACGACGACGGCGATGATGATGATGATCGCACTTGAAAAAACTTAAAAAAAGAAATTATTTACATTATTTTCAAGAATGAACAAGCAAGGCCTCACGTAAGCAAATGAACAAAATCACAAATATCATAATTGATGACCATTTGTTTTGCCACATATCAGCTCAAAATTTTATAAAAATAAAACTTGCGAAAAGCTGACATTTTGGAAAAGATGGAAAGAACGGCAAGTATGATCCTGAAATAAATGAATAAAATATGAAATAATTTGTAAAATTATTGAATTCAATACAATGATTTACAACATCAACATCGCCAGCAGGATGAAAAACAATGTTTTCACTCCCACTTCAGAATGAACCACAACGCGCCAGAGACCTGCATAGGTAGAGCAGTTGCGCATAACACCGTGCCAACGGTTGCCATGGTGACAGGTCATCTGCCACGTGACGTCACTTCCGCATCCCAACACGACCACCTTCCCGTCCTTGTCCTTCCTCTTCCAAGCATCCGCCGGTAAGTCGTCGTCCAAGCAACCTGTCACTTCATCACCACCATCATCGCCATTATCATCATCCTCATAATCGTTATTCTCATTCATCTTATCGTTATTTATTATTATTAATGTTTTAATCAAAACAGCCTGAAAGAGAAGAAAGATAAGAATGAAACGAACCTGAATATTCGAAGAGGAAGTGGGGGTCTTTAAATACGTCATCGTACGTTGGTGACGACGACGACGACGACGATGAAGATGAGGAAGAAGTACTTAACATGAATCTCAGTTGAATCTCATCAGTGGCGGACACGTACACGTTGACCTTTGAACCTTGCGAGTCACACACTGAAGATCCTCCTGATATTGAGATCTGAAGTTATTATTTATCAATCTGCCTGTCTGTCTATTCGCATCTATGTCCATCTGTCTATCTGTTTGTATGCGTGTGTGCGCTATGTGTTTTGTTTAAATATCTTAATTAGCTCTTCATAAGTGTAATAACGTAATTACAACAACAATGATGATGATGATGATGATGGTGATGATGAAAGTATAGACCGCCTTTCATATCCTCTCTTACTTTCGGTTTGTTCTCTTTGATAGTAGCGTAGATGCGGCAAGAGCCACTGTTCATGAAATGTCTATCTGATGCTGTGATTGGCCGGTTGAATGTGACGTCATTATTATCTGCATTCTCATTCGTCCCAGCATTATTTAAACCCTCCAACGCACGCAGAGTTTTGCGCAGACCGAACATAAAATCGTGCAAGGTCAGGTTGATTCGTTGACCTTGACCGACCTTCAGTGTCAGAGGTCGCATGGACAGCCCACACCCGGACTTTTTGACCATGTCACTGGAAATGAAGCCACTCTGTTCTTTCATTAGTAGGCTGGACGACGACGACGAGGACAAAAACACGGGATGGCATTGAGAACGTAGCTGCATGACTTTGATGCACTTGTATTGAACTAGCAGGTAGGTTTTCAAGTCGACCGGGCAAGGTGTAGGGCGTTTAAATGATGAGTCATCCACAGTCACGTGACACACACTTCTTCCGGAACAGTAGGCATCCATTTCCGGTTTGACATCGAGGGAGCAATTGAGGTGACCGAATGATTGCTGGATACATTTTCCTGTAAAAAAGAGAAAAGAGGTGTAGCCACAAACACGTTTCTATCCCCCTACCACACGCAACAATAAAAGTACGAACGAATAAACATGCATACATACATGTATGTATGTATACAGGTAAGTATGTATGTATGCATGTATGTATGTATGCATTTGTGTAAGTGTAATTATATGTATATAGGAATGTATGCAAGCATGTATGTACATGATCATCGATCAATTCCGTTGGAGCTCATGTGTTTGTTTGTATGCCTATGTGAGCATGAATGTGTGTGTGTGCGTGTGTGTGCGTGTTAGAGTATGTATTAGGCTTTAAAACTTTAAACAGCTTTTAATAGGAATGTTGTTTCTGTGCTAGCGAGGAAATTATGAAGAGGGGTTCCTTTCCTATGCCAGCACTTTGTCATTACTTCAACATCATCAACCATGATTTCATCATCGTTCTCGTCACCACCACCATCATCATCATCCCATCATCATCCACAACAAACCAGTCTTCATTCTGCCCAGAAGAGAATTTTGAACGATGATTACGTCATCATGAGGGCTTGGACACGTGATTTTCATTGTTGACATTTGACACGTTTCCAAGGTGACGACTGCGTGGAAAAAATGATGGCCAGTTTGAAGATGATGATGACGACTACGACGCTGATGTTGATCATTAAAAATTTAAATCGCGTTGAAAATTTGGAAATGAAAAAACAATCCAGATGGTACATCTCTGCAACGAACAAAAGCCAAATAGCTGAATAACCAAACTAATAATTACATCAACAAACAAACAAATGAATGAATAAATTAAATGAACAAATGAATAAAAATGAGTAAATAATGGATGGATGGATGGATGGATGGATGGATGGATAGCAATTTGAAGGCATGCGACGCTTCCGACCAATCAAATTGGAGAATTTCTTTTTCTCTGGGTTATCTGCTTTGCCATCTCATACGCCACCACAACAACAACACAACAACAACAACAACAACAACACAACAACAACAACAACACAACAACATCATACATAGCAATATAACAAACAATAGCAATAGAAAAAATAAAAAATAAAATGAACAACAGCAACAAAGATAGAAGAACAACGAGAGAGACAGAAGCATCAAAATAAAGAGAAGCGACAATGCAGATGTTATCAAATTTTTATCAAGCACCCCATCTCCACTTCAATTTGTACATACATCCAACTCCATCTCTCTTCTTATTTCTCCTCATCTCTCTTTCCTCTTGCTTTCTCTTTCTCTCTCTCTCTTTCTCTCTCTCTCTCCCTATCTTTCTTCTTCCAGAAGAACCACATTACATCACAAAAGTAGATGTAAGAAGATTGATGCAAATGCAGACAAATGAAAACACACCCACACACGCACATAAACACCCACCCATCCACACAACACACACACTATATATATATATATATATATAGAGACATATATATATATATATACACATGCAAGAAAATATCAACGAAAAGCCCATGCACTTTTTCCTTTTCTGATTTCAAGCTTAATTGGGCTTGAGTGTTTTTCACCATCATCATCATCATCCTCATACCATATTATCATTATCATCATCATTAATCATCTTCCTCATGGTATTAGTAGAACGCAACATTTTATTGTTTATTATTGCCATCACCTTAACATGACGTAATGTTATGTGTTGTGACGTAATGTGATGTGATGTGATGTGAGGCACGTACGGTAGAGTTTTTGAGAGAACTGCATCATCAACTGCATACATTATCCTCTGTAAGCCACATAAATAAATGTGCAACCAGCTCTCTCTCTCTCTCTTTCTCTCTCTTTCTCTCTCTGTGTTTTTGTTTGTTGGTTTGCTTGCCTGTTTGTGGGTTCGCATGGTTACGATGGATGAACGTCAGGAAAGTTTCATTGAAGCTTAAGCTAATTATCAGTTGAATAAGATTTTAATCGAATGAATACTAAACTTGGATCAGTGCGTGAGATTTCATTAGATGAACTGGAAGGTACATAAATGAATTGATGGAACTGCTCTGCGTGCATTTTACATGTTTGATGTCAGCAAGCAAAATGGCATCACATTGTATTGCAATCCAAACGAATTGTGCATTGTGCAACTGCCTGCCTGCTTCTACAATGCTCGTCAGTTATTTTTTTCAAACATACACACGCACACACACAAACACACACACACACGCACACAAACATAGCTAGAGAGCACACAGGAAGAGCGCTCTAACGAAATTAGCATTCTTAAATTACCAGAACATCCCTCGAGTGCGCAGTCACGTGCTCAACAACAAACATGGCTGCCATTTTTTTATATGGTTCTTTGGTTTTTATTTATATGTCTATGTTTTATTTTTCCATAGTTTTTTGTCTATGTTTATTATATTTTGTTTTTGTTTATTCTACTTCCTTCAAAAATATGCTAAGTTCTTCTTGTAACAATGCAAACATGCAAAAGGTCGCCCGTACATATACATATACATTCATTCATACATACATACATACACACATACATAGATATGAACATACATACAACATTCACATACACACAAACATAAATATACAAACATAAATGCATTAAAAAATTTATTTATCGATTGAAAAGATGATAGCGGAAAAGGAAACGTCGTTTTCTATACAATTTTATTCTTTTCCATAATTTTAAACTGTTTTTTCTTTCAAAGCTTCATTCATCCATCCGTTCATATGTTCGTCCATTTACCTATTCATTAGTTCATTCACTCATTTCCCGTTATTTCATTAGTTTTTTATTTATTCTTTCCATCGTTCATTCATTCATTCACTCACTCTTTCACTCACTTATTTAAACATTCGCCAACAATGGAAACGTGTGCTTCATGCTCCGTGGGACATCTTGCGTGCAAACAAGCCTTCCACCCTAACAAGCGTATGCCAACTGATGGAGCAACACACACGCTAGAGGCGGGCGGGAATGGAAATTTGTTCCCGATTCACTCCCATTTATTTTCTCATTCCCCATTCCCTCCCGAATTCCCGAATAGCCTTAACCCGACGACGTCGTCACCGAAAATTCCCATTCCATATTTTTTAGCTCATTCCCGCGTTTTAAATATTTATATATATAAAGGCTTTTATAATCGCGCGATGATGTTTTTTTTTCCATTCCCGCCCGCCATTCCCGAACAGTAATTCCCTATCTCCTAATATTTCCATTCCCGAAAATTATGTTTCACCAATTCCCATGGGATTCCCGTTCCCATGCTCACCTCTAACACGCACACGCGCACGCACGCACACAAACACCGACGTACACGCGGGCATATGAAAATACATTCAAGCATGTTTGCAAAAAAGGCCACCAAGCAACTCATAATTTTTTTATGTTTTCACCTGCTTCAAATATCTTCCACACACACACACACACACACACACACACACACACTAACCCGCTTAACCAGGCACACGTTCACACACACACACACACACAGACAGATACAAACACACACACACACATACGTACAAACAAACATACGCACACGTACATGATCACTTTTCCTCCTCACCAGTTCATTTTCACGATGAATTTTTAGCCGGAGCAAATTTAATTTGACAACATTGGCGAAGACGACGACGACGATGACTAACTTTTTATTTCCTAAATTTGAAGTTGATACATTTTGTTATTTGAATTACGAATACATACCCAAATTATAAATGCCTGCTTATTGTTATTATTATTGTTGTTATTATTACATACCAGTACCAAAAGACAGACAAACAAACACTAGCACACACATACACACATTCAACATTGTCGCATATATATTTGTATGTTTGTGAAGACGAAAACTTATATGACACGCGTTGTTTATATAATATACTTGCCTGTGCTTTAGTTATAATCGTACATATATATGAATACAAGAATGTATATGGGTGTGTATAAATATGTATGTATGTATATATGTATGTATGTATGTATGTATGTATGTATCTGTATGTATGTATGCACACACGAACGGAAAATACAGAAAAAGAAGGCAAAATAAACAAATGCCCCCTCGAAACAAATGACGGATGAACGGAAGAAAAGTAAGAACAATGGCGGACATGAGAATGACGTCACGACTCAATTAATCACGTGATCATGTTGCACTGACCAATCAGCGCTCGTTTATTTTGGAATGCAAACCATTAATTAGTCTGGCATACAGAATGGATGTTGACGTTGTTGTTCTTATTGTTAAAGATGTTGATGTCATTGCTTGTTTTTCTTGCTTGCTAGCTTGTTTGTTTCTGATACAGAACAAGCAACTCGAACATCAACAACTCCAACAAAGCCAACAACTCTAAAACATCAACAACAGCAACATCAAGAACACATCAAACAACATCAAGCATATCAATAACATGGACCATCATAAAATTGAATAGAGCGGAAGGATATATGCGTTACCTGGATGTTATATATATATACACACATATACATGTGTGTGTGTGTGTGTGTGTGTGTGCAACGTATAACATTTGCATTTCAATGGAAAAAAAATTTATTGAAAATTGAGATCAATGGTAGAGTAATAAATCGATGCCGATGCTTTGCACGATGACGAGTAGTTGTTTGCTGTTGACATCAATACCCTACATGCCATGGTCGCCATTCACATGCACATGCACAGTTGATGTGGCGTTCCGTTCAATTGGAATTAATTAAAATGAAAGTTAAAAAATTGTTACCTGGGCTCTGGTCATCTTCATGATACTTGAGATCGTCTGCATGAAGGACGTCCACCAGCTGCAGCACCCCAACAATCAGCACAGCGAAACTTGAATTCATTTTAACGCATCAACATTCCAAAAATGAACTAGTGACGTTTCAAGTCGAGATGATGTGACCTCTTTTCTTGTTTCTTTAAATTAAAATACAACCTCCATGAACGAACATAGGGGCCAGAGTCATTCACAACGTTCCTATGCACACAGCTGACAAGTTATTCTTCATTTGACATCCTTCTACTATCTTTTTAAAATCTCCTTCGTCGTTGTAAGAAATTTTTCAAACAGTTACTCGAATGATTGCATTTTCAAACACCAAACAACAACAACAGAAATGTTCTCTTTAACTTTCTGCTCAAACAATATAAAGAGGCATGCAAGCAGAATGCACATACATTCATGCATTCTGCGCACGCATCGTACGTACTTCATACAGAAACTATACTGTCGTCATCGTCGTCCTCCTCATCATCATCATCATCGCCGAGGTTAACGTGACGTCATTTGTTGATTGCATGCTTCCGGCAGAAAAGTGATGGTGACGATGATGTTGTTGGTAATGAAGATGGGCATAGATTGATAGTAGTGATGTTATTTAAAAAGTGCACATTCGGACGATATTTACGCGTCACACATTTCATTTAGACGTGCTTCACTTAAAATGTCATTTACAATTTTTGTTCAAGTTGTATTGTCCAGAATAATATTTATTACAAACAATATCATCCACCTGCTACTATAAACGCAATTCCTAACACAAAAAACTTCAAAGCATCTTTTAAGCATTATTAAGCTGATGAATGAAAAAGCTTGAAAATGTTTTGTTCGGATAAATTGAAATAAATTTTAGGCGAAATAAAATAATGAAGAATGTTAAAAATCTGTGTTTCTGCCATTGCATGCTTCGCCAAACAACAATTTTGAAATAATTATCTTTGTCAGTTCTTTTAATTGATCGTTGTTCGTAGATCTATCTCTTGATCATAACGATGATAATGAGGGAGATGATATAAACGATGTTGATGATGAGGATGATGATGCTGTTTACGATGGCAAGTTGGAAGAACATTAAGAGGTGTCATTTTTTATGTTTGAAAGCGGTAGATGATGTCGATGATGAAGATGGCAACAATGATGGCGGTGGAGACGTATTAATTGAACTTGTCAATTTGGGTTGTTTAAATTGAAATTCACTTTTAATTTTTGCCGGTTTCGTTGGCACCGGAGGAGATTTTGCATTTTTGGCATTTGTAATTAAAGCAGTGCCACTGTTAGCGGCTTCATTTGGCAGTTTGTTTTGAGGTTCGGCTGGCTTTTGATTGGTTGAAGATTTCCTGGGAACTATCATTTTATTGACCGACGTTGGTTTTGCGGCCGTGGAAGGCTTGTTATTGTGCACATCATTGGTCGGTGGTGCTGTTACGGCTGACTTGATTGGTTGATTGTTAGATGGTGGTCTGCAAGCGAAATCAATTTACCCAATTTAAAAGTAATTCAATTTAATTTCAAAACCATAATTAATATATATATATATATATATATATAGCTTAATGGACAGATTTTTCGTATTTTATGTAAACCATCATCCGAAAATATTTAGGGGCGAATTTAAATGAACAAATAAATAAAGTTTTAAACCGCTCGATTAAAAGACTAACATTATTTGATGAATGCGCTTTATCAACTCCTCAAAGTTATCATCCCAGGCGTTTTGTGATTGGTTGAAATTGAGGTACTGCAGAGGGGTGAGGATCATTCCCATTGGTCCTTCTGCTGGCCAGGCCTCCTTCTCGAACAACAACGGTATGATTGGCTTCTTTATCGCGTCACTAAGCGCCACTTCTCGCCTGCAAAATATTAATCAAATGAACAATAAAGCTAGAAAAATAAATTTATAACATAAGCACTTGAAGAAAAGCAAAATGAAAAGCATTGGGAGGGATTAGAACCTGCAGTTGGCGGACAGGGCGTACTTCTTAGTAACGCACGAGAGGACGAGTTGGGCCCCTCTGATGCCTTTGTCGATCATGTCGTACAGGGAGACTCCACCACCCATCATCATAATGTCCAGCCAACAGTGGTAGCCATGGCTCGTCAGTGCATTGTACAACTTCTTGACCTCCGACTGCTTGTCCCATTGGTACGATATGAAGATCTGATTCATTAACATGCATGAGTTTATAAATGACAATTTGTGAGGAAATGATTTCAACAAATAACATTATTTTTTGATTAGTTAACAATAAACTCATCAATATTAATCCATACCTGTTTCGATTCTTCAATGTGATTGGCTGATAAATTGGAGTTACTTTTCTTACCACCATTTTTCATTGTTTGATCCTTCGGCACCCACCACTGCTTGTAAGAGGAATCTAGATACCAAAATTTTTGCTAATTTAAATAAAAAATATTTAAAGATGAACGTAGATTATCTTATTACTTTATCATTAATTCTGCTAATGACTTAGGTTTAGGGTGCTCGCTATTTAAACCTTTTCAATAGTTTCATTCATTGAAAACTCGTATGCTTTTTTCATTATTTTATTCTGTTTTAGTTTATTTATTAATTTATTTTTGTACTTCGTAATTGTTTGCTTTGCGAATTTAAGGTTGTGCCCAGTTTAATTTTTAAAAATAGGGCTATATAAATTTAATTGATTGATTGTATCAATAGATAGCTATAGAGAGAGTATAAAGCACCTTCAGTAATGAGACTTTCCAGAGGGGCCACTTGGTACCTTATCTGAAAAAGGAGTTGGGTGAACATCGAGCTAGGCCAGTATGTTCCGTCCATTATTTCGTCTTTATCTCTCTTATAAAATCTAAATATATATATATATATATATATATATATATATATATATATATATATATATATGTTGGTAATAGACCATAATTTTTACAATATTCTATAAATTCTACCGAATGTTTGGCGTTAATATGTTTGTGGTTCGTTTTTTCGATTTTTCTCACTAAAGTTTTTTGGTGAACAAACTACAAACATATTAACGCTAAACATTCGGTAGAATTTATAGAATATTGTAAATATATATACATATATATATATAAAGATTTATGAAAAAAACAATCAAGAAAACAAAACGAAATTCCGAGATCGTTGATGAAGTTAATCAGGCAGAGGCACCTGATGAAAAGAAATTCTCCGAAAATAGGACCCATGCCACCTCTCGGCGGCCACTCCATCTTGTCCATCAGGAGTGGTATCATCGTCTTGTTCAAATTCAGTGCTAAGTTCACCTGCGTTTCATTTTTTAATTATTTTTGAAATTAATTGAATTTTATTTATCCATATTTTCTGTCGTCAACATCAAGCTGTCCAATCAATCACGATCACGTGATTGATTGTCGTCATCCAGTTGAAATTTTAGTACAGTTAAGTAGGTTTGACACATAACCAACAACCATCATCTCTATCTTTGCAAACATCATCTTCGTCACCATCGGAGTCGGTACAAAACAACTCATGAGAAGCACTGTACAATACATCATCATCATCACCATCATCATCATCATCAGTGACCTCTCTGTTACAGTTGGGAGACTCGGCATACTTCTGCGTTATGCAGCATACAACGACCTTCACCTTTCTCATGCCCTGGTCTATTTTCTGGAAGAGTTTGTCTCCACCTCCCATTTGACCAACGTCCATCCAACATGGATAGCCGCTCATCTCCAGGTGTCGTTTCAGTAACTTAACCTACATTTCGTTTAATTCATCAGGCAGGTTTTTATGTTAAAAGGAATGATGATGAAGAACGATGATGAAGATGGTGACGACAATGATGAAGAAGATGACAAAAACTTTAATTATAATACACGGTCCTCAACCTCGTCTTGCTTGTCCCACTGATAACTGAGGAAGACCACAGGCTGTACTGATGCCTCTTCTTCATCTTCATCCTTACCCGCCACCTCCTCTGTCGATGTGTGACCATTTTCAAAGAAGGGAATTAGAAAATATTATTAACATACAACAAGTGCGACAAAAAAAATGTAAAACATTTACTGAAAAAGTTTATAGAGCAAACACAAAAAAAATGATCAAACCTGCATTTAGAACAACCCTTTCGACGACAGCGTAGGCGTCCATGCGTCCCATCTCCTTCAGTTCTCTCATCACAGCGTGCGTCGCCTCACGAGTCGTGTGGCAAGCGAACCAATCATCCAACAACGACATGCAAGGATCTGATTGGGTGGCAAACTTCTTGACGTCATCATTGCTGTAACCAAGGCGACGGCAGAACAATCGCCAATCCTTATCTCCTGCTTGATTCATTAGCTTGCTTACATCTCGAGACCAAGTCGGAGCGTGGCTTAATGTCTGCCAGATGATGTTGTATAATTAATTTAGCACAAGTAACATGACGTATGTATATATGGTAAAAAAGTCTAATTATAAAAGCTTAAAAAAGTCTAATTTTAAAAGCTTATATTTCAATGAAACTATTTCATAACATCAGTTTGACCTTGTGATCAATTTCCTCAACTTTCACTTTCGTTTCAACAACAGTCGTCTTCAATTCTTTGATGTTAGTTTCGTTTTGTTGAACCCTGCTCTTGATGTTCTTCACACTTTTTTCGTTCTCGCTCGTTCGTGTCTCCAACTTTTTAACATTTTTTTCAGTTTGTTTGACATTCTCAGAAATCTCTTTCACCGTTGATTTTGTTTCGTTGATGTTTTCAAACACTGTTTCTAAGCTGGAGGTTGATTTTAAATACAAAATATAATTATAAATGGTTGTCGCATGGTCAGCATATCATGCCAATCACCTCTTTCCTTCGATGACATTGACAGCAGCCTGACAAAGATCCTTGTGAGTAGCATTGTGCTTCATGATATCCAGCAACAAATCCTTATGTTTAGCAAATAGATGTGGATGTGTGGAGCCTATCATTCGCATGCTGTTAACGAAGGAACCTACGTACAGAGAGTTCATGTTGGCACGACATCTATCAGACATGTACTGCAGGTACTTCTCACTTTTCTCCTGCATGTGTGGTGTGTGTGTGTGTGTGCGATGTGTGTACAATTCATTGTCACAACAATAAATTTTTTATTTTCATCGCCACCAGCACCTCATCAACGGCAAGTTTAGGCAGCATGTTAGCCACGAGAGCAGCTGCATTCTCAACTTTGACCCCACACTGCAAGATCTTCTCCTCGTGTTTAATGACGTCATCCCTACGACACGTGACCGCCACGGTATCCAGGAGCATGAGTGCTAGGCTGTAGTACCACTGGTGAGTCAAAAACTTCACGACGTTATCGCATAGGTCATCAGGCAGTTTCTGCATACAATGGTCACACGTTTCATTACTAGCAATCAATTAAAGCATTGCAAGGTGATTATTTTGAAAGCCTGACATCATCAAATTCCTCGCTAGTCTCATAATAAATACAAAATAATCATCATCTCCGGCATCATCATCAACATCATCCTCTTCTTCAGCACCGCAGTAAACAAACTTCAGGATTTGATTTGGCGACTTCGGTGAAAAAAAGGATGAGTGTGGACGAGATGCTGTCGTTCGCCGCTGACTGGAGGAGGTAGGAAAAACGCGAAAGGAGAGGGAAGAAGGGTGTAGCATCATTCAGGTACATATCCTTCAACTTGTCTGTGGTTAGTCAGTTGAAGGAAGGTTTGATCATTTCGTTAACGAATTTGTTCCATTTATAATGTTCACAATTAATTATTATTTTCACAAAGTTGACACATCATAACCAACATGATCAACAACAACAACCGAAACTAACGTCCCAATCCATCCATCTTGCCGTCCAAATACAACTCCAACATGTCAGTCACGTTCTCCTCCTCCATCAACACGTCAGCCACATCTGACATCAGCTTACTGGCCAGCGCCATAATTTCTTTGTCGCCACAATCTCTCAGGCTGGCCACCTTCTTGTACATTGGTTTCAATAATTCAGCTTTTGTTTGGCAGCCCTGCAGTTTAAAAAGTATTGGTTTATATATTTATATTACATTAGTATTACTAGGCTGGTCTGACCATTAAAAGCGGATTTATATAGGAATTGTTACAGCAACATCAAAACATCAGCATGAAAAAATAGCAACTTCACAAATAATAACAAGTGGACACAAACCGCCTGAATGAAGTACTCCATAACATAAAGAACAAACACTCTGAAAATGTTTGTTTTGCCGGGTTCCTCAACACAATCCCAATCTTCATCCGCACATCTGTTGAACATCTTCGTTACCTCATCCAAGACTTTCAAATGTGTCTGTATGCTAAGCAGGTATTTCAAAAAATATTGAACTGTCATCATTAGACTCATCTTCATCTCATCATCATTACCTCTGCCTATCCAGATAGAAAGCATGCAAGATAAACAGTTGGATGTTAGTAGCGAGTGTTGTGCCATTGTTGGCGCTTCCGTATTTTTTCACGCTGTTTATCACGTTGCCCATCGTTTCGACAACATGTTCAGGCCTAGACTTTATAATAAAACAGAAATTTAAATTATAACAATTATCACCCTGGTCATCAACACCATCGAGTCAGATCCTTACCGTCCAAGGAAACTTATTGACGACATTGAGTCCGACCGACTGCACCGGCCAGTTCTCCGGGCCCGCACCATCCTCACCGAACGACAACTGCACTAATTTGATGAGGGAATCAGCGTGCCTGTCTGCTAGTTGGTAGTCACTGGAGTAACAATCGAGTACATCTTGTTTAAAGTTTATATAGTTTACATACAGTTGATAGAAAATGAATGCTACGTGACTACTTACTCTAGCATTGACATCAGCTTCTCAGTGAAAATGTCCAAACGAATTTTATCACCTACTTTTGAATTCATGCATTTGCTGTGCACTTTGTTTATCATCTCGTCTATGAATTTGTCCTTTTTCTATTGGTGCATAATCGGAAATATTTATTTGTTACATAGGAGTTCAGCACGTACATTCAACGCGAATATACACATAATGAAAAAAATCATGATTACTCCTAACCTTCCACTCTAGGAACCTTTTTTTCGCCAGAACTGGAATTGCGAACGCGGAAATGATGCCATCGTCGGCGATGTCGATGCAAGACAGCACCAGATCATCTATGCTGGCCTTCTCCTCTTCGCTGGTTGTCATCGTGGTGATAACGACCATTATAAGATGATGATGATGATGTAATAACTGTGATTATGATGGTAAAAATGCTCACCTGAGGCCAACGAGAAGTTTAGAAAATGTTTGGGAGTATTCATTTTGAATCTTCGAAAGTTCTGACGTGTTTGTGATGTTGCTTCTGAGAGAAGCGGTGATTTTGCTGATCTGAAAATATCATAATGAAGTCATTTTATTCAAACTATCAATCACTCATTCATAACATAATACGTTACAAATAATCAATAATTTGATATAAAAACCTTGTTTTCCATTTGGATAACAGTTTGAATGGTACGAGACGTAATTATTATTGTAAGTTTGTTTAAAATAAAATATTATTAGCAAAATCTGTAACAGTTGAAATTTTGATCGGATTTTATGTAGTTAACCATGCAGCATGTGTGTACTTCGTATCTGTCTTTATGTGTGCATACTTGCATGTTAAGTGGGTGGGTATGTATGCATGTAGGTATTAACATAGTAACACAGAATAATTATATTTCAAGAGATCTCATTCAATCTTCAATCATTCTATTAAACTTCACAGCATTATTCATTCAAATTTACGCTAAACAAAAAAAAACTATATGTTGATATATAGGTATACATTAAAACATTATATATTATGTAAACAGACGTTAAAATACACGTATTTTTATATCACCATATATATATATATATATATATATATATATATATATGTGTGTGTGTGTGTGTCTTGAACATTGACTGTTTAATGATACTATGTCGGTTGCCATGGACAAACAACAACATACAAACCAAAAAAAAAAATATGTAAGCAAGTTTTAAATTTTCGTAAAATTAATTTAAATATTAAAATATATTAACAGTGGCACACACTAATAATAAATAAATATATAGCACATATTCAATGATTGATATATATATATATATTACAATGAAATTAAACAAATAGATAATTTTTTATTTAATGATGCTGTTGTTGTGATGCATGGTTGTTGATCATCTGATAACATCTCTCTGCTGATTTTCTGACTTTTAAGTTTGCCAGAAGGAGATCGGGACTTGATAAATCCAACACAAGGTCCAATCTCAGCTTCTGAATGCATTCTTATGCAAAGTTATTAACAGATTTTAATTGGTTTAATTATTAATATATAAAATTTTTGTTTGTTTAGTTGATTATCACGAATGAAAAATGTCAGTTCAAAGTATTAAAAATTAAATTATTAACATACCCCAAGATTCGCTTAGTGATTTCTGCAAATTGAGAAGTTCAGTGTGCATGGAAACCATTTCATTTCTTGCATTTTCAAATGAATTTTCTACAGAGTCTGCCACTCTAGAAATAATAAATTAATACATTTTTATGCTTAGAATGAAGATGGTATAGAAAAAACAAAAATTCACCACTAGAAGACAAACTTTACATACTGAGCTCTATGATTTTTTTCTAAAGCTTTTACATCTTTTACATTTTTACAGATAGATAGGATCAGCATATTTTAGTTTTAGTGTCAATTAGTTAGTTAGTAAGTAATAAGTATTAAGTATAGTATAGAACAAAATTAGGTAAACAGTTAATTTTAATTTAATTTAATATTTTAATAATTTTTAAATTTGAAAAAATGACGATTATTGAATTAATTAATTTTAATTAATTAATAAAAAAAAGAATTAAAAATTTTTAAAACGATAAAATTATCGTGAATTAGCGAAACTAAAATGTTTTAAATGAAAGCAAACTGTTCTTCCATGGGAACTTGCTCACACTCCATTGCCATCGTCGCGATTTCTTCTCTTTTTTGAAGAATTTGACGAGTTGAAAAACTTATTTCGAAAGTTCTCAGGCGGCACACTACGACATTGCATATGGCGAACGCATAGAATAGTTAACTTTTAAAATATACATTATTCATTTTGCACTGTCTTTGCAAAGATTTAGCAAGGCTACCCACATATATGTATATAGAATATAACATTCTATGTAGAATAAAACATTCTATATATATATATATATATATATATATATATATATATATATATATATATATATATATATATATATAGCTGCTACCCATATCTATTTTCTATTACACGCATAATGGTAATAATGAATGTTTGAATGAGACGATGGTCGGCTGTGAATACGTGAAACTGGCAGCAATACAATAGAACACAGCACAATCAACTGAATACATTCCATTATTGCTATAGTTGTTAGTACACATACAAATACAGAAACTGTACTCTATTTTATATGTAGTAGCAGTACTGTTGTTGACATTAATCAGTAATATGTACATGTACATGTAACATACAAATTCCTACTGAACAAAACCAGTTCTAACCCGACTATTGCACTCTTAACGTTGATTCGCTGCTATTATTATAATTGTATTGAATCAACCGAACTCAGCACACGTTAAATATTTCTATTGTTTCAAGTTCCTCATTGCTGCTACAAGTTGAGCATTTGCCAAACGGATTATAAAAAAATTAAATTTTATTAAACAAACAATTGTAACAAATTATTTGAATACTGTTTCAGGAATTTTCATTGGAGCATATCTATATAGATCTTAATAATTATAAAAATGTCAAACTTTGTTATGGTTTTTCTCATTGAAATGATCGTGTGCCTCTTCGAACGGGCCGCATGTCAGAACAGTAAGTCGTTTGTACAGACAGTAAGTTAACAGGCTACATGCATACAAACAATTTTTTAAAGACAAACGATTACTATATAAGTTTTTATGAATGATTTTTGATAATCTTTCCATGGCTGGGGATCGGCCTGCTCTATCTAATTCTGTCGTCATGTCGTCTCTCTTCTTAATCATTTTCATCATCTTTTTCTTCACTAACAGCAATTTTATCTTCGTAACGACACTAACACTAACCAACCAACCAACCAACCAACCAACCAACCAACCAACCAACCAACCAACCAGGTTTCAACGCACAGGAAAATTTCGAGTTGGGCAAGCACTTCGGTATATCAGCTGCCATCTCCATCCTACTCCTCGCATTCGTCGCCATCTTCGTCAACTTCCTGAGATGGCAAATCATCAAAAGAACGAAACACGTGCAAGTTAACTGATCGACTGAACACCTCACACGCAATCCACTGAACACCACACACACACACACACAAACACACACACAAGTTATAATTGTAACATAACCACAAGTTATAATTGTAACATTTTTTTTACTTTGAAAAGAATGCCAATTTTTGTATTGTGAAAATTAAAAGAGGTTATAATATCGTAGCCGTGTTATTAACTGATTCAGTTATCTCTACGAAGCATTAATTAAAATTCCATTAAATTGGAATGGAAACCTTTGCATGCCATCCGTCATAATGAGGCTGACGCCGTAGTTTATTTCAAGAACACTTTTAATAAACACACACGGCTGACTATGATCTTGTCTCTGGTCGCAAGATTAACGCGTTGACTTAATTTTTTTTTACACGGGCGATTGCCATCTTACGTCGTCTTAAACCCTGCGACACGTTATACTGTCATTTTATTTGGAGAAGAGGAAAGAGGAAAATAAACTAACTTTCGTTTCAATTGACAGCTGAAAGATTATGAATTCATCTAATTTTATATAAAAAACTGTTAATAATTCATTGATCGAATGTTCTGCAGTTACAATACCTTCTATATCTAATCTAAATCATACGGAGTGCTATAGCAAAATATAGTGAGCACGATCTATTCATGTTAACGAAATAATGAGTGTATATATACTTTATCGATGATAGAATGATCGTTTGAAAGAACCAAAAATAAACGAATGAATAAATGAATGAATAAGAGAACGAATAAATAAATGAATTATTTGTTTGATCGCATTTCAATACAGCAAAAATTAAAGGGCCTCAAAAATAAGAAAATATTAATAATCATAAATAATTAATTGATTGATCGATTTTAGTTATTACTTTCAATAAATACGGATAACATTCTCTATTTCGTTATTCCATCGATTCATTCATTCATTCATTCATTCATTCATTCATTCATTCATTCATTTATACTCCCACTCATCAGCCAATCATTTCGATTGAGCCTTCTTGAAATACATCTTTAACAGGTTTACCTGCAGTCGATTCGAGATAATTAATTAATTAACTAATTAATTAATTAAATTAGTGAAAACATTAAGATAATAATAATAATAGCAATATGTGATAATTGCAAATTAATAGAGTAATAAAGAAATAGAGAATCCACCTTGTGAACGTTAACGTGATTGATGTAGGACCAGAGCTGCTCATTGTAAATGTTGTAGAGCTCAACCAGCAGCATGACGCTGGCCGTTCTCACTGACTTGTTGTTGCTATCGGAGGCCTGCGTTCGTTCAAACAAATTAAACAAATCATCCCATTAAGAATTCCTCTAATGTTCGTTCGTTCATTCATTTGTTCGTTCGTTCATTCATTTGTTTGTTTGTTTGTTTGTTACAAAATAGTCCAACAATGACGAGGAGGTTGAGAAGAAAGAGTAAGAATGAAAAGAACAAACCCTGAGCAAAGAGGGCACGAGGTCATCGAGAAGGTCAGTCAGCTGATCGGTAGGAGTGGCTTCCAACTGTGGCCTTAACCAGTGTAGAGCCGACAGGATATTTCTATCATCTGACTGGTCGATAATGGATTGTAAGACGATCAGTGATTGGCTACTTGATCTCGTCTTCAACAACATATTGATGCAGTCAGAAAGTAGGTTTGATGAATTCTGCAATTTCAAAAAGTTTTAAATTAATTGAAGACCATTTTAATCAAGCATAAGAAAAAAAGTTAATAAAACAACAACAACACGATGAAAAGAAGGAAATGAATAATGAGACTTGTATGAGAGAGCCAGGAGCTCTGAAGAGGACGGTCAACAATGAAATTAAATGTTGGTTCGTAATGAGGTCTGGATCGCTGGGCAGCCATATGATCAGCTGTTTCAAGGCTGCTTCAAGTTCAAGGTCGTCTTTGTTCGGGTCAACCTGTTTAAAGCTATCGATGCATTTTTCAAAGTCTTTAACAATCTTTTTGTCTTGTTCTAACTGCTGCTGCTGTAGTTGTTGCAATTTTTGTTGTTGTTTTGTTTCATCTTTGTTTCTGTAAATGTTGAATAATGATGGTTTATTGATGTTGAAAGTTTTAATTAATTGGGGAGATTTTATAACATCTTGATGTGTCTGTTGCTGCTGAAGTTGTTGTTGCTGCTGAAGTTGTTGATTTTGTTGCGAAATATTAAAGTTGTAATTGTTGTTGTTGTAGCTGTTGGTCAGAGAACTGAGATTTTTCTCTCTTTTATGAATGTAACTGAATGATGATGATGAAGATGACGACGATGTCGGTGACTTTGAAATATTGTCATTTGGAACGTGCAAAGGTGATGAGGAGGATGACGACGACGCTGTTGCGCCTGTTGCTGACATGTGAAGCTTTGCTATCTTCGTCATATAATCCTTAAATTTAAATTGCTAACATCAACAACAACATTTTCATCATCATCAACAATAACATCAACATCAACAACATCACAACATCAACAACATCACAACATCAACAACAACATCAACAGCAACGGCATCACAAACCTGCACGTATCTTGACTGAGCGAGCATAATGTTGGAGTAGGCTGGCGGGTTGAGATCGAACAAGCTGATCAGGATGTGCTGGACGTTCTGTCAATCATTCGTTCATTCATTGATTGATTCATTCATTCGTTCGTTCATTCATTGCCCCACCATCCAATGGCTAATCTACCAACCTTCCTAGTATCATTAGTCTTATATTGATCGTTGATGGCGATGATGTTGTTGATGAGTTGACAGCAACTCTCAGAGGCTTGCACCTCCTGACCCGATGACGTCACGCCCAACAACTCCCTCGTATAAACCAGCAAGCACTCCCTGCTCTGTTCGAGTTACAACAACAACAACATAACAACAACAACAACAACAACAAGAATAATAATAATAAAGAAGATAGCCTGGGCGTCATAAATATTATGTTAGTGTAGAAACAATGCCGGCTTTGATCCACATGGCGTTTCGACGGAAAGTTTTTAAATTAATTCCATAAGATATATTGATAATTATTTTTCATTGCAAAAGTTATTCATTCCCTGAATGACAACAGACGACATTCAGTTCAGTGGCTGGCTGGTCAAGGTGAGAGCCCAAAGCACTCGCATTTCAAGGTGGACGCTACTAAACCGATATTATTTTTGAATACATAAAAGCAACCTTATTGTTGTGCAACAGTGATTGGTTGGCTGTAATCTCCATCAGCCAATCAGCCTGCTCCTTCCATCCATACGAATCTCTATAGGATTAACAATTTTAATGTAACAACAAATAATAACAAACCATACCCCACCACCACCACCGACAACAACAACAACAACAACAACATCAGCAACAACAAACTGACCTCAAAGCATCGAGGACTTTTTTAACTTTGACCTGAACGGAGCCCAACAAATCGGTAGCCAGCTTAGCGAACAACCTCTGCAGACACAATCTGACCCAGTTCGGAGGTAAGAGGTGTTTGTAGGTCAGTACCACGGCAACCAACGTTTCAAGAAAAAGAGAGAAGACTTTAGAATGTGGTTCGTGAAACATTCTCGTGAAACTATCGGTCATTCTCTTTATATCTCGCTCGCTGATTGAATGATGTTGTTGAAAAGTTGTTTGATTGGCTGTTTCATTGTAAAGATTTATTTTCATTGGTTATATATTTATTTGCTTGCTTATCAATATTTAAAATGAACGAATAAATGAAAAGTTTGCAAACTCAAAAGAGTCAGCAGATTGGTTGATGACGACCAGCAAACCAATAAGCCCCTCTCTTCTCATTTGCCAATTGGACGAATTCAAGTTCTCCAAAATTTCCTCTGGATCCTATTAGATGGGTGATATTTCAAATTACAAATAAAATAGTAAATAAGGCATTCAGCATTTTCAGTCTAATTGACTTGAATTTTATTCAAAAAGTAGAAAAAATTGAAAAAAATGTTAATGCTTACTTTACTTTGGAACTCGAAGGCAGATAAATAATTTTCGAGAGAACTTTCATTGCTGCCAACGGAATAATCCTTCTCACTGCTACAGTCACTCATCTGTAATCATTTCATTGGTTGCTATTTTTACACAGAGTTCAAATTTTTGAACGTTTGAATTTGATTTGTTCCCTCAGCTACGTACTTGATCGAATGATGATTTCTGATTGGTCTTCAACCTCCCGCTTACTACCGATCGCCCAACAGAGCTGCTGTTGCTGTTGTTGCTGCTGTTGTATTTGTCCACTTGAAAAAACGGAGAAATAATTTTTTTAATGAGTGTAGATGATTTTGTTAACATAGAATTGATTCGATTATACTTGAATATCATCGGACAGCGACATTAAAACATACAAAAGCATCAATAGCATCAACCTGCTTCGTTATAATTGTTGTGGTTATATCTGTACGAAGACTTGCTCGTTTCTGATTGGTTGGATGGCGAGGGAGAGGGGCAAAGAATGCGTCGTGTTGGCAGTGGGGAACTCTGTAAATGGTCAGCAACGTCATCAGGAACATCGTCGTCGTCGTCATTCAAATCAAAAACCTACAGGGACAGATCTGTTGAACTTCTGCTGCTGCTGCAAATTATTACGACGATGGTCTTCAAGAAGAGTAAACTCATCAATCATAATGTCGTTGTCAATGTAATTGTTGCTGTAATCATTATTAATGTCGTTGTATGTGGAGTGTTGTTGAGGACATGTTGACCGCTGTAATCTCGACGTCTGTTGATGTTGTTGCTGATGCTGTTGCTGATGTTGTTGCTGATGCTGTTGCTGAAGTTGTTGCTGATGTTGTTGCTGATGAATGGTTGATGTTGCCGGCGACACTACAACTCCTTCACGTATTGCACCGTTCATTTTCGTCCTGTTATCTAGCAAGCAATCAGAATGACGGCAATTTCATTTCAGCAATTTTGTCGTCATCATTATTCAAATTTTTTAATCATCATAATCGTCATATTCAGCAGCAAAAACATCACCATTACAATCATTATCATCACCCTCATCATCACCCTCATCATCATCACCCTCATCATCATCACCCTCATCATCATCACCCTCATCATCATCATCACCATCATCATCATCACCATCATTTTATCAGACACAAAGTTCGTAAAAATTTCAATTGAAAACTACTTAAGTGTATGGGTCGCTTGAAACAGCACATCTCTACACAACACACGCACGCACACACATGCAAGCACACACAAACATGCACACAAACAACAGCAGCAATCATTATCAAGATGTTACCAAGGTTACCAATAAATTAAGATATTTGCTAGCGCATTATGCAACCTGCTGTAATGCTAAACATGAGTCTCATTATGACTCTATCAATGTACGTGTGTGTGTGTGTGTGTGTGTGTGTGTGTGTGTGTATGTGTGTGTTCGCTTGTTTGTCTGTTTGTATGTATGTATATTTATAAATTTGTATTTGATATTTCATTAGACTACAGTGCAATAAAAAACTGCACATGAAACTCGCTGGTGCTCAATCATGTTGCCACCGTAATGACGGCATTACTGCTCTAATAATAATAATAATAATAATAATAATAATAATAATAATAATAATAATAATAATAATGGTGATAATGATAATAACATGAATGAAAATGATGATGATAACGACGATGGCGCGATTGCAAGCATAATTCTTTCAGATGTTGAACTATAGTAAAAAAAACAAAATTAAAATGAATGAATGAATGAATGAATTATTATTATTAGTATAAGTAGTAGTTGTTGTATTAGTAGTAGTAGTAGAAGTAGTAGTAGTAGAAGGTACTGCAATGCGATGTGTGTGCGTACAGTGCAGTGTATATTGATGTTGTTGAAGAAATTGAGTGTGCATGAGAGCCATATCTGTTTTGTTGTTTCTTCAATGATTATTAGATTAGATTAATGAGATTATTGTTGATGTTATTTTTTCATATTATTGTTGTTGATGTTATTTCTTCTTATTGTTGTTGCTAGCTCGCCGAATGAATGCCAGCTCTACATTGTGTGTTAGGTAGTTTCAGATGTTACAAGCGCTCATTCGTTAGGAATTTGTTAACATAATCAATCATTAGCTCATTCACTCACACATTCATTCACTCACACATTCATTCATTCAATCACATATTCATTCATTCAATCACTCGCTCATTCATTCATCCGTACCTACCGATCGAACGTACGTAATGACCATTATCACTAAACGGGCTTATTCTACCACTTCTGATGTTGTTGTTGATGTTGCTGTTTGTAAATGTTTGCCTGAAGTCATCATTTTGAAGGTCGTCCCTTGATTGTATGTTGTTGGTCATCTTCATGATGGATTCGCTGATGCTGCTGACACGAAGAGCTGTTGTTGATGACGTCATTGTTGGAGTCGTCGCAGCATCAACATCAACATCACCGTCGTTGCTGCTGTTGTCGTTGCTGCTGTTGTCGTTGCTGCTGTTGTCGTTGCTGCTGTTGTTTGGTTTCGATCCAGTTTTTGATCTTCGGAGAGAATTGATTCGAGAGAGGAATGCTTCCTTAGTTATTGCAAGGCCCGATGTTTTGTTGATGTTGCTATTGTTGTTGTTGTTATTGTTGTATTTGAGGCTGTTGTCATTTGATGTTGATAATGAGTTAACCGACGGCAGAGGAATTTTCGAAGTCCTCAGATTACTGAGAAATGATGGAGTTGTCGGCCTTTTAGAACTGACGTTGTTCACGATGTTGTTGTTGTTGTTGTTGCTGCTGTTACCACGTGACTTGAAGCCGAAATGGCTGATAGAGTGTTGTTGGAGAGACCGCCTACCTACAGACGTTCTCACAAATTTGTTGTTGCCGCCATTTTGTTGTTGTTGATTCAGTTCGTCACTGACGTACAAATTTCTGCTCTTATCAGCGAACGTCCTGGTTGGTTTCATGTAGTTGGGCGTGAGCGACGAAGCCGACGATGGTTCGAGCGTCGGAGTCCTCGATCTCAAGTCTGGCAAACGTGCCGACGATGGTGTTGTTGTGGAATGATGATGTTGTTGTTGACGTAGCTGTTGTTTGTTGTTGTTGAATTCACTGCTCTCGGCATTGAGTTGAGAAACACATTCCGTCTGTACGACAGGTGAGCATGACAAGGAGAGCGCTCTGCTTCTCTTGCTAGTAACATTGCTGTCGCTGCTGTTGTTGTTGATGTTGTCAAAAGCATTATTTTTATTCCTGGTGTTGTCATTATTGTTGTTCCTTCTAAAGTTGTTGTCATCGAATTTGTGGTTGTGATGTTGGTGGTTGTGGTGTGGAGTTAGATAGGAAGGGGAGTGTTTGTCTGTGGATGTGCTTGTTGGAGTGTGCTGCTGTGTGGATGTGTGTGCGTGCAGAGTATTTGCCGGTATGCTGAAGTTTAAAATCGGTCTGTTTTCATAGGCTTCGTGCGGGGAGGTGGGCTGCTGCTGTTCAGTGTTCCTCGAATGTTGTTTGCTGCTCGACGCTGCACTCTGCTGGGGCGATTTAAACAAATATTTGGAAAGATCCATTGCTTCGAGTGTCGTTTGACGTTGCTGAAGTTGATGGTGATGCTATCAATGTTGCGAGTTGACTACGTCACAGCTAATGTTTATCAGAAGATCATAAAACGCCAGCCAACATTAATCTAATATCAGCGACAACCATTACTTCATTTCAAAGTCAAATCTGTGTAAGCGCTCATGTCGTGCTTATAAATATGCATAAGAAAGTAGGTATGCATATAAATTCGCACAGATACATACATATGCATTCCATACATCTTTTCATGTGCATAGGTATCTACGCGTGTGTTTTATGCCAGCATAACTCAATGTAGGCTTATGACGATGAATTCATGTATATAAAATGTGTGTCTGTGTTGTGTTTGTTTGTGTGTGTGCAGAAATAAACAAGCGAATATAATAATATAATGTAACGGTATTTACATGGAACATTGTCGCTTCAATCATTCAGTCATTCATTCTTTTCTTCGATCATTCATGCAAGCTGTAAATGCGATTGGCTTTAAAAAACAGCTATCAATGTACTGACTTTAATTTGAAGTTCAACACTGAGCAAACACACACACACATATATAAACATACATACACACATACTCACAATTACACATACACACATATATACAACCCTGCATAACTCTATATAAATCTATATAACTCTATATTACTCTAAATAACCATATATAACTCTATATAACCCGATATAACTCTATATAACACTATAATCTGTAAGTAAAGCTTTTAACTCTGCTCCTGATCTAGTTTCTTTTCTCATATATCGCCAAATCTTGTTCCATTGCACTAGCTACCTATAAAATATAGAATAATTTCTAAAATTGGCACTTTACGTTTAAGTCTCAATCTAAATACTTTCCTAAAAACTTCAAATGTGTACACACTTTGTACAGAAAGAAATTGCCTGTTTTACATTTTTCATTTGATTTAAATAAAAAGCTTTTAATTTCATGTATGCAAAATCAATCAATCAATCAGCTTTGGTTTAAAATATACAATTTGCAGTCAAGAAAATGTTTAAACGGAAATATACAATAAAAAAGCCCTCTCGATATCAAAGACAATTTATTGAAATTTAATTTTAATTCACCGTTTTTGTATATTACCACAATAACAATAACAACGAGAACCATGATAATTATCATAATATTAACAATAATAATAAATAATAGCACAGACAATAACAATGACTTGAATAAAAACAAAATGAATATGTTGCTTCGTCTATCTCTTCAGTCTCGAATTTCACAAACAACGATCAATTATACGATATAATGTCATGCTCACAGTTTGATTAATTAAATGATTGATTGAATGAATGATTGAATAATTGATTGAATGAATGATTGAATGAATAAATGATTATAAGAAAAAGTAGTAAGAACATATTAAAGAAACACAGAGGGATGTATAAAATGTTATGGTGAATAGCAGTTCATTGGTCGCTCCTATAATATTTCAAATTAATAACCTCTCTGGTGATCTGACGGTCATACACATAATATATATATTATTATATATTAATATTATATTACTATACTTTTACTTATAATCAATTATTCATTCAATCAATCATATTAACGCCAAACATTCGGTAGAATTTATAGAATATTGTTAATATATATATATATATATATATAACATAAATATATATATATAGAGCGATATTTATATATGTATAATTGTATATATTTACATACAATAGAAACATAAATAAGTTGAGTTCTCCATATCACGATTACCTTTAAAACCAAGCAAATACATTGATACTGAACGAACAACGCAACGGCTAACATTTACAGTCTTTGTTTATAATCAATCAATCAATCAATCAATCAATCAATCAATCAATCAATCAATCAACCAATCAATCAACCAATCAGAGCTCTGTAGCTTCTAGGATTGTTTCTGAAAGTCTGTTGTTGAGGTGTGGTAGTCGGTGTGTGATGATGGTGACTGGTAGATCCGTGCCTGCTTCTGTTTGGTCCTCCAATGATGTGCGTGGGTCCAGTGATGTGCGTGGGACCAGTGATGTCCATTGGAGGGTCTTTCTCGCCCGTCGGAGAGTGCAAACTGTTCATACTGAGACTTGACATAGAAGAACTTAAAAGGATGTTGTTTATACCTGCTGTGAACAAACAATATGTCTTCGTTCCTTTTATAGATTTAAAACCTCAACAATGTATCAAGTATAACGAGACGAAATTTTAAAGTTTGAAATCTATGGAATGTGAAAATCATCTGAAACATCGGCAACAAAAGCAGCAAGAAGAACGATGTCATTGATGGGCAACCTTGCGCGTTGTTTATGTACTGCTGAGTTTCGATGTCTGGGACGGGCAGGCAAGTTTCAACCATGGCCTCCAAACAATTCACAAACAACTCTGCATTGTCCTGGTTCTGACTGGCCTGGAGCCGATGCGGTGATGTGATGATGATGATGTGATGATGATGTAATGATGATGTAATGATGATGTGATGAAGCAATGGTGGTTGTGACTGTGATTAAACTGACGACAAGAGGACGTTTACTTTTGTGAACGGACCAGCGAACCTCCAGAGACCACCGAAACCAATGCCTGGTTGAAATGCAATGAAAATAACAGCTCATCTAACTATTGTACAACAACAACAACAACAGCAGCAGCAACAACAACAACAACGACGACGACGACAGATGCAACTAACTCTGCAGGTATGTATGTTGTTGTTGTGAAGCGTCTTCAGAAATGATGGAGTTGTTGGTGTTGAGGATGATGTTCTGCACGGCGTTCAATATGACGCGATCGTGACACAGCGTTAGGATGGAGTTTATCTTTGAATCGATCAAACTGTGGCTGTGCGTTCGTGTGTACGAAATTAAGTAGATAGATGTACGTTCGTGTGTACGTAAAAAAATTTAGAGAAAACAAGAGCGAAGGAGATGAAGAACAGCAACTCACATGACGGGGAATACTTTGGGGAAAACAACGGAGGCCTCGGCAAGGTACTCGTACAAAACTCTCGTTTCGTTTTCATCCGTTGTGTTTCTCACCAATGTTGCCTTTGTGGGGCAATGATGGATAGTAAGTAAAAGTTAGCTAAGTTGGAAAATTTTATAAAATGTTGATAATGCACACGCACAAATAGAAACCAGGAGAGAGAGAGAGAGAGAGAGAGAGAGAGAGAGAGAGAGAGACAGAGAGAGAAGAGAGAGAGAGAGAGACAGAGAGAGAAGAGAGAGAGAGAGAGAAAGAGAGAAAGAGGTAAAAAATCTAACTGACAAGAACAGTGAGGAGAAGAGCCTGCGTGTTGTAATCAGAAAGTATTTCGGGATCGAGCAAGACGTTGTTCTCATTCGATATGGAACCTCTCAAACTTCTGTCTTTCACCTTCATGCATCATCAAATCATCACGGAATGAATGAATGCACGACATATGTTGCGATGAATTATGAAATAGAATGTTAGCCACTTGGATCTCGGGTCTGTCGTCATCCTGTCGGTTGATGCCAGCCGCCATGCCCACACCAGGCAGACAACAAGCCCCATGCTCCAATGCACCGATGCCGAGGCCGTTGTAGACACTGCAGTACGTCGAACTGGATGGGGGAGGAGGAGGAAGAAGAGAAGGAGGAGGAGGGGGAGGAAGAGAGGGAAGAGGAAGTAGACATCCTTCCATCAGGACGTTCCCGTCTTTTGATTGGTTGTCAATGTGGGTGGTGGAGGAGGAGGAAGAAGATGATGATGTTTTCGGGGCTGGCACAGAACTGCTTCGATGGGTCTTGAATGACTGCTTGTTGATGCAGGAAGAGGATGCCTGGTCGAGATCCAAACTTCGCCAGGACTTGGGACTGTTGTTGCTCCTGGCGGGCTGGATAATGGCGATGAAAAAAGCAAGCAAACATTGAATTTAGTTGTCATCCCGATTGTAAATACGAGAAAGAATGAAAGAAAAGAGTAGAAGTAGACTAACTTGTAAGACTTGTGAACTGGTGCTTTCAATAGTAACATCATTATCTTCATGATCTCCTCCACCGCCATTCCTCTCTCTCCTGTCGACTGTGGGAGAGAGTGACAAAGGTAAGGGTAGGTTGCTTGCTGCACATGCCCCGCTATCGACAACCCATCCAGTTGAACAAGCATCCAGGGAGTTGTCATTCACGAATGAATTATTGATGTAAGCATTGTTGTTGGTGACGTTGTTGTTGTTGTTGTTGTTGATGCTGCTGCTGAGACAACTACTGTTTGTGTTGTTGTTGTAGTTGTTGTTGCTGTTGTAGTTGTTGTTAGCAGTGGTCACCGGGGCGGCCACAATGCTGGAAAGCGTGTTGTTAGAAGTCGGTGATGTTGTTGACGCGCTGTTGCCGCTGGGACCAATGCAACATCCTCCCGCTCCCGATCCCGACCCACCTGAGCTAACGGAGCCATTGTAATTGCCACTGGCCGCGCTGTGTGGCTGTTGTGGTTGAGGGGGATAGACGTAACTGAGTTGTGGATAGAAAGGATGTGGGTAGAAATAGTGATGATGAATGTGATGTGCCGGAGCGAACGATGCGTTTGAGATGCTCATCATTTTGGAGTTGTTGCTGTTGTTGATGTTGTTACTGAGAAGAGTGTTGGTGCTGAGCGTTGAAGCGTCGTTGTTGATACTCTCGTTCGAAGTCGACTCCGTCAAATGTGACAAGCCACACAATCGGTGCTGTTGCGTTCGCAGGTGACATCTACTACGAACCTCTTCTGATTGGGTGAGCAGGGCTGCAGGCGGGCGGAGTTAAAATTTATTAACCAATCAGTCAATAGAAAGTTAAATAAATAAACAATCAATTAATCAATCATGGAATGAAGAAAAGAGCAAATGAACGAATGGAACAATGAGAGGAAGAGCGCGGACAGACGACAAACGGACGAGGACTGACCAGCCAGGTATGGAGCACTTTGAATGGTCACCTGAAACTTATCCCTGCATCGTTTGGGTGGAAAATTATTGCATCTTCATCTCCAGTTAATTACACGTCACTATTGTTGTAATAACTATGAAAATATATTTCCACAGCACCTCTTAGCGGGCTTGGCTGTGATGGCGAGCAACATGTTGAGGACACGAACTGTCCTGGAGACGGTGTTTGTGATTGGATGCCTCAAACCTGACGATATCGTCATCATCATCATCATCATTAATATCATCACCATCGCCATCACCATCATCATCATAATCATCACCTTTGAGAAGATGACCTACGAGAGCAAAGTTGAAGTTAGCCTTGAAGCTCAGCCCCATGGAATGGTCTAATTGTTTGAAGTGCCATTCCAGGGCCTCACGCGTGTCCATCATCACCTTCTCCAGAGACTTGCGACGAGAAATATATCACTATCATCATCATCATCATCATCACCCTCCCTACAATCACATTCATCATAGTCATCATCATCATCACCCTCCCTACAATCCAATTCATCATAGTCATCATCATCATCATCACCTCCTTGTCGAACTTGCCCAGGTTATCGAGCATGTGGAGGTTCTGCTCGAGCAGAGCGAGGCCAGCGGCGTAGAGGGAGATCTCGTCCAGCTGTAGAACAGATATGGCCACCCAGAACAGGTGGCAGTGGATTATTGAGTCCTGATTGGTTGGTTGGTTAGTTAAAGAACTACGTAATTGGCTTGCAGATCAATAATTTGTTGAAAAATAATTCGATTGCTTGGTTAAAAAACGTAAATTAATAAGCAGATTAAGAAGTTATTCGAGTGAATTGAGTTATTTGATTTGTTGGCTGGAGGGCTTACAAATTATTTTTTTACAATTTAGTGAGACGCATTGCAGGAAATTATTAGAATGGAAGCGAACCTGACTGAGGATCGGTTGGAGTCTTGTTAAACACATGATGATTGCTTCGATCAAATTCAAATCTGTGTAGGACTCCAGAGCCTATCGTGATAATTATCATAGTTTTCGTTATCATTAATTATTATCATCGTCGTCGTCACCAGCTTCATTAACTTCATCTTCATAGTTGCATGAACTGACCTTAACGAGAATTCTGAGAAGTTGTTTTATTTCAGGATCGGTGATGGACTTGCTGATGCAACCGTAGACGATGATGGCTCTGGGTTGGAGGGCCGGGTTGTACTGGTATGCGAACCCTCGAGCAAGTTCGGTCCACTGACTCCGCCATTTGTAATCCTTCAGCTCCTTTACGCACCCCTTCATTAATTCATCAACCAATCGAATGCTTCAATTTATCTCCTAGCGAAGAAGGCAATCAAAAGCAGCTAGGTAGACAAGAGAGAGAGAGAGAGAGAGAGAGAGAGAGAGAGAGAGAGAGAGAGAGAGAGAGAGAGAGAGAGAGAGAGGTAGAGAGAGAGAGAGAGAGAGAGAGAAAGAGAGAGACAGAGAGAGAGAGAGAGAGAGAGAGACTTACGCAGACTTCCATGAGTTCTACGAGAGAATCTGCGATGATTTCGAGTGACTGGAGGGAGACACGTTCCTGCTCGGGGGGCGTGTAGGCGAACGATCGGTCACCCCCTGGCCTGTAACTCGACTGAAACGCACTCGCCGCTGCAGACTTCACCTTGCTGATGCCGAACAATTGGTAGAACTTCGGCAGGGAGAATTCTGTGAGACTCAATTTGAGCATACGCACCACGTCATCTGATGATGGTGATGATGGTGATGAGAATGATGATGGTGGCGATGAGAATGATGATGAAAATGATGATGATGATGATGAGAATGGTGATTGACGGTTAGAAGGATAAAATGAAAGAAAGCACTGAACACGAACCACTGAATTCGAGTTGCGAGCAGGTGCACAAGGAATGGATGATGTTGATGACGAGGCCGTGAACGGAGGCCTGCAGAGAGAGGGGGCCAGTGCACACCATCAAAGTCACCACGTGGAAGAGAAGGGGCAAGTGGGCGGCAACTGTGTGGCAGGTCAAAGTTCAAATCAATATAAATCGTAAAAAAATGAGACGAATGAAGATAAAGTGAAGGTACCATCGAGTGCATTGTTGAAGGAGAGCATGAGGAGGTATCGCAGGAGGATGGCGATGTCGTCCCACATTAAATGCTGCTCCAGCGAATGCACCGGCGACAAACAGGTCCGATCTATCAGCTGTTCGTTCGTTCGTTGGTCATTCGTTAATTAATTAATTTCTTTATTTTTCAATCTGACCAAGCAACTAACTTATCAATCAAGATACTGGCGAACAGAAAGAGCAGAAGAAACAAAGAAAGATCCAATTAGACACAAAAATACAGAGAAACACGGTCACAATAAAAAAAGAGAAAGGGAAAATTAAAAGAAGAAATGAAAAAATGGAGAAGCAAAAAAAAAAGAAAAGAACGCACCCTGCAGAGTCGCCAGATGACCTTACGAGACACAATGCTGACATTTGAAGAGGCCAGTGCAACTGCAGTGTCTGCCATGATTTCTGCCTGGATGGAGCCCAGACCGCCAGTCACACTTCTCTGTTTCAATTATAGAAACAGATGAGTGATGGCAATGTAATGTAATGTAATGTGAAGTAATGTGATGTGATGATAGTTGCCTGAAGACGAATATGTTGCGATGGGAATGAAGATGGTGATCAAAAATTATAATTAATTAGCAGTAAGCAACCTTAATGAAACTATCTAGAACTAGGTCAATTAATTCTGAGACTTGACCCAAATTAGCCCAGATCTTCGCTTGCACAGATGGGTACATCTTGGTCGAATGGAATTATTTTGAAATGTATTGTATGTGAATGAATGAAAGAAGAAAAGAATAAAAAATTAAAAAAGAAAAGAATAAAAAGTTGAATGAACGAATGAACGAATGAATGAACAAATGACAAGAAAATTATAGACATGAAACAAAATGAAACCTCAATCTCATCAATTGTAATGGTGATGAGTTTGTCCAAAATCAAAGAAACTTTTTGTCTTTTATTCTCGTCGTTATGGCGGCAGAACCTTTTATTTATTCAACAACAGATTTTAAAACCAACGAAACATTCCTTCATTAATTCATCTCCACTCCCTCACTCCCATCCACAGCCAGCCGACCAGATGAGGTGAACAAAAACAGACAACAAACAACAAGCAGGAGACAACAAACAACAGACACAGACAGCAGACAACAGACAGGGGACCTGGTGAGATTAGGGAGCCATGGAGTCATGTACTCGAGGCAGAGATGTTTCATCTCGATGTTGGAATTACGAAAACCCTGGATGCACTCTTCGAGGAATTCGAGGGTGAGGTGGGGTTCGTTGGCCGCTATGCGATCGCTGATGTTCTTTATGAAGACCGTGTTGTTAGATGGAATGCACAGACCTGTTTCGTGTGAAGGGTTTCGTTAGAGACAAACAACGCAGCTCATTCAGCGCCGTTCATTTAGTAATTAAAGTCATGTTATAAGTCAGTAGGTAGTTGCGGCAGAGATGCAGAATTCTATTCATTAACACTTCGAAATAAATAAACAGTTAGTTGAAATAGATGAAGAAAGTAATCGAGTTGAAGGAGATGATTGAGACGAGGAAGGGACCCCACCTCCAGTCTGCAGAAGCTGTCCCTCGATCCTCAGGTCGAACGTCTGCGTGAGCGTGCAGAGCAGATTGTAGGCGGCTGATCTCAGACTTGGATCCTGACTGCCTAGGTTCAGTAACGCCTGACGGGTGCATGAATGAATGCATAAAATCAAAAATGAATGATCCAATGAATGGACCAATAAATAAACGATGGAAAAGTTTTACAAGAACGTACGATATTAAGCAGGGTTCCTGGCACATCTTTAGGTCGAATTTTTGTATGCACTGTCACACTGTCCTGGTTTTTAAAATAGCGATAATCACAATAACAATAATAAATAATGATAGCGATGATGATTGTAACGACAGCCGCTCAGTCATTCATTCATTCATTCATTCATTCATTCATTCATTCATTCATTCATTCATTCATTCATTCATTGTAGTCTAAGTTATTATTACGATTCTTTCTAGTTATCACGATGTATAGTTCACACGATGTATGTACGTGTGTGTACGGTTGTATTGTTGTCCAAAGAACGGAGAACATATTATATTGTATTTAGAAGATGATTTGAAGTGTGAAGGATGACAGTAGCTTTGACCGACCATCTAACTCATTTACCTAAATCACTTTTAAATAACGTAATAATAACGCCCAGCTCCATGATGCACACCATGATATACACAGATAGCAATTTAATTTATTCAAGTTAATTAAAACTACAAACTTTGGCAAACATAATAAAAATGTTGCAGTTTAAAATAAGTTACGGCAGAGTCGATTTCCAGCGAAAACCGAGACGAAACTCTAATAATAATATAATAATAATAATATAATAATGATGATGATGATGAGACGGACAAGAGCCTCGTGCAAACGTACAGGTTGGGAGAGTTCCCATCTGGTCCTGATGTGAATGATGGCCTGAACGATGCTGTCGCAATCGTTGTGGATGAAACTCAAGTTGCTACTCTCATTTGAGATCGTCAAAGTGAACTGGTTGTCATCCACCAAGCACACCTAGTAGCCATTCATTCATTCATTCATTCATTCATTCATTCATTCATGCGCGCCTCTTGTACGAAGATGCATTCACATCCATATTGTGCTACAAACGCGTTAAAACGACTAACGAAAAACATGTCAACATGCGAAACTAAACGTCATCATCATCATCGTCGTCGTCCGCACCACCTCTTCAATTTCACAAGCGTAGTAAACATCATTGAGAATGATTGAGTGGCCTAGCAGCTTGCATTTATCGTTCGATGTTATCTGGATGGCGTTTGGTCCTACCTATCAAAATTTATTAATTTATACATATATTTTTCATTCATTCATTCACTCACTCATTCATCCATCCATCCATCCGTTCATTCATTCACTCATTCATCCATCCATTCGTTCATTCATTCATTTGTTCATTCATTCGGTGCCCAGTAAGAAACCTTGATAGAAACTTTGGTATCCTTATGAGCCAACTTGAGTCCATTGGTGAAGACTTTGAGATCTTCCTCGAGGTTGAGAGTGGCTCCCGGCAGCTTCTGCTGGTCCGCGTCGATGTACTCGTTCAGCTTCATTTGGTTGTCCACGAAAATCATCTTGCGATTGCCCTGAAAGAAGAAGAAAATTGAGAGAGACGGAATGAAGGAGAAAAAAACGAAGTAGAACACTTTAGTGCCATCCTTCAAATCATCATCTTCGAAATCACAATAACATAAAAAATCATCACCATCTTCCAAATCATTCTCATCATCTTCCAAATCATTACACACTGCCAGCCAACCATCCATCCAACCAGCCTGTCAAACAGCAAGCCAGCCAACGAACCCTGAGAGGTGAAAGAATCCTCTCGTGATACTTGCTGTACTCTCTGACCCAGGTGTTGCAGTTGTAAATGTAAGCCATCCAAATATTTTGATAGACAACATCGGGCAATACGAAGAACCACTTTTGCAAAAAGTCAGCCTGGTGCAAATAAGACGTGATGCCATTCACAAATGATCTCATTTTATGTCATCATCGTTACGGCGCGTCACCAAAACAACCAATCAACCAGCCAGCCAACCAGCCAAGCATCACCGCCATCTTCACTAACTCTAAATCGATTGTCCCCACAGGTGTGAGTGAAGTCGACAACGACTTCGAAAGGTTTGTGGTAGAAAGGTTTGAGTGTGAGGAGGACGTGGTAGATGAGAAGGTCCCCGCTCATATCAGACATTCTACTTTCACAGTTCGCTCGCATCATCTCACTCATTGCCCATAGCAGACGCATTTAACATTTTGTTATTAATAATGTCATTTATGATTTACATACGTATTTTTAATAAAATCGTAATAATTACATCAATTTTGCGTGGAAAATTTACATATTTTAGTAAAAAAAACTATTATGTTAAAAACTTGTATCTCCTGGCGATGTAGTAAAAAACGGGATTGCCCTGCTTGCTGGTGCCTGCCTGTGTCATCATCGTCGTCGTCATCATTTTTTGACAACAAAAACAAAGCAGAAACCCAGATATTTATTCAAACATTCATTCACCTACTCGTTCATTCAGTCCGTAAGATAAAAAAAAGCCCACCAACCTGATAGAAAATATTAAGGGACTTGAGAGATTTGAACTCATCCTTCTCGTGCATGTTGTGTTTCGACATGACGTCCTCAAACTTCGTGCTCGACATATCCATGCTGTTCCATCTGTTTCAGTTCCAAAAGCCATTTTACCATTTCATTCACTCAATCAATCAATTAATTAATTATAATTAATTATAATTAATTAACAGCTTACTCTCCCAGTCAGTCTCTCCATTAAAATACAAATTAATTAATCATACGCCTTACTAACTGTGAATCCAGGGGCCGATGTTCTGGCGGACCGAGGTAGGCCAGCAGGGTGGCCATCTTATCGAACGGCCTCCTGCCAACCGCCTTGTGGTCTCTGCTGCTACTCAAATAATCGCCAATCTTCTCCTGGTTGATCCAGAGAAGTCTGTGCAGAGCGAGAACGTTGGAGTCACTGATGAAGGAGAGGCTGTGGTTCGAGGTGTCCAGTGTCTCGCAGTCCGATGCTATCTCCTGGAAGAATCTGTTTCGTTCGTTCGTTCGTTCGTTGTTGGCTGGTTGGCGTTCGCCTCGTTTTCAATCCCAACAAATACAAACAACAAAAACGTCAGCTCACTTGATTCCGATTTCAAAGTTGGCTCTGAGGAAATCGTTGAAGACTTTCATGTGAATCTCCTTTGTGAAGAGCACGTGGTTGGCGATGTTCTGCATTATCTTACACATCAGGGTCAGTCCGCGCTTCATTCGAAGGGTCGTCGGCTGGTCTATTATGCCCGATTCACACGGGGTTACTGCGTGTGTGTGTGCAGGTGCGTGTGATTGAGATGGCTTCGAAGAGGAGAAAGATAAATTTTAACCAGCCAACCTATAGCAGGATTGATAAATCTAAGAAAGATGACGGTGCCGATGACAATCCAGACGGCTTCAGAGGGACTCTGCTGGAACCTCTGCGTGACGACCTGATGCAAGCAGTGGCACATGCTGCGCAACTTCGGAGGGAATCTAGTGCAGAGGAAATGATGAAATAAAAATCAAAAGAAAACGAAGAAAGAAAAAGAAACAAAGCAATGAGATGTAACAGAAAACATAAATAAACTGAAACAAAGAAAGTGAAAATAACGAAGATGGTGACAAAGATGATGATGAACAACCTTTCAGTTGATGTGACGATGACATCAAAAACTCTCTGCGTGAGATTCAAGAGGTTCCTCTTGTTCTCCTCCATCATCTCACTGGGGTCCAACCTTTGTAACGATCATGACGTCATCGATAAATTAACCAATCAACAAATTCGCAATAAATTAGTTAACCGATGAATGAATGAATGAATGAATGAAAATGAATGAATGAAAGGAACCTCGTTGGATCGATCTCATAAGACACGCCAGCCCTCTCGGCGATAAACATGTCGTTGATGAGGCCGAACAGAAGTTCCCTCAAGTAGCCCTGACCGTAAATTCTGAAGCAGTAGGTCATGATCTTGCTCGCCAGACTGTTGCCTCTGAACAACGTCTGCATGCAGTCTGCTATCTCCACCTTTCACAATTTCCGTGTAGGTGTGCAATTTAAATGATGGAAGGAAAATATTCAGAAAAAGAGGACGACAAAAATGAAAAAAAAAAAAATCTAAAAATTAAATGCTTCAAAAAAAACGAAACAAACGAACAAACAATCAGGTAACACAAACTTCTTTGGAGAACATGTTCCAAAGCAGCTGATAGAGCAGGTGTTTGGCATCGAAGAGGTTCACAAAAACTCTCGCCAGTTCATCCTGCAATCAATCCATAATCCTCATTCATTCAATCAGTTATCCATTTATTCATTCGTTCGTTTATTTATTGAAAAAACTGCAGACTGATGAACAATGAATAAAGTTAGAGAACGAACCATGTGGGGGTTGGCCACGACACTCGCCAGAGCCATCGCGATGGGAAGTTCCCCCTTATCTCCAATCATGGTCACCAGTTCGACCAGTCTTTCAAATCGATCAGCCAAGGCCGTCTCAGCGAGAGTTTCAAACTCAGTGCCCTGCTGCAGTATTTTTGTTAGGACCTCCATGAACGCTGCTTTTGTCTGCGGGTCTCTATGGTAGCCCAACCCTGATTGATCGGACGATTGACCAATTAAATGCTACATACTGATGAATCAAAGAGCCAGCCAGCAAATTAGAAAGAGCCATTGAAACAAACCAATGGAATGCATGAGTCCGCTATCGATATTAGCATTTAAAAGGTTGGACATGGCAAGGACCGTACAGTTGCGGAGGGCATTCGTGCTGTTTAATTTGACGCCCCGCGTCTCGTTGGATGGACATTTGTCATCTGGGTTGTCGTCGGAACAATCATTTAACAAGTTCATGAAGAGAGTGAAGTATCTGGAGATGTTCGGTTGGTAAGTTGATTGATTGATTAGTTGATTGATTGATTAGTTGATTGATTAGTTGATTGATTGATTGATTGATTAGTTTATTGAATGATTAGTTTATTGATTGATTAGTTTATTGATTGATTGATGAAATGACCGACTTGAGAAAGAGTTGAGACTTGGCTTCCATCAGATCACCTCGATCACTTTCCTCGGGCTGGAGGGGCAGGCCTTTCAAAAGGGCTGCCACTGCTTCCATGCTGGCCATGTCAAGGTCACTGTTGATGATGATGATAATGTTGGTGCTGATGATTATGATGCGTTTCATTTGAATAGAAACTGAAACTAACCGCGAAACTTGCGAGAAATCCCCGAGCACATTGACTTGGTGGGAATTGCCCATGACCCAGTCAGAAAGGTACTCGACCAGCTTGTTCCTGAACTTCATTTCCTGTCTGAAGGTGAGATCGTCCCTGCGACTCATCATGGCCTCCACCAGCTGGCAGACTTTCGTCTTCACCTGTATGGAATGCACGCTGGCGTCCAAGTGCCTGATGTACCTGAGGCCATTGAATGCATTTCAGTGATAATTATCATAGCAACTGCAGTGTTACGAATAATATAATTATTATGATTCATTGAAATAAATAAATAAACAACAATGTAATAATAATAATAACAATAATATTTTAATGGCAATCATAATTAGCCAACCTGACGATAGCAAGCATGAGGAACTCAATGCACGTGACTCCGAGTTGTTCGTTCTGCTGTTCTGCCTTATTTTCGAGAATGTTCTTCATTATGAAGATGATGTTCTCTATGAAGAGGGTGTTCGAGTCCGATACTATGGCCTGCGTTGGCGGCAGAAGTGGTCAATCGTTCTTTCACTCATTAATTCATCCAGTCAATCAATCAGTTAAACGATCGCCATCATCACTATCATTACAGCCATCTACCTGTCCAGTTGAATCGAAGAACTTGTCAACGAACAACTTGATCTGATCGAAGAGTATGGAGTAGAGGGATGGGTTCAATTCATGACCGACCAACTCCTTCACGTGCTTCTGTACCTGCTGACCGAACTTGTCATTGTTGCACACCAACAACTTCAGCAGGTGCCCTATAAATCTTTCGTTTGCAGGTTTAATAATAATAATATTATTATTATTACATAATAATTATTATTATTTTAACTATAATTATTAATAATAATAATATTTACTGAGTGACGGGACAATACTGTAAATCTCCGAAGCCAGGGACAACACTGCTCTTACGAATCTCACAGTTCTGTGGCTGTCTGTTGTATCTGATGAGATGACGACAACATCAAAGTATATCATATATAAACTTCAAAGTCAGTTTATTAATTAATTAATTAACTCATTCATTCATTCATTCATTCGTACGCTCGTTCACACGTTCATTCATTGAAACCTGTTTTGCAAACAGACACTGCCAAGAGAGCAGAGGAAGCCAGTCATGTTTGCCCATTCATTCAGGTGATCCTGAAATATTTCAATCGAATTAAACAACTACCTACGTCATCCCATTCATCATCATCACAACCACCATTCACCTCCAGCTCGTGTTCGGTGCTCTGGTGAGAAGTTCTCCTCTTGGTGGCAGACTTCTGAAGCATCTCCACCCCACCGTCCTCCATCTTCGTCTTCGGGTAGTTGTCCAGGTACCTCGTGCTGCTCTCCCAGAACATGAACGTCTCGTTCCACGCGTGCATGTTCCCAGCCGTCGACTCCTCAATCTTCCTCAACAGACCCATGATGCGTTTCTGTAGAACTGCACGTCCTGAGTGTTGTACGCGTGTGTGTGTCTGGTGTGTAAGTGTGGTGTGTGTGTGGTGTGTGCTAGTGTGAATGTTATTGTGTGTTGTCGTTTGATGTTGCCGTACCGACAATGTTGTTGATGAAATTAATGAAAGGACGAAGAAACACGGGAGCATAAGAACCAGTGGTAAGGACAGTGGAGGCAGCAGCGAGCTCCATGAACACGTTGTAGTTGGGGAGGAAGTGGACTGCGGAGGTGTCATCAACCATGGCACTCCTTATTTCACCCTCGTCACACAGCGCTTGAAAACAAGACATCGACGTCAAAACTGCGTCAATGTCGATACTCCAGAGGTACACGTAGAAAACAATCTGACGATGATGTTGATGTGATTGATGATCAATCTGACGATGATGTTGATGTGATTGATGATCAATCTGACGATGATGTTGATGTGATGGTGACGTGAAGGAAGATGCGACAATGAAGATGTGATGACAGCAATTTCCGCTTATAAAAATAAAACAAGCGCAGTAACAAATGCAGAGAAACTAAATCTCAATGAAAGAGAACTGGAGAGAAGAATGAAAGACTTTTAAAGAGAGAAAGAATGAAGGAATGGTTTGAAAGCACACACCTCAACTTTGATCTGAGCCTGCTTGAAGATGAGCGGGTTGGGGCCCATGAATGCATACTCCTTGTTTTTATTTAGGAACATGTTCCTACACGTCAGTATGTCCCTCAGCCATTTCAGAACATCGGGGTAGTTGAACATCTGGTGCTGTATCAACTTTTGAGAGATGCTGTACAACATCTGCGAGCTGAGGTGATCGTGGTTGGTTGCGATGATGGCGAACATGTGCGAGGTTCAACGTATGTACTACGTACAATGCTCTGAAAGTCTGCCTATATAGATACAGAACCCATCAAGGAATCAGCCAACCGACCTAACTTCCCAGAAGGTGGAGATGGGATCTTCAGGGTTCCAGAGTTCGATGATTTCAACTTGGTGCAGACAGAGTAGGGCTTCCATGGCTTCCTGGGCCACATCAGGCATCTGCTGCTGGTGCACTAACGATACCAAACCATTGATCAACTCCAAAGTGCTGCTCTGAATCTCGTGACTCGCTTTGCTCGGGTTCTGAAGTTATAAGACAAAAAAAATGGCAGAAGCGATTGAAGAAGGAATATAAATGCAATTAGGGAGTGATTGCGCTAACGTATAGCATGAGTATTGGGTCGGCGTGTATCAAGCGTACGATGCCCAGTAACAAGTACTTCAAACTCAGAGCTTCTTCAGATGGCTTCTCTTTCAATTTCAAGACATGCACCTTGTCTCTAAGTGTGAGGCTCTGTTCGGTGATTGGTCGGTGGGCATAGTCAATTAATTAATTAACCACCAGACGGACCAATCAAACAAGCAGTTCCTACCCATCAACCAATTATCAGCCATTTAATCAGGAACCTGGGATAATCTGAGTGGTGTGTGGTTCATCTGGGACACCTTGTTCAATGTTTCCGTGAACAAGCCCCTCAACTCGCCCGACTTTACGTGCATGATCTCGATGTTCGGCCACCACGGCAACCGTTTCTATGAACGAACGAACGATTAAAAATGCGTAAAAAATGAATATGAAGGAAGAATGGTTGAAGGCAGACCTACCTGCGTGATGATGAGATGGAGAGCGTTGATGAGAACGAAGTGGAATGTGTGAGGAGAATTGGGATTGAGGCAAATTTTGAGGAGTTCGTTGTTGTGTGGCGTGACACGAAAACATGAGATGAAGCACTCGATCATCAAGTCAACGTCCTGATTCAGATAGCTGGCGCCGCGAGAGAACGGCTTTTGTACGTTGAACAAGAGAAGCTGAAAGTGATGGGAGGGATGACATACGAGATTACTTGCTAATGACGATGAAAGTTACCATTGCATCAACATATTTATAGAGAGAGAGAGAGAGAGAGAGAGAGAGAGAGAGAGAGAGTAAAGTCGACCAACCAACCAATAAATCGAAGAAAGCAAAAATTCATTCAACCAGGCATCCAATAGCAAAGAAGCAACCAACTTTCAAGTCCTGCAAAATGGAGTGAACCAGCTGAAAGAGAACATTGGCCCTATCCTTACTGTTGATGTACGTTGATGCCTTGCAGAGCTTCACGCACGTCACTGCAGCTCCTTCCTGCAGCGGCTTGTGGCTGCTGTGGTTGTTGTTCAGTGCTCGCTTCAGTTCATCTATGAACAGTTTCTGCGAGCGAGTGTTTGTGCATTGTTTGGCCATTTATTTATCATCTCTCTGCCATCATTGTTTACACTTGAACTCTTATTCTCTGCCACACAATCATCATCATCATTTTCACCACGCCATCATCCTCATCTTCTGCACCTTCTTCAAATGTTGAGCTGAGCAAGGAGCACCACTGTCGGCATTGTTTATTTCTTCCAGGATTGGCTATGACGTAGCAATGAAGGAATAATGTTATAACGCAACAATGGTACATGCTATGGTGTATTAGATGTATAATATTACGACGAAATATATAACTCACAAAGGTGTATACATATAACCACCGCGTACATTATATCGCGAATCATTACAACTTAATAAAAGCGTATTTATCATAGAAAGTAATAAAATTATAATAATACAGTCTTTGATAAAATCTACTGAATATTTAGCTTTTTGGTTTGGATGTCATTTGATTAACTAGAGTATTTTTAGCTTCTAGATTTTATCAAATATTACATCAATTATGGTCTCCTTCCAGTCTAAACAGTCTTATAAAGGTATAACTAACATTGCAGCGTAACAAAGGTTTAAGGTCAATAGGTTTGGTAACGAAAACTTAATGTTTCATGTTTAAAAATGGTTTAACGTAACGGCGTTATGAAGGTATATTATGGCAGCAAGACAAATACAGACGGGACATAGAATAAGTAGGATCATCTGTAAAGGCCAGACTCCAACTTTTTTCTTCGTGTTTTCTCCAAATGAATTTGCCAGTTCAAATAACTTGTCACAGCAATCTGCGTAATTGTTTATTACATATTATCTATCCTTACTCATTGTTAATCAATCAACCAACCTATCTATCTATCTAACTATCTATCTATCAATCAATCAATCTATAAAAAAGTGTTTCATTCAAGATTAAAATTTGAACATGGAGTGAAAGATTTAAATAGCGATAATCATGATCCTGATCTTAAAATATTGATACGACAAAATGTTAAAAGTACCAGCCAACTCCTGGCTTGGCTCGATTTGAAGTGTTGCAAATTCTTCTGGGTATGTTGATAACCAGTTCCATATGGCCTGTTTATGATGATGATGATGATGTAAGCGACGATAACGATGATGACGACGACGACTATGATGACGATGTTAACCTTCTCTAAGCTGACAGCCATGCAGAGTTGGACAGGCTTCTTCAGAAATTTGAACTTCGAGGCTGCCTCTGTTGGTGACGTCACAATGAATAATAAAAAAAAATAATAATCATCATCAGGAGCAGCAGCAGCAACAGTACCGACCGTTGAGTAACTTGATAAGCCTGCTGAGATCGACGTTGATGTGTTGGATGAGTTCAATGTCGGTGAAGTCCTGGCTCTCCTCCACTGCAGATGACAACGTCGCCAGCCTGTTGCCGTGTTGTGGCATGTTGCGTTGTTCAACAAATATAATAAATTATATTATACTCTATAATAATAAACTATAATAAATTAATCCATCCATTCATCCCTTTCACCTTGCAGAAATTCTATTGAAGACAGCAGTGAAGTTGTTGAGACTGAGAGCAAACAAAACTTTTGAGGCCAGCTGTTTTAATTGGTTGGCAAGGATGCCACCCTCGTTCGATTGGTTCAAAAACTGCAGCAAATCATATTATCACTAATAGTAACAAAATGACATAATATGAACATTTATGAGCTGGTTCACCTTGCAAAGCTCAGGTAGGAGGAGCCTGACATACATGGCTTCATCCAATCGTGAAGTGTCTTTTGGTTGCTAATTTGCATAATTTGGGCGATAATTAAACATTAGTCAGATAAAAAATTAATTAGATTGCAAGTGAAGGTGAGAAATTTGTTCGGCTTACTCCATTGAGAACTTTTTCAAGAGTGTCAAGGATCATAATTTGGGAGTCATAAAAATTTCTTTCTGCTTCTGCTCCGACAATTCTCTAATGGTCAAAAGTTCATTCATCCGTTCGTACATTCATTCATGTATTCGATCATCTATTCATTTATTTATTTAATTAATTACATGCCAATTCCTTCATTCATTCAATGAAAGATTAATTTATTGTCTAGTTCAAAGCTCAGTCTAATCTAATGAAACACAATGAGACGTCATCGTTGAATAACGAAACTTGAACCGTCTAACTGACTGACCATCATATCGACGGACTGGAGAATTTTTGTGAGTCCGTTAATGACGAGTTGGAACTTGTGGCGGCTCACGTGAATCAAAAACTCTTTGTTCTGTTCGATGTTCTGCAGAGCCAGTGTCGAGTGTAGGCCGGTCCTGATTGGCAGCTGGTTAGGAATAGGGATGTGACTAACATCGTTTGTCAATGGTAACTAATAGAAATGTTGAATACCTACCTGGGAATCGAATCTGGTGATGAGGGATTGGACCCACATGCTAGGCTTCTGTGTGGCCATCTCTTAAGCAGATATCAACCACAATCGACCAATAAAAACCAGCTACCAATGCCAACCAACCAATCACAAGCGGGTGCCAACCACAAACAGATGGGACTTGAATTATAGTTGATTACCAAACGTTCTAATAAATTGTGAATCTTCAAGAATCATTTAAAAATAATTTCAATTACTTTTCTAGAAAATTAATACTTACTTTAAATAAGTTTTAAGATGAGAAGTAAAAATATCAGCAAGGAATTGTGATGAGATTATTTAATTTTATCATTATGTATTATATATAAATGAAGATTTTAAGGTAATGTTAAAATGTAACCATAAATAAAGTCACTACAAAACTAATATTAGCAGCACCATAACACACACTTAACACAAGTTTGTCTTCATTCACATTTTAGAATCTTTGATATTACTGCTTGCTTGGTCAAAACTCATACTTAATTATCTGCAAAAATACATATATATATATATATATATATATATATATATATATATATATATATATATATACATTCACAAATACACACACACACATATATATATATATATATATATATATATATATATATATATATATGTATGTGTGTGTGTATGTGTGTGTGTGTGTCAAGAGATCTTATGTGACTGCACTACACATGGATATAAGCATACAACATACAGCAGACAAGTTGGCATACATACACAAATTCATCTGCATACATCCACATGATGTGTACAGGCACTGTAGAGAGGCTTATATATTTTGTTTATACACATATATTGGCAGTCTCATCCTCCAAAGCTCAAGATAAAAGCAGCATCACACTAATTAGCATAATATATTCAAATGATATGCAAGCATTGACATAATTCATGCCTCCATTGAGGTGTACAAGAAGGTGCAGTGTAGGTAAGTTGGATAGGTTGGTAGGTGGGCTGACGATGTCAATATGGGTGCTTTATGTCCAGTCCATCCCCAATCATCCATTCGTTTCTTCTCATTTACTTAATTATTTGCCCATTCTTTTATTTATTATTTTGTCTAATCATATACTTATCCAACTTGTTCACATATATCTGTCCAGCTTTTTCAAGCAAAATGTTTTAAAAAGTTTGCAATAAATTGTATGTAATATTAATTGAAAAATTGGCCAGATGTCTCTATGCAGGTAGAGATGGACAGTAAACAGACACCATAAAATTATCATTATGATTATCATTATATTATACATTCATTATGCAACCTACACATACAAACATGCATACAGTCCACTGCTTAGCATACCACCAGCATCATCATGGTGCTGCTGGACAGAAGTGCAACACATAATAATAAAAAATTCATACTCCAACTCCAGCCAGCCAGCATGTTCTTGCATCAACAACAATTATAAATATACAATAGTAAGTTAGATGTAAGCAGAAATAAGACTTTTCATCTTTTTAACAATCCGATTTCAACTTAACTTACTGTATGATTTTTATACACATGTCAGCCTCTGCTTATTACCAAGCATTAAGCAACTTTTATTAAAATTTATTTAATTAATTAATATTATTAAAAATTAAATTAATATAACTGAGTAAAACAAAACTATGGACAACTGGACAATTCAAAATCTATCTTAATGCTAAAAATGGATGAAACAAAAATTGATTTTATTTGCAATTTGATTAAATTTATATTTTAATGCAAAAATGTTGCGGCCGCCTACGATGTTCGGCCAACGTTTTTATTGATTTGTTAACCGCCTAATCGGGCCCCAGCAGTTGGAAAAACCCATGCATAATTTTTTTTTATATTGTTTAGCGCTTCATTATATAAGTTAAAATAGTTTCGTTCTTACCTAGACATATATAAAGAATATAACATATATATATGTACCTAGAGATTTACTCCAGTTATTGAGAACGCAAATAAAGATTAATTTTTAAGGAAAGTCAATATTTAAATTTTAATATGTACAAGTTTAGACTATTTACGCCGTTACACTCATTCACTTATACACTCATCTTAAAATTTAATTTAACGTATTATTTATAGAATTTCATAGGAATTTCAATTTAATAAAACATAAGTATAGAGTATAGACATAATTGTTGCAATATTTGATAAAATACTTATGCTTCTTGTTTCTTGTTACCCTCTCTCTATTATACTAGTATATGAAAACTATATATACTACATAGAATATATGTGTGTTACCGTATAGTCTTGTTACTCTATATTATTCTAATATATATATACTAGTATATTATATATCTACAAAAATATATTTAATTTTTATATAATTACTGTCACGTCAGCTGATCGAACCAGAAAACCAAAGGTTAACCTCCATTAATAATTTTCAACAAATTGGTGTTTTTTTAATACTAGTAAACGTAAAATATAATTCAGAAGATTTGTTCAAAATTATAGTTAAATTACCAACAAATTATGTGCACGTCTGTAGAAAATGGATTTGATGAACTTCTTTCAGATATTTCCGCAGTTCAGAACTGCCGGATTCTTGCCCTGGGAGCCGAGAAGCAAGAACACTTATTGATTTTTTTAAGCAATATAAATAAATATATGATCTATTTTTAAATATCTGCCTATTTTAATTAAAAAGGACTTCAACGATGAATGGTCATTTAATTTCGCTTTCACTCTTGCAGAATTGTGGGAAAATGGCAGAAGGCCATGAACTGTCAAGTGATGGAAGAGAAAACTCTTGACTTGCAGAACCTAAAAGCCTCAACTGTTGGCAATTTGTAATGGTTTACTTCAAGTTCATATTCACTTTTTGCTTTATTCAATCTAAATCTAAAATTTGTTCTTAATAAAAACCTTCCTTGTTACTTCTTATTACTTATTGCTTGCCACTTGTCTAATTTTATTTTATTACTTGAGAAAAGTTATAGTTATACTGATGAATATCAAATAAATTTTTTCTGAAAATTTTCTTTGACTAGTGATTATGTTTTATCTTGTGGACTGCTATCAAAAACTTCCAATGATGAGATGCTGAAGATTTTAAAACAAGTTTTGAACTTGCTGAAACCTTCAGGAAAGTATGCTTTCTGTGAGGATTGCTCTGCTGTGTGTGAAGTTGGTTAGTATATCACAAATGTTCAGCACTATAGACCATTATTTTTATCATTTCAAATAATATAGTAACCATGGATATGTATAATATTCATGAGAGTAACACATGCTCATTTAATTTTTAAAAATAAATGTTATATATGACAATTAAACATTTTGAAATTGAATTTATTTTTCTGGTAACTATTTAAAATTAAAATGAATATAAGCAGAAAATGGTGAAGAAATAAGAAGAAATGTCATGTTTTACAATTCAGCAATTGAGTCAGTTTCATGTTCCTCCATTGTAGAAATGCCAACTGAGAAAGATGGGCCACACCAACATCATCATGCATTCGAGGTGACCCGGAGTTTTCAGATGAAGTCTTCTTTCAAGGTGCTGATCTTAATGTATGCTTTTTTTGACTAACAGTACACAACATTGTGTGCACTTCAGTTAAAAAAAATGAATAATTTTTGATTCAAAATGTTTCAATGTCTCATTTTGTGGCATCAGCATCATTTTCAATGTCTCTAATAACAATGACAACCACAACAGATGTTCTGGTTGTTAACAAAAACTGGACCACAAGAGCAGCATCTACTGAATTCTGAACATTCTGGTTTCAAAACATTGCAAGAGTTTTTAAACAAAAATCAGTACACACTCAATGGTATCCTCAAGTACGAGCGAATATTTGGGGAGGGCTTCATAAGTACTGGAGGCATTGATACTACAACGGTTGGTACATCACTAATTTTTTATTTATTTAGTTTTAAATTGCTTATATTTTGATTTTTAAATTGCAGTTTTTTCAAAGATTTTGTCATGTGTTTTTAGTGTTCTAGCTAGTACAATAATTTTCAATTTTGATTTATTTTTAACTGCTTTTCTTATTCCTCCATTCATTTCAATATTTATTCATTGAAATTTACTAAAGTATTTTTTTTTTTTAAATTGAATAGGAATTTGTTGAAATGTTAAAGTTGAAAGCTGGCGAAGATGTGTTGGATGTTGGTTCAGGCATCGGCGGGGGAGCATTCTACATGGCTCAGGTGCATCTTCCATGATGCTCATTTGTCTGATATATATGTTAATCATAAATTTGTATAATTCTTCATTCCTTTATTCTCTTTATCTTTTCTTTTCAGAAATTCAATGTGAATGTTACTGGAATAGACTTATCTTCCAATGTTGTGGCCATAGCATTGGAAAGAACTAGACAAAAAAATATCAATAATGTTAGATTGGCTCTTTCAATTGGTTGATGATGTTTCAAATCATTTGACTGGAAGTATGAATATTTTGTGTTCTGTAACGTCATTAGTTGAATTTTAAAAATAAAAATCTAATTGGATAAATTAATTTTTTGTACCTTTCACAATTTAGTTGGCTGATATTTCTCAACATAATTCACTAGGTATCTTTTGAAGTTTGTGATGCATTAAAAAGAAATTTCCAGAGCGAATCGTTTGATGTTATTTACTCAAGAGACACTATCCTGCACATCTCTGACAAGAAGAAATTGTTCACTCTCTTCCACGTTCGTCTTTCATCTTATTAAACACATTCAGAAACGTCGTGTTCATTTTGCTGAACATCGTTTCGTTTGTATGATGATTCATTCAGTTTTGGATCGGTCGATTGATTTACTTTAATGATTAATAGAGAAATAAATTAATTGAATTTGAGCAGAAATGGTTGAGGCCAGGCGGAAGGTTGCTGATTTCTGATTATTGCTGCACACAAGACAGCTGGTCCGATGATTTTGAAGCTTACGTCAAACAAAGAGGCTATATTTTGCTTTCTGTGGAGAGATATGGAAAGGTGAGAGACGTTTATAAGGGAGATTGTGAAGATTATGAAGAGGATGATGATCGCGATTATTTAGAAGGAGACATGTTAATCAGTTATAACGATGATGATGAAAAATTAAATGTGTGATGTAGCTCCAATCAGTAAATAGTAATTCTTCTACTTTGAAGTTATTGGAAGAAGTTGGATTCGAAAGAGTGCAGGCACAAGATAGAACAGATCAATTCGTTGATATCCTTCGAAAAGAAATTGAAAGAGTTGTCGCCAGCAGGGATGCATTCTTAAAAGTTAGTTACGTGGCTGTTGCGTTCGTGCCTGTGTATGTATGGATTGATGAGCAGATCTTTATGCTATGATAAAACACTTGAACAATTATATTTGCAGGATTTCACAGAATCAGATTATCGGGCATTAGTGGATGGATGGATGAGCAAATTGAAAAGATGTGATAAAGGAGACCAAAAGTGGGGTCTGTTCTTTGCCATCAAAAACTGACTTATTTGCATTGGTAGCAAATCATTAATGTTCGAGTTAACAAAAAATTATTCCTACATCATATCTATTAATGTTAAACATTTTTTTTAAAACATACTTACATGTCGTTGTTTCGTTGTTTTGATGACGCAAAAAATTGTTTACAAACTTCCTTTGCTTTAAACATTTAAAAAACGGTTGTTCGTTGAAACGTGGTTAAAAAGAGATGCAAATTTTATAAATAAGCGGTCTTCACAAATAGTGATTTCAGGTAGTTACAACAAAATTTAATAAATTATGAGTCAGAAGGAAGCTCCGCGATATTCAGTGAACGATTGGTTCACTCGCTCTTACACTAACTGGACGAACTCCGAGAGGACGAGACTGACGGGCAGAGATGTTCTCGAAAGTTCCATTTATCTGAGGAACGAAACGAACAATAGAACAAAATGGGATCAGACGGATTCGAACTCGAGGTTGGTCGATCGAGTTGAAAGACTGAGAACCGTCAAAGACGTTATACAACAAAAAACTGAAATGATAAACGGGTAGGTGCTCGTTTTTTCAATTCAATTTGAAAGTTTTGTTAGCACTCCACTTAAAATTTTAGTAGTATCTAGTTCTAGTATGAGGAAAGTATGTGTGAATTGACTATACGTTGAAGTATAGTTGTCAGTTATTGAGCGATTGGTAAAATTTAATTTGATTCAAATCGATGTTGAAATTGGTATAAACAAAAATGAATACGGATGTACGTTATCATTGCTTACAGAGAGATAGATCAGCTGAATGAGAGCAAGGAACTGACGGAAAGAATGCAAGCCTGGTTCTATCAAGTGCTTCAAATCAATTTGGACAATTTGGTGTGGAGAGAAGGAAGGAGAGAAATTGATCTCGTGGTTGATGAAGTAGAAGATGAACTTCATAAAGAAAGGGTTTGTTTGCCTTTGTATCTACTTATGTCTTTTTATATCTCTTTGTTTTTGTTTGTATCTCTTTGTCGTTGTTAGTCTGCCGTGTACAATTGTTTGCGCGCTCGTTCGTATGGGTCTCATTCACATTTTTTCTACTACTATTTTAATATAATATACTGCAATACCATATGGTAATAGTAATAAAATAATGAGTAAAAGAAACAAATAATATAACATTTAGATGATTCTTGACTCCATCAAGACGATACTTCAGAACAAGATCAGTGAATTGTTTGAACAGTTGGGCATTATGAAGGAAACTAGACACAAACTCTCTGGTCTGAAATATTGTTGGAATAAATTTTTAGATACGACAAATTTCTAAAATATTCAAATGTGTGATCATAAATCAGGTTACCTGCAAAGAAAGAATTTAACGCTCGACATAGATATCAACCAGTACAACTTGACTGAAACATCTCCCGACATAAGTTTGAAGCCTGATCCAACCAGAGTTGCTGAGAAGTTTGCAAAGATTTGCTTCAAATTATTTCTCAACTAACTACTGAAATTTTTATAGATAGTTCTTTGAATACTCAATATATATGTTTGGTATAAAAAGATGGCATACATGCAAGACAATGTGTTTTACTCATTTAAAACCATGTGTTCGGTGCCCTAACCATATTAACTCGGGCTTAACTAATAATATTGAGTGATTAAAGACAAATTAAAATCGCTCGTATCCCACTTATATAAGAAAACTCGAGTTAGCACGCGATATATCAACAATGGATGTTAATTAGGAATTGAGACGAGAGTGGATTATGTGTGTAGGGCAATAAGTATGTGACCCCTGACCAATCATCATCGGCAGTACGTGGAACATCCAACAATGGGAGGAAGTCTTTTGTATGTTGCGAGAACTTGCAACTGCCACTGTGCATCAGTCAGCCAACATGCGGAACACCGTTCACAACGTGAGACATGCAGCTGCAAACGACGTTTACTCACAAAATCTTCTCGTTCTCTTCGCACTCCGGAAGAGGATACATGACTTGAACCTGGCAATCAAAGAGAGCCAGTTCCAAAAGAAAACAGTATTCATTCTATTTAAATTTCATTTCAACGTCTCTTATTTTTAAAAAATGGTATATAACAACACAAAGGCTAGTAGTAAATGATTTTATTAGTTACGTACAACTTATTGTGAACACATTTAAACATTTTATTTATAAAATAATTGATAATTTTAAATAATTTTAAATAAATTAAAATATATAACTTATAAAATGGATATTGAAATACATGTGATGTGACAGCTTGAAGAAGAACTTGCCAATTTGGAAGCGGAGACTCGTTGCTTGGACGTGACGATAGCGAGGTCTGTCCAGTCTCTGAAGCTGGCTCACACGCGTCTTGAGAACAGGTTGTACAGGACGGAAGAGGATTTGTGTAGGGATGATGTTCAATACGGCCTCGACGATGAAGTCAACCAGCTTGAAACTACACTGGCGTCACTAAAGGACAAGAAATGTCAGGCACAGTAAGTTGAAACGGCTTGCTCACTAACGATCGTTACTTGATTTCAAATTGGCGATCAGACAGAATAAAAATTTATTCAATCAACTACTCACCGATTCAGACAAGCAATGGACAGTATAGAAAGGCAGATGTTCCGATTGAAGGAGGACTTGGATAGGAAAATGCTTGCACTAAGGGTCGACCAGCAATGCATGGACTCCAGAAAGAAACTGGACAAGGCATGCCATGTGGAAAAAAGCATGGCTGACATGGAAATTTATAAATGCAAACTGGAAAACGACGTTTGACAATTTAATAATTATTAACAATCGTAAGATATTTTTACCGAATTCAATACACGGAAAACTCAGTTCAAACGTTGCATCGAGTTGAGATAAACTCATTTTCTATTTGATAAAAATACTTTAAATGATTAATTCGCCCTGAAAACGGCTGATTGATTTCTGCAAACGAAACATACCAGCACACGACACATTCGAACGTGGCGCGTATAAAAAAGATCAATAGAAAATAGTAAACCCCTTGATTTAAAATGAACAAAACCACAGGTAGTCATACAAAACGATATTTTAATGTATCTGAGAATGAACAAATTTCAACAAATGAAAATACACTGTAACGATGCTAATAATATGTTACGTAAATGTAAAGTTAACCTCAGTGCAATAATGTAGTGATGTTCAATGGTCGTAACAGAAACATTAACTTGCAAGCAATGAAGGAATGCGACATACGTTGCAATCGACGAAACGTGATTTTAGTGATAAAAAATAAGTGACCGAATAACCGAAAGAAAAAAAAAATCGGTGGGTCCATTTAACGTTTTAATGATATTGCGGTTAACTGACAGTGGCACGCTCAATCTTATAAAAAACATCATATTAATAAAAGTTAGTTGATAAAAAATTTTCTCCAGTGTGCTCTGCACATTATCTATTACATATTGAACTATTGAGCAGTACAATTACTCTATTCATGAAAATAAATTAGTAACAAATGGCAACGAACGAATCACAACACACGCATCATGCCTATTTGTTTGAATCAGCGTAATAAAAGCCATTCAACTTACTCTATTGAGATTATTTTTGCAACTATAGAACTACTGAGACTGCCTGCCAGCTAACTCATGAAAATAACAAGAAAACTATTTTGATATTAAGTTTCAAACGAGATGCAAAATGTTGATATAAATAGCACACACACGCATACATATAGAGATTATGCATGAACATATAAGCACACAGATACACTGATTCTATTAGGCAAATATATATGTCCGTTGAATGCAATAGGTCTCACTTTATAACATATAGTCATTCATGTAAAAACATCTAGTAGTTTCAAATTGTACCGTGTAAAATTTTTAAAAGATAATAAATTATACACTATAAAGAGAATAAAACATAAAAATTCATAATCATGAATAGACCATTTTGAATAATGAACAACATCAACTAAATATACAACAGCAAACACTTCCTGGTTTCAATCATTCAATCTACCTAAAACAATAAACTCAGAAAATTAAAATTTTTATAAAAACTGTAGTAACATCAATAATTGTCATAAATATATATAAAAGAGTTGTGAGACAATGTTCATAATATGCATATAAAAGTTTAAAATGAAATATTATATTACAACAGTCAACAACGTAACATAGGAATGACAACAATTATGTTGAAAACTTCCAACATCACTTCTTGCAGACATACAGCAAGCAACAATGTCAAAAATATTTCAACACCATTGCACACATCATCTCAACATGTTGCTTCCTGGTCTTCAGTGTCACCAGTTGAGGCAGCCACTGGCTCCTCTAATGTCTTTGCTGATTTGTCCTGGCAGGTGTCCAAAAATATTTTATATAAAAAATAATATTAAGTAATGCAACAAAAATCAGAGACAATGCACAATATAATGTAAAACATAATTGTAAAAGAAATAAAATCTCATTAAAGAGGCATGAATTCAAAGCAGTGCATACGATGATGCAAAACGAACTTCAGACTCAGGAACATTTTCTTTGTCAACTTTCTCACATTCTTCATTTGTTTCCTCAGCCGATTCCTTCTCTCCGTCATCTTTGCTGTCATCTTCCTCCTCCTCATCATCTTCCTCATCACCCTCCTCATCATCCTTGTGACATGTTTTCAATTTTTTGCTTTCAGCATGATCACCGACACCTTCTATAGATTTCCTCTGAAAATTATTAATCAGATTACAATTGAAACAAAAGTAAAATCTTTAGCTACAAATTAGATTGATAAGATGGACAGTAAGAGTAAATGAACAAATAACACAATAATTAACCTTGGTGCCAGTTTGTTCTTCATTCTGACAAAAAAATAAAAATAGTAAAATTATTTTAAATATCTGAGAAAAACAAAGTAGTGTACACTTCCAATTTATTCAAACAATCAAACATATTGAAATAATCTAATTGTTACAGGCAAAACACAGACCTTTTGATCATCACCACTTCCATTTGTGGATACAACTGGCTCTTCAGAAGCACCATTTTGTTTCAAACACTCTTTAAAATATGAACACAATTCAATATAAATTCTAGACTCACAATAGAATAAAAACATTTAGCTTTAGATATATGAATGTGACTTTAACATTGGATGGTGCTAAATTTAAAAAACTTTAGGCAATATATTTAATTTCTATCAAAAATTTAACTGGAAAAATTACCAGTTTCGGGCTCAGTGCTTAATTCTTTAGCAGGAGCGACAGCTTCGATGGATCTGAAAGAAAAATAGAACGTTAAGTAAATTTAGAACCAACAAAACATTTTTTAATTGAGGAAAATTTAAATGATGGCACGACAGACCATTGAAGCTAAATCTATTTCAGCATGTAAATTGTAAAACGACGCCTGACTTACGAGCCGGTCTCGAATCGATCGCTATACAAATCAACTACTCAGCACAAATAAACAATCGGATGAGTTATAATAATACAAAAATTATTTTGACAAAAATCATTTCAATTACCCTTCCATTTCGATGAACTTCGAAAAAACTCGGGAAAGGAAGAAATTGACGAACTAGCGAAAGAACAATGGAGGACAAACAGCTTCTTCGCGCCGGTCTGGCTTCTCTAAAAAATCTGACTCCGCCTTTTTCAAATAGGGATGCTAAAAATTTCTGTAGGATAATGTAATGTTCTTATTAAACTAGGAAAAAATGTCAATGTAGTTTTAGTTTTTTATTTTTGATTAAACAGTGTTACGTATAATGCTTTATTTAACAGTATATTATTTATTAAAACAATCATCATACGTAAATGTTGAGATAAAAAAAATTTGATAAATTTAAGATATTCATTAAATAAACAACAATAAACATATGTGTTATTTTTTAACAAAACATTTAATTATATAAATAGATTTATCAGTTTAATTAAATTAGACATATTCCAAAGAACAGATGATTGGAAGTCAGCGCCTCATAATAGCCAATGCCACTCGTTGCCTACTGTTATTTCGTTTGTGTGCGAAAAGTTGTAAATTTAAATCTGCTTTTTGATATCGCATATCGTATTTATTCCCGGCGATTAGTGATTAGGCAGTTGCCAAATTGAAAAGTGATACTATTTAATTAGTTCATCTGCCGATATCTTCAATACATTTTTTTGTAAATTGTTTTAATAACTTCATTTTATTATTTATTATTTTAAATAATGCTCTAGTGTAAACTGTAAAGTCCAGTAAAATCGCATCATATCATAGAATACTCAATACTAGAATTAGAATAATGTCCTCTATCGATCGTAGTTTTTAAGTAATTTAATTAAAATAAATTTGGTAATAACTTAATAATTGATTTAGTTCCCCTCATCTATCATTCATCTCCTGTCTGCTTGGATCACAATCAATTTAATTATTAAATTAAAATAAAAATTTGTCACCATCATGGGGAATTGTTCAAGCCAAAATACAGGATCCAAATTTCTGAATCAGCGTTTTTTTAAAGTGACAATTCTCGATCCTGATGATTATTCAGATGGTTGCAAAAATACTGAACTCGGTTCAGGAAACTTGGAGATTACGAAATATGAATTAGTACTTCATCGTTCAGGTATGCAAACGCAAAGATGGCCGTACCTGAGTCTTAAGAAATATTTTGCCAAAGGTAATATTTTCGCATTGGAAGCCACCTCTACTACCACAACTTCAGTCGTTGATTCTGAAGATTGCAATAAAAAAGTACTCCCTGGTTTTACTGACAGACGTGTTTTTCAGTTGAAGGGAGCCAGCATATTGTTCAATCAAGTTCAGGCATTAATAGTTGAAAATTCAATTGTGAGTCATTCAGCAAGAAGTAGTGGGTCATCTTCTTCAGCAACAAAATATAGCCAGAAAAATGATAACAAAGAAACTGATCTCCATGATGTGGCTAGAAGGAAGTTGAAAGAAAATACCAGTAAGCTTTTTTTATGTTTTTCACTGAATAATATTTAATATGTTACATTTGATAAATGAGTCACAAGTTTAATATTTCCTGATCATTAATCAATGTATTTTAAATTTCAGTCCCCAGAGGAAGTGTCTATGAAGATGTTGAGCTAAAGAAGCCAAAATGGGCTCTCCCTGCAGAATTGAGAAGAGCTGATGCTGCATTTTCTCGAAAGAGTCCTCGCTATCGTTCAGTGAAACATGCAGTAGGACCGATGAATAATAATAATAATAATGCAATACATGAGGCTAACAACCAACTGTCCAACTCAAATGTTAAGCTGCATAACAATAACGTTCATTTGAATGGTCAGAAATATTTCTCCACAAATGCTGATGATCATTATTACAATCAGTTGCACATTGCCAGCTCCAACGTTGAACTTTTTCAACATCAACAACAGCTACTACTGAAACAACAACAACAACTGCTACAGCAACAACAACTTTTACACCAACAACATCTACATCCATTTTATGGGGCCATCATGATTCCGCCTTTCCTTCCACAAACTTATGAACCCCTCCCATTCTTGCCAGTACCCCAAAGACCACAAATAATAGGTGGACATCAAAAACAGTATTCAGTTAATAGGATTCATCCAAATAATGAAGCAAAAGAAAACATTAAAAAATCATTTTCCAAAGCACTGAAGAACAATGATAAAAGGAAAAAGATGTTGGCATTGAATAAGGAAGGTGGAAATAATGATGAAAATGATGATGGCGTTGGTGAGGAAGTGGAATCAGACAACACTCTTTACACCACCAGGGAAATATATGCAGCAGATAGAAGGCAGAGGTTACTGCACAACAAGAGCATTCATAGAAGTTTAGAAATGTTGAACGTGAACTGTGATGAGGGTGATGCTAACACTTATTTTCAACATCGTCATCAACAACAGTATCATCAACATCCTCCTCTTCCTCATCATCATCGTCTTCATCAGATGGATTCAGATGCATTTGCAAGATTGCAACACCTTGACGTGGTTGCTCCTGCTAATGCGGTTTATTACTGCTGAATGAATAGCAGTATCATGTCGCGTTTACTCTTTAACTAATGATAATATTTTAAAACTTCATGCATGCATAACTTCATGTTGGCTGTATGTATGTGAGAATGCATGTGAATGAGTTTGCATGTGATGTATATATATTTATGTAAAGATTGAAGTGTGAATGCCATTATTAATTTATTCATTTAAATTTATTTGTTTATTCAATGGACAATATATAACGAAATTAAACTTCTAATTTTCGTACAACCGATATATCAATAACTCAACTGCTATATTTGTGTTTTCTTCTTGCCTATCTAACATTTAATGCATTAAAAGTTCAGTGTTTGAAATAGTTAAATAGGTGTGGTGCGGTGTTTTGTGGCAGTTTTATAACGAGATGAACCTCGGGTTTGAGTATTGCGAAAAATATTAAAACTGATCGTCTTGAGTTTATTTTGCGCTACACAAACTACAACCTAATTGTCTAAAACGGGACCGACGACTTTTCCTTTATGGCGTGTCTGAAGGCGTCTTCTTTCCAATTTTTTTGTCAACGTTGTTGGTGTAAGTTTGTGGTTTATTTCGTTCAGTTTTAATAAGTTTTGTACTTTCTTCCTGCAATTTGTTCGTTGAATCAAATTCCAGTGAAGAGAAAAGCATACTTTCTTCAAACGAGAGTTATAAAAAAGGTGTGTTTTTGATCATTATCATTTTTGTATTTCTAAATAAAAGACGCAAGTAAAGTAAAGCTATTTCGTTTTTGTTGCCGTTTCAAGTAACTACGTTACTAAACTAAATAAATAGATTAAAATAAAATTTTTGTGCAGCTTGTCATCTCAAGTGTGTGCTACCTGTTCAGCTGCTGTCATCCATTGGTTTTCATGTGAAGAGGCTTTTCTTGCTTTCTACTTCAACTACCTACATTTCTACATGTATATTTATATAGCATTTGATATATGATTCATTCAAATTATTATTATACGTATATAATATATTATTATTTATATTATATTAAAACTTAAAATTAAATTATTGCTGATTGCTGTCTTTATAAATATAGTAACCAGTATCATAAATTCAAATTTTTAATTCTAACTCTTCCTTTTGCTATCTAGAATTGGTGTTATGAATTTAAAATTTTAACATTAAAATTCCAAAAATATTTGTGTTTTTTTTTATGTGTGTAGTTAATTATTATCAGGTGCATGTTTATTCTGTATTGCAATAAAAAAAATTTTTAAAGTTTTTTTTTATGAAAACATTCTTAATTTATTTACTTGCTTCATGTTACAGTTTGTTCATTGATCGTAATTAATATTGTTAAACTTACTTTTAAATTGTTTGTATGTCAAGTAAGTAAGCTGATTATATATATATATATATATATATATATATATATATATATATATATATATATATATATATATATATATATATATTAAAAAATATAAAAAATATTTAAAAAAAAATTTACAAAAAAATATATATAAAA